CTTTAGAATAATATAAGGGTTTAGCTAGGAATTTAAAGTAATTCGTCTAACTACCGTATAACGAGGATTCTAAAGCTAAGGAGAGAAAAGAAAAGAGAAAATCTATCTACTATACGAATAAAGGAAATACTCCCTAGCTTCTCCTATAGTAGGTTAGTATAGTTTCCTAGGAGATAATCGATAGAGAGGAATTACGTAGCTTCGGCTATATAGTTGTATAGCCTAAAGGTACACTACGAGTAATCGCTCTAGGGCGTACTCTAGAGCTTTATACGGGTTTAACCCGTAATACATCCCTTAGATAGCATCGAATAACTATCGACTCCTCCTAGTCGACGGATATAAAAGTTATACTACGTACGAGTTTATATAGGAATACTATATAAATCGAATCGCCTTAATCTATTTAATACTCTATACGAGTTATATTTTATAGCTACTTAATCTTACTTACTTTTTACTCTTAAAATGTCGATATCGGGACGAAATCGCTAACTTAGCTAGGTTCGACGATGCCTCGGCCGTAAAGAAGAGCAAGTTCCTTAAATTATACGAAAAAGTAAGTAGTAAAGGTCTCTCAATATTACGTATTACTACTGGGTGGAATGTAGCTAGTATTTATCTATAGAATCCTCGTAAAGTTATACGATCTTACTAAGTCCTATAGGATAGTCAAAATAGTTAAATATCGCCGGTAACGCCGCTATTACGAAGGCTAATTCAATGCGTACGAAGTCCTATTCGTACGCCTCTAAATTAGTGTGAAATGCGGTAGGAAACGCATAAAATTTCACAGCGTAAGACCGTCTCTCGATTAATGCGTTTATTACTTAATAAGACTAGTAAATTTCTCGATCGATTATAGTTTAACATTACGCTTAAATCACAACATTTGACTATCCAACGTATACAGCTAAATGAACTTCATGCTACAAGACAACGACGAGTAGCAATCGACTGTAATAAGGTCTTTGCGAGTATCGAGACGATAACATAGGCGAGGCAAGCCATGGAGGCTTTACAGGCAACGACGCGGTCAACATCTCGCTTGCCTACCAGGAATACTACGCAGGATGAACAGTCAAACACTACACTCACCCCGTACATACATCAATTTAGTATTAATGACGTTGTAGAGTAGATAAATACGATTATATGGACTGGTGGCAAAGTGCATTACGTGGGTCATTAATGGGGTGGGTCATTTAATGGGTGCCTGACTTATTGCTGTCCTGAATCGAAAATCACTCGGCAAAGCCGCCCGAATTTTTACCTTTTTAACCACCACTGTAATTACCCGAGGGTGAGTGACATTAGTTTTGGCGGGGTATGCTTTCTTGTCAACACCTTTAACGAGCTATATCTCAACCGATATCTGTAGTATAATAGTATAAACTTGATTGTTTCATACAGTATATCTATATCTAATAGTGTACAGACTTTTAGCATCTACTCTTTTTCTAATAAAAGTGATTAAATGCTTGTAAGACAGAGTCAAAATCAATAGCCCCTAAAACCCATGTCCCCAGCCCTCCTGGAGACCCAGTAAATTAAGCTAGGGCCCCCCGCAAGAGATTCCGAGCCCTGGAAACATTCCTATTTCTTTACCAAATGTAATCTGCCTACGAATGTAGACGAGAGGTCCTGAAGACGAATTGCTCATCATTGCGACAAGCGACAAGTAGATGCCATTATGCTCTAGCCGTGAAGTGCAGCAGCTCTCTACAAATTTTCGCTCCCGCTGCTTCCTTCAGTCATGGACCTCAGTCTGTTTGCAGTGTGGCCCGTATGATCGCCTCCAACGTCAAATCCACCGTTTTTTATCATAAATCGGCCCGCGCAATGGCAGACGACAATTCCAAACAGGCTGCCTGTGATCGATGTCACAGGCGCAAAGCACGCTGCGACAAGGTCCAACCGTCTTGCTCTTCATGCATCAAGGCAGACACTCAGTGCATTTACAGTGCCAAAGACCCAATGATCCGTCGCCAGGACATGGAAAAACTCGAGAGAAGGCTTCGTCAGGTGGAAGCGAAGAACGAGGCTTTAGCGAGCCAGCTACGTGAGGCCAACCTCAGAACGAATACAAGCAGTCCTCTAAATAGCGTGCCATCGACTTCAAGTGGTCAACAAGCAGCAGTCACCAATAGCAGCAGCTCAGGCAGTAACGAAGTGGCAAGCCAAGTCACATTTCTGAGTCTAGGGGCTGGCGGCGAGCGACAATACCTCGGGTCGACGAGCGGACTCCTTCTGGCCAGTCTGCTCCAAGCGGATAACCGTGGAAAAGTTCGAGGCACGCAGGATGATAACTACAATGAAGCCCGCAGATTTGGCTCGGGTGGTCGTGTCGGGACATTGACTTCAGATGTCAATTCTTTGCCGGCTGAAAAGCTTGCCCGGAGTTTGGTTTCGGCATACCTAGCTCACGATCACTTGTGCTATCCATTCCTTCATCCGAGGACGTTGTTAGAGAGCCTCGAATTGATCTATGGCGACAAAACTTTCTACGGGACCCACCCCGTAGAAGCATTTACTCTAGACCTGATCCTCGCCATTGCTACCGCTCAGGTCTCAAAGTTTGATTGGCAAGTGATGCCAGACGCGGAAACACACCATGACCGGGCTATGGGCAGACTGGGCACAGTGCTCAGCCAGGGTGGAAGGGTTGCTTTGCAGGCTCTCCTATTGATGTGCCAATACCGGATCGGAAGTGGTCTTTATGATGCTTCCGCGAGTTTGTGGCACCTGGTTGGTACAGCAGCGAGAATGTGCTTTGAGCTCGGCTTGCATCGTGAGTCTGTCTTCTCTTCCCCTGAAAATGGTGTGGCTGTCATGGACGAAGGCACATTTGAAGATTCCGAAGTCAATAGAAGGTGCTTCTGGTGTGTATTGGCAATGGACAGAATCACGAGCATCACTTTGGGCCGACCGTTGGCCATCCATCTCGACGATTTTGACACGGAATTGCCCCGTTCTGAGGCGCATATCGTGGTCAGCCCAGACAACAGCTTGTCTCCCTTGGAGCCCATTGGGAGTGCTCCATGGCAGCTACGGACAGCAATATTTGTGCTAATTGTGCGCTACCGAGTCATTTGCGGCAAGGTTCTGAGCTCCTTGCACAATGTAATCCGATCCAGAATGAGTGCTGCCTTTGACTACGAAAGCAGGCGCGGGTTTCTGATCGAGGAACTCGAAGCCTGGCGATCAGACACTCTGACGATGCCGTTTGGAGGCTCACTCAGCGACTCTGATCGATCCAGCTTCCGGACGAGAGAATGGTACGATCTCTTGTACCAGAACGCAATTTTGATGCTGTATCGTCCGTCGCCGTCCCTTCACGATGTTCCTCAAACGGCCGAAGCACTACAGCGCATCTTCGACGCCGCTCAAAAGTCCATCGGCATCTATGCATACCTCCACAAGTCACGTCGGATCAATTACTCTTCCATTACACTGCACGCAGCGTTCATCGCGGGGCTGTCATACATTTATGCCGTCCGTTCCCATTTCCAGTCTCGTCGGCGTGACTTGTCGAGCAATATCAGTCTATTGTCACAAAACTCTGCTAGTTGTCTGCCAGCTGATCCCACCATTAACCAAATCGTCAATACCACTCGCGACTGCTCCAATGTCCTTGTCGCAGTCTCCGAGCGCTGGAGCACTGCTCGTAACGCTCACCAAGTATTTGACCGGCTCAGTGACGCCCTCTTGACTGATGTAATTGAGTTTCAAAATCAGTTTCGAAACGCATTTACCCACAGTTCACAATTTGGTGCACCAAATCAGAACCACTCTCATACCATGCCGGATCTTGGAGTCAGTCCCACAATACAACAGCAGTATTTTTCATCTGTTGTACCGAATGTTATGGATTTCAGCTATCAAGACTGTTTCGATGATTTACAAAATCTGTATACAAGTTATGACTTTGCAAATGTCTCGGTGATGCAGGCGTCTCAAGACTGGCTTTTTGAAATCCGATCTCTGGATCAATCCATGGCCGCAGGAGGCCACTGAACCAGTGGGCGTTTTGCAATACACAGTTACTTAAGATACATTCTCGGTGCAGGCAAATGGCTCTGATCTCTTCCCAAGCCTCACATGCTATATGCGACCACGTTCTAAAAATGCAACCGGGATGTCTACATGTTTACTCCTTAAATATTCGCCGATACCCTTGCCAAGTCCATCAATGCGATCAGAAGATGCAATACCACCGGAAAGATTGTCGAGAACTCGACTAAATATGATCAGCGCGTCTGGTCTGGGCAATCAAGATGGTACTTACAAATGAACTGCAAGGATGTTCGGAAATTCCACCCGCTCAACTCTTCGGGACGGGTTGCATTTGAACCAGTCTTGACCAAACAGCAGCTTGATCTTCTCCACGGTTAGGATGGTCTTAAGCCATGGATATTCGTCTTGGTGTCGAACAAAGAAGCCGACGTTTGTGTTATCCGCTTTGTCACCCGATCTTGCATGAACAACGCTGCCAAGTGGTGCCTGCACCATTGCTCCGAGCGAGGCCAGATCAACCGGGTCTTTAGTCTCGTAAGAAGGCCTAAGAGTTGGGTACTCTGCTGTCTTACTTGGGCCTGGGATGTCGATTATCTTTCCCTCTCCTAAGTCAACCTGATGCTGGATCACAGAGAGTGGAACAATCGCCGGAAATATTTCCATAAATGCCTTTGGATCCATTGTCCTGAAGTCAAGGTTCATGTGGTAGCCTGGGTAACTCTGCATTCTCAGAGCATATATTGGAGTTTTGAAGTTGCGGGCAACAATATCCCCTTTTTCTCGGGCTTGCGCGAAAATTCGCAACTGGACAGTCCCTTCCTGCTGGCTATCCGGATTTTTAACTTCGGATCCATACAGCTCAATACTCAGCTTGGTAAATTTATTCTTTCGGAAGATGTGTTCGAGCTGGTTCTTCATCATCCGCGCCTTTGCATCGACGTCAAGTCCGTTGATGAAGAAAGTCGCTTCGGCTTGATATCCTCCTGGCGCTGCGAACATCACTTTAGTGGTTGGTGGAGGTGGAAGGCCGACTATTCCCGTCACTCGAACTCGATTCGGGAGTCCTTCTTCACCCTCAATCTGAATCATAGAGAGATCCGCCACGACATCAGGGTTTAGGTAGAGGTGACCTTGCAGCTCATACAACGTCTGCGCTTTGACTGTTTCGACTGTAACATGGCCGCCTCCTGCCGAAGCTTTGGTGATGACACATCGGCCCTGAGCATCTATTTCGGCAATTGGAAAGGCCAGATCGACCAAGTCATCCAGAAAGTCTTTGAAGCCAGAGAAATTGGCCCCGACGATATAGGCGCCACACTCGATCAAATGCCCTGCAAGCAATGCTCCTGCAAGCTCATCATATTGCTCTTCCATATTCCAGCCGAAATGCCAAGCTGCAGCCCCCATGACAGGAGAAGCATCCGTGCAGCGCCCACATATCACAATGCTGGCGCCTGATTTCAGTGCTTCAACAATGCCTCGACAGCCGATATACGCATTTCCGGAGAACGGTTCTAGCTCCCAGTCATCCAAAGACCGCTCGGTGTGATCCAAGTGAGAGAAATGCAAGACTTCTCGCCGATCTGGATCCTTCAACAGGTCTGAAATGTCGTCGCCAAGCACAGCAGCCACGATTATATGGTCGTGTCCTTTTGCTTTGAGGAGTTCTCGTACTTTCCGGGTTAAAGATTGCGTGTTCAAGGCTCCGGCGTTGGTAACGACTTTGATACCTTTCGCTATGATGTCGTCGATACACTCTTCGACTTGTTCATAGAACCCATGTTCATATCCAAGATCTGGACTCTCTTTCTTGGTTATCGCATTCCAAGCAATGTTCATTTCAGAGAGCCAGTCGCCTGTAATCACGTCTACATTTTCTTCAGCAACCATTCTAGCCATGGCGTTGGGCATGTCGCCCGTTGCACCGGAAACATTTCCAATACGTATAGGGGCTTTGTTGATCATCTCGAGGTCGCCGATTTATTCACCGAATCTCTTTCGGGTGTGACAAAAGTACCTAACAACCAGGCAAGAAGTTCGACTGGCTACCCTTCGTGAGGTTTCACGATATGATCCTCGTCACACGTGAGCACGAGCACACCGCCAAATTGTATCCCGGTTTCTGCCTAGCTCTCAATGTCTTGCACGTGTCCACTTAGACATGCCTTTGCAAGGGCTTTTTAGGCCTGGACCCACCATCGGTGTCACCGCCGAAGCACTAACAAATTCCATCTTTCCGCCTCATTTGGTCGGGACCAGGAAGGGAGACCAAGCAACCAAACATTACATGTTCAGAACATCATTTATCGTTCTCCCTTCCCTCGGAAATCATTGGCTGAGTGTGTGATTTGCAACAGAACTCCCCGAGACCACGTGGGGATGACCCGAGCCTCTAACTTCTATAGATCCACAGGTGCCTTCTAAGTGAACAAATAATACACAGACGAGGTCATTCTGAATGGCTACTTTATCAATGAGGCGAATAAAAAAATACATACACGAAAGTACGTTCTTCCATCACCCGGTTGTATTTCTTCCACCTCTCACGGCTTCAGAATGACTTTTCTGGCAAGCTGCCTCTCAAAGATCTCATACCCATGAGCCGCTTCTGATAATGGGAGGCGATGCGTGACCATGCTAGCAAGCTTCTCTTTATTCGCTGCTACCACTTCCATCGCCTCGTTAAAGACTGTTCTCACGGGTGCCCGGCCAAAATTGATGCTGAAAATATTAGCTTGAGATTCTACGGGCGTTGTCAGGGGAATGACGGCTCACTTCAAATTCTTCTGGTAGCATTCAAGCGCTGTGAATGGGAGGTCCCCCTGGTGAAAACCGATAGACGACAGAACGCCACAAGGCCGGAGAAGATCGAATGCTGATCTCAGTGCTGCATTGTTTCCAACAACTTCAATGACTGCGTCTGCGCCACGACCTTGCGTCGCGTCCAAAATTCTCGCTTGTACGTCGTCCCGACCCAGCTTGAGCGGAAGACCACCGAGTTTCGCCGCCTGGTCCAATCTATCGTCGATGCTATCGACAACGTAGATAGTCCTCACCCCTTTGGACCGCGCCGTCAAGATGGCACAGAGTCCTACCGGGCCACACCCAAGGCACACGAAGACCGCGTTTGCTAGTGATTGCGTCTTTGACAATCCATCACTGTTTGGGAAATTGACGTCAGCGTAATGAGTACCATTCGCCAGATCTGCCGAGCGGAAACATTCGATGGCTCTCATCGCGCCGTAGTATCCCGTGGGAAAGATATCGCACATCATAATCAAGAGTTCGTCATCGATACCATCTGGCGTCGATTTCAATGTGCCGTCCGCAAGTGGTACCCGAACGTACTCCGCCTGACCTCCAGCCAAACCCTGTGAGCCAAATGGTGCCAGTCCCTCGGGACATCTATTGCTGTAGCCATGCTGACAAAACCAGCAGGACATGCTGGAATCAAGTCAGATGATGGGAACTTTGGATGACACAAGCTAGGAAGTCTAGAGATGAAACTCACCAAACCGGAGAAAACGTACAAACTACCTTTTGACCAACGTTGAAATTTTGTACCTCTGATCCTACCTCTTCGATAAATCCTACAAATTCGTGACCCTATAAAAATTGAAAAACCATTCGGTCAGAAAGGACCACCGGGCAGAAATATGAAGTCGTTCTGTTCTTACCATAATATGCCCTGTCGCCGTTTTCTGATGACCTCGATACATATGCAGCTCCGAGCCGCAAATACCTGCCGAGGTCACCTTGACAATAGCATCCGCAGGATCTATGAGAGCGGGCTTTGGGCGTTTTTCGATGTCTATCTTCCGCGGTCCGTTGAATATTACGGCATTCATTTTAGAATCTTGGTGCTGTGCAAGTTGTTCAATGTGTTTTCTAACGATGATATCCGAAAATCGAACTATTCTTCAAGGTTTCTGGGAATCCAAGTGTTGCAACAAGAAGTTCTGCTAGATGGCACTACTTCCACTAGAGTGATCTCTCCATTTGGAAACCAAGTCATCGTCCAGATAAGTTGGATTTAGCGGCGTGAAGGCCCGCTATTGGAGTGAAGACTAAAGTACGCTCGACCTCCACCGGCTTCCGGCAGCATGGACCTCTGAGAGCATGGTAATGAGACGATGCTCCAGACGCTGGCTTTACCGAAGATCCGCGCCCTGAAAACTGCATCTCGGCTTTTCTGGAAGATCGACGGTTCATTGAGAAGCGAGTTGGAAACAAATGCTGTCATAACGGTGCGGAGACCGACGCCGTGGGGCTGGCGGTCAGATGCCCGAGCAACTCGGGGGAAAATCTACAAGTCCAAGCTCGGATAGTCCGATGAGTGCGCACCGCTCAAGGATCAATTGGTGTCCGTGTCCGTGACCCTTATCAATGACACGACACTGAGTGGGCTTACGAAAGTTCACTCCTTAGTTGCGGAGTAGTCCAATGACACTTGTAAGCCGTCCTCAAACTCTACCAGATGGGACAAGTTGAGTGTTGGCTTTGGTCGACGACAGCTTATACCTCAATGTCTCTACAAGGCTTGTTCATAAACAACCTTTCACACATTTTCAAATTCTCTTTGGGACAAAATTTCTCGAAAGTCAACTGTTCCACCCACGTGTATACTGATGATGGCAACAGCAAAACAGGAGGCACCAAGCCCAAAGGACTTGACTAAGTTCTACATCGATGGCCAATATGTCAGGCCGATATCCAAGCAAACATATGTCCTGCACAATCCCAAAGATGGCACCGTCGTTGCCGATGCAGTGCCTATCGGCGGTCCAGAGGATGTCAACGCCGCAGTAGCAGCTGCAGAAGCCGCCTTCAGAGGGCCTTGGAGCATGTTCACGGCCGCACAAAAGTCTGAATGTCTCCGTCGCCTCGCCGACATTTTAGAAGACAGGATGGTCGATATTTTGACGTTAGATTCACTCACAACTGGGAATCCTGTTTCTTTGATCCCTTCACGCGAGAAGGCGTACATCAAGAACAATTTGTTATACTACTGTAAGTAGATCCTCGATCTGGCCGGGATATCTTTCCGTTAAATGTCGATCAGCTGGATGGACGGACAAGCAAAAGGGGGACTACTACCCTGCAGACGACGGATTTGTGAAACTGGTACGGCATGAGCCTTTGGGGTGAGTCCTCCGTTGTCTGGGTATCCTTACGAGGCAAGAAACTAAATATTCGAGGTAGCGTGTGCGTTGGGATAAACCCATACAACTCACCAGTCGCATCCTTCATTATCAAAGCCGCCCCCTGTCTAGCCACTGGCAACGTGTTGATAATCAAGCCCTCAGAAAAAAGCCCGCTCGGATCGCTGGCACTCGCTCCAATGTTTGAGGAAGCCGGATTTCCCAAGGGTGTGGTCCAGGTTGTGACTGGAGACGGACGGACTGGAGCGCTTTTTGCGAAGCATATGCGCGTACGGAAGGTAGGCAAAGCACTATTCCCACACACTAGCTACGCCCTAGCAATCGATATCAACAATACTGACCCACCGCATGATGTAAAGGTCAGTTTCACTGGCAGTGTTGCGACGGGCAAGAAAATCCAGATAGCCGCCGCAGAAAGTAATCTTAAAAGAGTCACCCTTGAGCTTGGTAAGTGACCCAACTCCAGGACGGTCCTAGAAGGTAGATATTTATCTAGATCACAGGCGGTAAGAGTCCGGCTGTAGTCTTCGAAGATGCAAATATCGAAAATGCTCTCATTTGGTAAGCACTGAGCAGTATTAGCCTGGACGAGTATGACATCCGACGCTGACAGAACTAATAACAGGACAGTCAATGGAATTCTAGCGCGATCGGGTCAAGTTTGCGTAGCCGCATCCCGAGTTTACGTCCAAAAAACCATCGCCCAACAATTCATTGACAGATATTGCAAAAGAATGAAAGAAGCCGCCCCGCGGCTCGGTGACCCTCAGGACCCCGAGACGACACTTGGGCCCCTCGCCGACGCAAGTAGCTTTGCCAAAGTCGAAGCGATGATCGAAAATGGTAAAACAGAAGCCGAATTGGTCGTTGGCGGTGCCAGGTACGGCGATGCCGGCTGCTTCATGGAGCCAACCGTATTTCTTAACCCCCGGCCTGACGCAGAGATCTATAAGAACGAAGTCTTTGGACCGGTGGCTGTCATCAAGACTTTTGAAAGCGAGGAAGAAGTGGTTGAACTGGCCAATGATACCGAGTTTGGGTTGATGGCCGGTGTTTTCACGAAGGACATCACTCGCGCGTTAAGGGTGTCGAGCAATATCGACTCAGGTGTTTGTGGGATTAATTGTATCTCTTACGTGCGGAATCTCCCTTCTCTTTCACGAAAAACATATCGGCTGAAGCTTGCGACTTTGCAGATGAACATCCAGGCACCTTTTGGAGGAAAGAAGTCATCAGGCATAGGGAGAGAATTTGGTGAATATGTGAGTGTCCACTGTTGGATTGACATCAGATGGGATGATTGCTGAAATTCTATCACCCAGGCTCTTCGTTCGTTCACGGAACCAAAAACAGTCTTGATCAAGTAAGTTATATCAAATAACTGTATAATTTTGATTCACTGTCGGCCAAATAGCATGAACGCATAAACCAGGGTGATAGAAAGACTGCGGAATTGAGCAATTTTTCAAGTCCTTGGGTTCTGATCGGGCAGCGGTCTAGGCTGCAGCACAAAGGCTGAACATACCTATTAAAATTCACGTCATCTTGGATAAATGTCGGCTTGTTGAGAAGTGTCAGCTTGGATAAAGCTATGTTTCATGGTTCGAAATAGAAATGTGGACGGGTCGGGATCGAATCCACGGAGTCATTGCCCTTGTCACCGCAGCCTCACCTAATCCCTGAGAGCCAAGCGTCGAAAGAAATGCTCCAACTCCAAGAGCGATCAATCAAATACTGAGTAAGTGTGTTCATCTTCTAGTCAGAGGCCATTCTCGTCCATCTAAGAAAGTGCACACTGCACACGCAACACACCAGTGATGTTTGAGTATCATCGCTTTGCATTTGCAGAGATTTTCCGTTGCTTTAACACTTGCAAGTAATGTCTGCACACCTTTCACTCTAGTGTTCAGGATTCTTTTTGAACATTCCTTAAAAATAGCTCCTGGCAGTACCGAAAATGGCTCTCTATGTGGACATAGAATATCAAGCAATCTATGGAGACAAATTCCCCAGCATCGAGATCCGACAATCTCTCATTAAATCCAAGTCGTCTCCGTTATTCAATGACAACTCCTTTAAGAAAAAGACAACCTGTTCAGATATTTCAACCAGTTAACGCCAGAGCGAGTTCCTCGGGCAGCAAAAAGCAACAGATAGGACCCGTGCGTCTGTTGGAGCGAACGGGAGACCTACTGTTCCAATCTATTCGTATTCATTTAGGATTCATGCCCAAATACCCAGCTTTTGCGTCTGGCCAAGCTCAGTGACAAGGTGGAGCAGCTCGAATAAGCCACACGAAAACACATGAGGAGCTTTGCATGAACCATTCATTTTACACCCCGTTCACCCGCGTCAACATTGTTGATTCCCGAGGCTCTGGTTTCGCCCTTGCATAGCCAGCATCTGGACATCCAATCCCAAGTCTCGGGATGCACGCCGAAGGACGCGGTCCCTGGGGCCGAAGAGTGGGTCAGTGTCTTACGACGCTCATTCGGCTCACCACGGCGTGTCAACCATGTGGCACACATGGCCAATGCATTATTGACGTCTGAGAAGTTGGTCAAATTTTCAAGTCAAATGTGCGGAGCTAGTTCAGGATGCGGGATTTTTGACTAGCTTGTTCTAGGATGCATTTCTTCGGTGCGTATCAGGGTAACCACGTTTTCCCGTACAGAACTCTATAGCTGGAAGAATCCCAAGCACCACCAAGGCTGTAGCCCTTTCTTATCTCACCGCACCTATCACTGTGATAGAAAGATTGCACCTGTCAAAGAATGAAAGCAACTACTTTTTCTCCCAGATTTTGGGCGAAGCTAGAGCCTGTCGGAAAAGGCCTATACAGCCCCACATCTCAGGTTAGACAGACAACCTTGCCATAACTGTGCTATCGAAAAGTGCCGATCCGACATAGCTGATTCGTATCGCTTTGATTCGCCCGGACTGTTCACACCAAAGGGGGCCCTTATGTAGATCTAAAACCTCGCTCCACCAAGTTGGAGAATCTTTACAATTCGGTGCCACTCGACCCGGGCTCTGAAATCACCATCGATGGAGAATGAAGCGTTTGATGGGTCCCTGGTGGACTAAACAGAACTACTAGCCATGACACGGTATGTAGGCCGCTCCTAATTCAAGACTGGTTCAGGATTTTTGGTTTCTCGACTCGGAGGAAGAATACTCGCCTTTTTCCCTCTCCCCAGTCCCTCAGCCAACGTTGATACTGTAGTCCGTACCCTGTTCTACAAATCTACGACCCTGAGCTCATTGTCCCTGTAAACTGTTCCATCCCACATATTTACACACTCACCTCGGCCTCCCTTCCGACGCTTTTCTTATAAAATTTCCCCCGGACCCCATATTACCCCGGTTCTTCTCTCTACTAGGAGCAAGGAAACGAGAAACCTCCTTGTGAAGTCTGAATCCTTTATCTGACCATTGTCGACGTTGTATTTTGTGCGCTCCAACCTTCCACAATGCGGATTTCACCCTCACTGGTTCGGCTCCTGGTAAGTCACCACCTCTTTCTTCTCGACCTTCCTAGAGACTCCCAATGCTAACTTAAGGACCTACTCAGATCGTGCTCTTCGTTGCACTTGGCTCCCTCACCTATGGATACTGCAGTAGCATTATCGCCACGACATTGGGACAACCCTCCTTCATCAGCTATTTCGCTCTCGACACACGCTCCAATGCGACAGACCTTATTGGAGCCATCAATGGACTCTATCAAGCTGGAGGACTTTTCGGATGTCTCTCATGCATCAAATCTGCAGATTGGTTTGGCCGCAGAAAAGCCATTTTGTTCACCTCAGTGATCACGGTCATCGGAGGTGCTCTCCAATCCGGCAGCGTCAACATCGGCATGTACATCGCTATGCGATTCATTACCGGCTTCGGAATAGGTGAGTTCTCTGTGCGGGCTCACGGCAATTGAAGTACGCGCTAACAAAGTCGTCAGGCGCCCTGGTCACCCTTGTGCCTCTGTATCAGTCCGAGATATCACCCCCTCGGATCCGTGGCTGGCTTGTAGGCATGCACGGAGTTTTTATTTGCGTGGGGTATTCCCTCGCAAGCTGGGTCGGACTAGGCTTCTATTTCGTCAACGCAAGCGGCGCACAATGGCGGCTGCCGCTGGCGATCCAGTGCTTGCCACCTCTATTCTTGTCGCTCGGTATCCTTCTCCTCCCAGAGTCTCCGAGATGGCTACTGGACCATGATCGCGTGGAAGACGCATACAAGTCATTCAAGACAGTCCGCGCAGAAACCACGGACAACATCGCCAACAACGAAGGGGCTCTCTTGGCCGAGTTCAACTTGCTTCAGGGCCAATTACTTCATGAGAAGCAGGAAGAGCTGTCTCTACTTGACCTCTTCAGACGACCGTCTATGAGGAAGAGATGCATCATTGGGTGGCTCACAATGTTTGGTGCCCAGGGAACTGCGACTTTGGTCATTAACAGTAAGTTTCACTGAGGTTTTCGGTTATGTCGTCTCCACAACGCTGACGCTGTATCATCCAGACTATGGTCCTTCGCTATATGCATCTTTGGGCTTCGGAACTGTCCAACAACTTCTCATTCAAGGTGGATGGATCACTGTCTGTCCTTTTGGCAATTGGATCAATGCATTGGTTGTTGATAAAATCGGTCGGACTCGAATGCTCAGTAAGTCCCACAAGCACCGTGCTGAATTTAGGGGAAAGCTAAGCTGACCACCGCGGCACAGTGTTCGGTTTCGCTGGTTGCGTTATCGCTCTGATCGGCGAATGCATTACTGTCGACGTCTTCCAACGCACGGGTCACCGAAGCGCTGCCAGCGCGGCAGTGTTCTTCCTGTTCTTGCACATTGGATTCTTCTCCGTCTCGTGCGATGCGACGTCTTACATCTACGCTTCCGAAATCTTCCCAACTCCCGTGCGAGCAAAGGGTCTTTCTGTATCGGTGTCAGGTCTATTCGTGGCCACCATCATTTTCCTCCAATGTGCACCAGAAGCCTTCTCAACAATTGGCTGGAAGTATTACACCGTCTTCATCTCAATCACCACTGTCATCTTCTTCATAGTCTGGTTCTGGTTCCCTGAGACACGTGGACGTTCTCTTGAAGACATTGGCGAACTCTTTGGCGACTCTGTTGAACCAGTGCCAGTGCCTGAGAAAGGTCAAGCAGAGAACATCGAGGTGGTGCACACTGGAGAAATGCGAGAGAAATTGTGAATTAAGGGGCCCGGTGTGGCATCTTCCTCGAGGCCTCACCATATCTCAAGGATGCACATAGATTCAAAGCCTTAGTGCCGGAAGCAATGAGGATATGTGTCGGGTGCTTTGCTTATGCGTTAGCTAGCTAGAAACAAACAGATATTTTCATTCAAAAACGTATGGTAAGATTTAGTTAAAGGTTGAAAGAATCAGATTCAAAAGTTACGAGGTAGTAAATTCGCTAAAGTAAATCCAGGGTTATTAGAGCTACAGTGTACGGAGTACATAACTAGCCTGCAGGGGACCCTTGAGCCTGAACTAGCTTCTACGAATAGGCATTAAGCAGCGCTCCCTATACGAGTCTTCTCCCACCTGAATCGGCTGGGAGTAGACTCTTCTCCTTTTCAAGCGTTGAGTCGTTGTCCATAGGACATACAGTCAAATAGACAACCTAGCTACATTCATCATCAGTGCCCACCGCGCCTAGGTGGCTCGAGTCCTGATAGTCGGACTTCCACAGAACGACCTCGGCTATCTCGACCGACTTTACGTTTCACCATTATGGCCGCGGAAAAGAGAAAGATTGCCATCATTGGCGCTGGACCGGTCGGCTGCGCCTTTGCAGTACATCTTGTGAAGGCCGGACACGAAGTCGCAATCGTAGGTCGAGGCCAGAGACTTGCAAGTCTCCAGGCAAATGGCGGTGTTCTCACGAAGAAATCGGAGAAAGCGACGGAGATCTCGAAGACTCCTGTGGTCGCCGTCGGATCCCTCGACACCGTACAACCCTGGGACCTTGTCCTCTTGACCGTTACCGAGCACCAATTTGATGAGCAATTATTCGCTACGCTCAAGGCATGTCCAACGTCAACCGAGATTCTATTCATGTTCAACACTTTTGCATCACTTAGCGGATACTTCGACGTTTTAGGAAAGGAACGCTGCATTATAGGATTTCCGGCGATCATGGCCTGTTTCTACGACGGAGCATTGGTGCACCAATTTGTGAACTTCGGCCAGATTACTATTGTCTCATCACCCGAATGGCGCTCTATCTTCTCCTCGGCAGGGATTAAGTGTGTCCACGAGCCTGATATGCAGAGCTGGCTACGCACACATGCCGCCATCGCCGTTGGTGTCATGAGCGCGACCGTTGCGGCTGCCAAGAGGAAATCGGGAGTGACATGGGCAGAAGCAAACCTCAGTGCCGAGGCGGCTAAGGAAGGGCTTGCGCTGGTCCAAAAGCTGGGGAATAGTGTCACGCCCAAATTAATATACTATCTTGGTGTCGCGGCGCCGAGTTTTGTGCTCACCGGGCTGCTTTGGGTTTTGACGAGAGTATCGAGTGTGCGCAATAACCCCCAAGTACTGCCGAAGTGGGAACGAGAGATGCTTGGTTTGGCGGAAAGCATTATTGCAGCAGCGCCTGATAAAGACGAGGTAAGACTAGTTAGCCAGCTTCGGGGGAAGTATGCATAAGTGAAAGGTTACTGGCCCAATAGGTAAACTCCACCTGTAACACTACCTCCTAGAGTTGCAGTAGAGTTGCAGTTAGAAGGATAGACCCCCCAAGATTTGATTTGAGATAGCATGTTTTGACGTAATTCTACGGCATCATCATCTTTGGACCGCCTAAAACGGGAGCGGATTTCCGGGCAACGACTTTCACAGTTCAACGTAAAGTGCAGGGAAATGTCCTGCCGACATTGGCGGCCAGTGGTGATGCTATGGGAGGGTTTCTTCCCTCGATGCCTTGTCAAGCCTGGAACTTTGCATAAATTGCTTATGCAAAAGCTATTTAAGACTTTACGAAAACCTAGGCAGCGCTGATATATAGTGGCAAGAAGGCCTTGTCAGTGCCCGATTGCTATGTCTCAGACATGGAGTTTTCCCCGATCTCGAAAGCGTACTGGTCTTGGTCTCCCACAATGTCCCAATCCTGGAAATTCGGCCAATCCGCCAAACAGGGTAAAGTGGGATCTCGAAGAAATACTGATGAAGCCTCTTGGTGATCTAAAAACGACCATGGTCCCTCAGAAGCAGCGGTCGATACTCCTGTGGTACTGAAGGCATGGTCCTCCAAGATCTCATGTAGCAAGCCCGCTTCCGCCTGGATGAGAGCTGGTTTCGATAATATGACTTGGTTGTCGATCAGCGAGACAGTTGGTGTAGAGTCGGGTCCTTCTTCCTGTGCTTTTCACAAAGGTCGTGATATTGGTTCCATTTGCGCCATCAGCAACATATGCAAAAGATATCGATGGATTGACATTGTTGATCCGGTTATAAGAGCGTTTCAGAAGGCGCCAAATAGCGAGATGGCCCTCGCTATAAGCAAAGTCCAGCGCCTGGTGGTACTGTCCTTCAGTATCAGACTCGTCGATTTCAGCTCCAGAGTTTAAAAGCAACTGCACCATGTCGATATGGCCGTGCTGAGCTGCGCCCTCGAGGGCCGTCCGCTCATCAGTCGGTGCGCGAGGGGCGTCAACTCGAGCACCAAGCCTGATAACCAATCGCGCAACGTTGACATGGGCTCCGATGGCAGCAGCCTGCCGCGCTGTGACTCCGCCGCTGCTTGCTCCTTCATTGTCTACACGAGCGCCTGCTTCGATCAAGGCTAGGACTATCGATAGCAGCCCAGCACCCGCGGCTGCTTGGAGAGGTGTCCGAGCACGCTTTCCTGATAGGAAAGACCTGTTGACATCGGCACCAGCAGCAACAAGCATCTTGACAAGCTCCTCGTTCTGTGTTGCGATGGCTGCGACTAATACAGTTCGCCTCGTACCATCGTTGCAATCTCTCGTCCCTACAGTGAATGAATTGGATTAGCGCCCTACTGAAGTAATAAGGAGACTGTCGCTACGCTCCCTCGAAACGACCGAACCGCTGTGCCAAGAGGACTTTCTCCGTCACGAATTTCCTGTCCTTCTTTGAAAGTGGATAGTCTCCAGTTGTCCTCAATAGCACGTCGATCATCACTTTTTCTGACAACCGCATTGACATCTATACCTGCGTCTATAAATTGCTTCGTTAGAGTCCAGTCTCCATGGGAAATTGTGTACTGTAAGGCTAGACCGCCAAAATGTTTGCGAAGGCCATGATAGCGTATTGAATGAGCAGTGAGCAGCGCTCCAGCAATATCTTGCCCACGACTTGTTCGTACGGCTGCCAGCAATGCTCCTGGGTGACGACGTCAGTCTCCGCACCAGCACGTAGCAACCTAAACACCAATCCTAAGTCTGCCTGTGAGGCCGCAGCCTCTAGCGCTGTTGTGCTGTATGAAAGTCCAGAGAGGTCGTTCACATTTGCACCCTTCAAAAGCAGAAGGTCGACGATTCCAGGATTATTTTTTTGAATTGCGAGAACCAAATGCGTATGCCACTTACGAGGCATGTCATCTTCATAGCCCAAGTTTTCATCCACCCCTATGTGCCCTTCCGAAGCGTTAATATCACCGCCGGCACTGATGAGGGACTGAATCAAACTATCGAAACCATCTGCACTGCGAATTATTGCTCCCTGTATGGCAAAGGGATAGTTACCGCAAGTAACGTCAGCTTTAGCCCCATGTGAGAGGAGCCACTCAACGGTTTGTCGGGAGTTTGAGAGCGTCGCAGTAATCAGTGGGTGCGGATGCGTTCCCATGGATGCGTTAATGTCGGCTCCAGCCTCCAATAACATTTCCAAACCTTCTGTCATCGCTCCTCGCGGCAGCGCTCAGGGCTAGTGGTGATGCTGGTTGGCCAACTTTAGCCCCAGCTTCAAGGAGCAGCCGCACAATTCCAGTATGTCCGTGGTATGTAGCCGCCGAAAGTGCTGTAAATGACTTTGGTAACGCGGGTCTGTCAAAGTGTACTACGCCCGCATCGGCATGAATATCAGCTTGGTGTCTCAGCAGCAGCTTGACTTCAAACATGTTTCCAGCGTAACTTGCGGCTTGAAGAGGTGTCCAAATTGGAGGTGATTGGTTCATGACAGGTCTTTTAGGGTTGACATTTGCCCCTGAGTCAACCAGTAGCCTCATTACAGATTTGTGCGAAGGCGAGTTTGAGGAAGCAGCAGCGATAAGTGCACAATCACCAGAAGGGAATTGTTCGTTTGTATTGACGCCTTTTCCAAGAAGGAACTTTACCAATGCTTCATTTCCCTGCTCTGCTGCGAAATACAGAGTAAATCTTGTTATTTAGGCCGCTACCTCGTGTAATAGCAGAAAAGTGTTCGTATCGTCGAGATCGGCAGCCCTCTCCAAAATTGATCGTGGGGTTGGAAAGCAGTAAAGGTCGCCGGCTTCGTCAAGCATAGATGCCTCTATCCATATAGGTTCGGCAGTTGCTTTCACCCTTGCTTGAAGTAGGTGATGGATCGTTTCTTGCAGGAGTCGTCATTTGTGTCCAGACAGTCAGGAAGGGCTAGAGCGAGTATCTCAGCGCCTTGTTGTCCGTCCAATTCCATAGAGGCACCATTATCAAGTAGCGCTTTTATGAGGAAAGGCCCGGGGGCTTTATGGTCTTGAAATGCGCATTTAAGCATACTTGCGCCTGTCCTTGGTCGGTAAGATCCATCAACTTTTGCGCCATGATTCAGTAAAAGCAGAGTTATCTCACAATCGAAGCTCGCAACAGCCTTTTCTAAGGGGCTCTCACCATCTTTTATAACAGAATGTGCGCCATTGACGTCTGCACCTGCCAAGATCAGTACTTTGACGGACTCTACTTTGTTGAAGTATGCGGCATAGGCAAGTGGCGTCGTCAGAATCCCTAGCCAGGAGACCACCTGCTCGTTCGGATCGATACCTAACCCAAGAAGCATCGATAGCATCTGCGTATCGTGAAGTTTTGCGTAGCGGAAAAGGTTCTCCGCCACCGCTTCAGTGGTAGCACCTTCGTGCCAGACCAAATCTCTCAAGTGAGAAAAGCGGCTAGGAGGCGGGACCAATTCTAGTAATTTGGCAATACCAGAATTCGTCATTAAATTGTTGGACAGAGTAAAGGCTAGTAACAGTAGAAGCTGTATATTCGCGTTGTGTTTCGTGAGACCACCAAAGTCTTGACCCTGAGGTGTATCAGTCTGACTGTGCTGGGCAGAAGAGCCGAAATCATGCTGATCTGACGGGATGGTTCCACGACATAGCAGGAAGGGAACATGGATCCGAACAAAGTTGAATATACGGAGCTTGTCGACGGAAATGGCAGACTTTGGTTCGTTGTTTGATCATGATGGCCTCCAGCGCTTGATGACTGATGTTGTAGGTTAGACAGAGCATTGTACGCTAGAAATAACACTAGCACTCGATAAAGGATACCTCTCGAAACTTGACCTACGTTGTGCTTCCAGTGAAGCGCTGAAGCGTGCCCATGGAAGCTGTTGAATGAGGGGTGCTAACAGCTGGCATGGCTGAGGTGTCCAGATAGAAACTCGATTTGGAAGTTCTGGCGTGCGAGCTGTTCACTGTCAGTATGTGAGAGATGCGAGATGAACAAACATACGTTCTTGCTGGGACCTTGTCACAACGTCTATGGCATTCCTTGTGGCCTTTTCCCTCAGTTTATTCGGTGGAATGAGGGTCTCGTCAATGCAGACATCACTTTCGATTCCCATGCGCTTTCTCTTTTGAACAACACAATCGATGTCTATCCAACCTTGATGTTTAACCTTCTTGCGCAGACCCATGTCATTGAATGCGTCTCGTATTGGCTTTTGCTGCGAATTTTCATCTAAGTCAGGATGTGAGAGATCCAGACAAACGTTGCCGAAAATTGATGCTCAGCAAACATGATAGCCCGCACCGTTTTGAGGCTTTTCCCCTCAGAGATATAGAGCTGTTGAATAATATCGCGTTTGGCCTCCCAGTCATCACGTTGTGGGCCACTAGGTGGCCGACCTTGAACCATTGTGTTGACGATCACGAAGGCGTACTTTCGACTGGCGCCATGTTGCTCTTAAAGACGTTCTGACAGTGGTTTTAAGGCTGAGATTTAGCGGAAAGATTCCTTTGGTTTCCCTGAGCAAGGATCCGAAATCTGCATTTTGCGGAGTTTTGGAAGCCTGACCGCGGCCTAGATGGCAAGGATCAGGAGCCAATGGCATCTGAACAATTGCGCATCCCGCTCTGATAGGCAAATGGCTCAAAGGTTCCAGCTGATCATCCCTTTCCTGGATCTCAAAAGTGCGTGCCTACGCCATTGGCAGGGCGCGGACAATATTTGGAAACCTTGCTACCAACATCCGGTTTGTTCAGAATCCATAATAGTCACTATATTGGCGGCAGACGTCTGCTTTGAAGGTGTTAAAGATTCTCAAAACTGGGCCAATTTCTCGCGCGTCCGATGAAAACCCCCCGCATTTCTGGCGATGGTACTCGTACACGCACAAATCAACCCCCTGGCCCTGATATGGGCACACCCGTTGCTCAGGCTGATTGGTCACCGTGATCATTCACGTGCTGGACTTGCTCAAGTTGAAGCGGCGAGGCTCAGGGTCGCGCTCAGGTCCAAAGATGGAAATAGAAAGTGACCATGTCTGGATTCCGACGTCGAATTGCCTGTTTCTTGAGACCACATTTGAAAATTATTGTGCAAGTCACGTTTCTTGTTCCCATGCTTGCTGATTCGTGAAAGTATGCGTGAGTAGATATGTGTCTAGTAGTGGTCTGGTGCCAGTCCAAAACTCTCAGATTCGTACAAACAGCTTGGACCTGCCCGGTATATAGTCCTCTGGGTATTATCAAGTTCCACTACTCGTTAGCAGTCGCATATTACCTAATTCTCTGCACAGCCAGGACATAAAGGAAACCGGGGTAGCAGGTAGGAATTACTCGTACTCGACGTTAACGTTTCGGGCATTCGAGACAAGGCTCAAAACAAACAAGAAACACCATTTGATGCAATTATAGTCGGGGTATTTAGCACCCATGAAAGGGTTGAGTGAATCTATCAAGCCCATGTGCTAATGCCCTAATGCTCACTTGCGTGGTACATCTTTGTTCCATGGATCACATGCAACTTCCATTCCAGTTCTTCTGCCTTGGAGGCCCAGGTTAGAGGTACAAAGTAATGAGAAAAGACACAAAATATGTACGGGTGTACCAATGCCCTTCGTGTCAGCCATGACGGAGAGAATCTCTCTGCCAACAAGGACGCCGCCGTTTTCTAACTTAGGACTTCAAGTCCTCCAGATCTACTCCATGTGCAATAGGGGGAACTCGGAGAGTAATAAACAAAATCCAAGGATGCGTTGCTCCGATAGAAAGAGTACATCGCAAAGCACTTAATTTAAGAGCTTGATCATGTCGCTCGGCACCCTTCCGCTCGGTGAGACGGTGTGTGGGTTACCCCAGTCGTGACCTGGTAAAGATGGAGGTGTTTCTGGAGCTGGACTGGCCTCTACACTCGAGTATTCAGACTTCTCAATGGGATGAACCGTCTCATTTGAATGCCGACGTGGAGATAATGGCTCGGGGGAATGCTTTTTGGGAGCCATAACACTCGTCACCGTAGACTTAGTGATCCTGTGTGTAGCGGTAATTCGTGTCTGATTGTTGGAATTGTTGGAAGCACGGATTTTGGTGACTTTCGGTCGCCTGTTGAGCGATGTCTTAGACTTGAGAGTGGATTTAGTCTGATTCTCCTTTCCAAGGACATCTGCAATTTTCCTTCCATTGCTTGCGGCATTTTTGAGTTGAGTCTTCCTCACTTTGTCTATCTTTTCGCTTCGTGATGTGACGTGCAGTTTGATCTTTAACGGCGATCCATTGGGGGTTCGAGGCGTTTTTGAGGGTGTCCGAGGAGCGTCTCCATTCTGACTTCGTGGTGGAGTCATCGTATAAAGTACTGGAGAAGGAAGTAACCGTTGAACAGGCCTCTCGACCTTCTTCGGTGATGGCGGAATAACCACTTCAATACTGCCTTGAGAAGATTTGACCTTTTCAAGGTCTGCGTCTGTGTAGTTCTCTTTGACATCTGGCCTTTCGTCGTCCCATTCTCTCAGACCAGCCAACCGAGCTACCTCGTCACTGTCGGCCTTCACAACCAGATCCCACAGATTTTCGAGATCTTTGCCTGGAGGCACAGGATCTCGGTTGATCCAAATTGTGGTCCCCTCCCGTCGATCTCGAACTATTTGGCACATTTCATGAACAATCCTTCGGACTGCGGGGATTTTCATGCTTGTACCAACCACCACGACCGCATCTGGTCTGGTGCGAAAGTCAGCTGTGGTGACCGCTCCAATTGCTTCGTCATCAGGATTGTGCTCATTGTAAAGGACGATTCTTGGGCGTAGTCTTCCAACCCCATGGCTCCTTTTGCCAGCGTGGGCAGTTCGAAGTGTATCTGCTGCTACACATTGGGGACATAGTGGAGGGGTCGGTCCCTCGAAAAGATGGGCCTGAAAGTCGGAAATGTGTCTACATTTCTGGCACATCATTTTCTCGAGTCCTCCGTGTAACTGGATGGTTTGTGGCCAGGGTGCTTTGTGGTTTAGGGGGACTTGTGTTGCCAGAGGTGGCAGCGAGCTTTCCAGACCATCTACATTCTGAGTATACAAGCGCAATAGTCGGCCTTCGGTGGACAACCTGGCAAGGAAGCGATGGAAAGCAGTTGGCTTGGCGTTTCCAGACAGCTTGGATAGCTTACGGACCATGTCGTGAAAACTGGAGGTGGAATGGTCATCTTTGTAGACTGAAGCATCGAAGAGCATTTTGCCGGAACCTTTGAGCTTGTGCTCACCGCGCAAGCTTGTGAAAAGGCCATCGGATGATCTGAAGTCGGGGATTCCTGCTGAAACAGAGATGCCGGCCCCTGCAACAACCACAATTTTCCTCCGATTTCTGAGAGCTTTCAGCAGCGTGTCCAGTGCCTCGACTCGGTCATAGTCAGATTGCGCAATGTCAGAAGTGAGGTCTAGATGTTGTGTGGTGCGAATCTTGGGTTCGATCTTCCTGCGCTTACGTGGAGGGGGCATGTCGTCGCCAGCATGTTGCGAAGGTGGGGGCGTAAGAGTAGAGGTCTGCCATCCAGGTGGTAGAATGGGTGAACTTGGAGGAGAAGATAAAGGCGAGCTGGGAGGAGAGCTCAGAGGTGAGGATATGTCAGAATAATCTTCGGGTGACATGGTGGCAATCGGTGAAGTGGTAAACGAATGACTATTATAGCATGATTCACTCTGTTTGTGTAGGGAAAGAGTGACCGTTCCAGACCCTTCCTCTTCGATCTGTGCCAAAAGCAGTGACCGTGCACTTCGGATAGGACCAACTGCTAGATCCCGGGGTGGTGAATACGGATACAGGTCAAGGGGAGGAGGGGAGGAACAAAGGGTCAAGAAGGGAAAAGGAAGAGAAAGAAGAGGCGCAGTTTGAGGATGAGGCTGGAACCGTGGACGTTGAGGACGGAGGACGGAGGAGGTGGAATGACTACGCCAGGCCTGCGAGCCACCCAGAGGAAGAGGTACTCCGTATATTTCCTTGTACTACGGGGAGCGACCAGTGGTGTATGTACAAGGTTTGTTGTGCACTCTGGCCGGCCGGATCGTCAGCGGCTGCAAGATGAGGGAAGAAGACGGGAGTGGGAGGCTGGGGGGACCAAGGTAGACTAACCAACAGGGGGGAACGAGAGACGGGAGAGGGGCCAGGGGAGGCCCCCAACCTTGGGAGCGTCGGAGGGTCCTGGGCTGCATGCAAAACAATGGCGACACGAATCCACAACAAAACCCAGAAATGCATCGTCCCTGGGGGGCATGGGGCACAAGGGCCAAGGCACGAACCACCTAGGATGAACTGAGTTAGGGGCCACCTGGGCCGTAAGCGCCACGGGTCGCCTATCACTCTTCCCTCCTACAGTACGTGCGCCCGGCTAAAAAGGCGAACAGGTTGGTGCCTGACCAAGACCTATACAGCATTCCTCCTGGGTACCCAAAGGAACAATCTTATTAAATGTAATGATAGACGCCTGGTCGCTCTGCACAGCAATCTACTGTGCTGACAGGTCAAGTAAATAAATTCTCCCTTGTCCGAGTAGAAATACAGCAAAGTGTCGCCTCTCAATGGGCTGCTAAGTGACAATCACTCACCAATGGGTTACTCGTACAGTAGTCACCAGCTAAACCACCCACTGTAGGCGGCAGCAAATGAGCCCAAATGCCTCAACCCTGTTTCCCCGGCTACCGTTAAGGGAACCATGTGCCGACTACAAAGGGCCTGTGGCTTGACTGCAGCGGCCGAGGGAGACTAGGTTCATAGCGGTTAGTCGCCTCAGGGCCCTTATTAGCGTCCCCTGCCTGTGGCCCATCTCCAACCCTTCCACACGACTTCGACTACAGTGCACATCTGGTGTAATGCAATAAATGTACTAATATGTCCACTTCAGTCTGCTAGGTACCAAGTAGTGTAAGTACCTGAGGAGACCCGTCAATCAAGATTCAAGATCTTCCACCCTTGGGTGTCCACGCTCACACTTCAGGACCAGTGGTCCAACCGTTAAACGATCAGATAATAGAGCTAAGTCACTAAGATAGATGGTAAGTATTTAATTATAAAACCATTTGATCAAGCTTTTCCGCCCTTAGGTTTCTCTATAGACTGATTTCAGGAGCAGTAGTCAAGTCGGTGAATATGCAGATGATGGACGGTCTGCTTGGAGATATAGCCGTAGAAATGCGACCATAATTGTGGAACTAGCAATGCCAAGACGGTTTTGTGCGTACGTTAGTATAGTTTGGAAAGGCAAGCACTATTGGTACGTTGCAGGGAAACTGCTTGATAACTTTTGTCGACACAAAGTATCACAGTGGTGGCTCTAACCAAAGTTGCATCAGGCTGCAGATGAGCGTCGCCCTCTTCTTCAGTTAGTGCACATGGTTGTATTGTCGAGATCCACGTCGACCTCGTCACCAGTACCAATTCCCGAGCAGTCATGCGTGACGATTAGATTTCTGGTAGTCGCAATGTCTGTAATCGACACAATGCTCTGCGTATAACTGTTTCCAGAGTAGCACAAACCGTCTAGAGATACGGAGTCATCCTGATTACCTGCGATGGGAACACTAAGAGTACAGCTTCCGCCCCTGACACTTGCGTACGGCGCAGAGTACCAATATGTAAGAGTGTAGTCGCCGTTTCCGGGGGGCAAGCTTTGGCTGACGGTGCTGAGCAGCGTGTTGTACCCGTAGAAGGTTATGTCCTAGTGTTGATTAGCCATGCTGTTTGTCGTAGCAGCTATCAAGTTCGCACACAAGAGAAAGCTTACACGAAAATATGGCCATCTTGCGGTTAGTAGCCGTTGTTGGTGCTAGACTCAAAGTATGAATCACCAGACAATGTCCAGCCACCCGCAATTGCTCCGGTCTTATACAGGAATCCAGCTGGAACACCCTCGAAACTACCGTCAGTAGCAGGCGTCTAGACCAAGATGTTCGAAGTGAAAACAGGTTCGCAGGTGGCATCAAGCAACATATCAAGCATTATTGCGCGCGGCTTCGACGGCGTGTGGTTGCTGCCCATGTCGAGATTCAGTTGGTCCAGAGTTGCCATGTGGGCACAGACTTGGGCATTATTAGTTATCGAGAATGTTCCATCTTAGGACCAGCGATCCCCAGGTTCAGCGGAGGGAAGAGCATCTAAATCTTGGTGAGGAGGTTTTCGGTACAGGGGCCGAACTAATCAACGCCACTAATATCCTCTAGGGACGGTAGCCTTGTCGAGGAGTTCTGTGGTCGCCTCCAGAAGCTTGATTCAATCTTCCTACCCAGGATCTCATCCACTCGGATAGTTTACCCGCCTAGAAACGGGACCATATCGCTTGAGTATGTACGTACTCCCGTATATACCAGACACATAGCAAGATAATCCTGTGCAGTTTTGAATTTCAAGGCTTTTAGGCCTCTTTATGGATGAGAACTGCCAAAATTGGTGGATATCAGTATCCTATGCGTGTTCGAATGGTGGCGACAGAAACCGGTCCAGCAAGCACGGAGTACATTTTTGTGCCAAGAGAGCAGGATAACGGTGCCAAGGTTGCATCAGAGGATAGCACAAGAATTGAATTCTATACTTGCCTCCGTAAGGTCAGTGGCCCACGTAGTAGACGTTATCCTGGAAAGGAAACTGATCGTGTCAGAGTCACAAGGTCAGCATGCCAGCCATTTACGGAGATTTCTCCATTGGACAGCGGCAACAATCTTCATAGCCTGCTTAATAGCATATGCATGCAAGAGATTGAGTGGCATATATGTATGTAACGACAGCGAGATCAGAAACGGGGCTGAGCAACGCCAGTGAGAGGGACGAGGAGAGTAACCGGTACCCTGATCAGGCTGAGCAACTTCACGCCGAGGCTGAGCCGAAATTGAGCCAGGTCACATGGTGCCTGAGTAAAGCAGCAGGCCGCGTTCCCAAACGGGCCTCGTGGGCCAAAACACATTTGTGATACTGACGCCGCTGAATACCATATCACCCAGGGTACAACCCCAGACCTTTGTGCAAGACCGAGGTAACATTACTTCTTCCATACCGAAAGAGAAATATTGGAAAGGCGTGCCGTGTCCGAAAGGATGTTTGATCTACGGTGATCAACAGATTAAGATGGATCAGCTCGATCAGATTAATCCAAATGAAGGTGACTTTGCCTCGGAGGCTTTCTTCAATCAAGGATCTCTGCAGCAGATCCAGCAGCCTAATGGTACCTCTGGCCTGGAAGCTGTCGGAAATGTTACTTTGCCCACCAACCCCGCAGTCATTCAACAGCTCACCCGACAATGGAATTCTGGCTGTTCAGACCGAGTCGCCTGGTCAAGGCATGGACATATTGCCAGTATCTCCAATGACGGCACGTCAGTCTACCTGGAGTGCCTCTTTTTCAATCGTTCCTCTGGCGCATGGGACTTAACCGGCAGACATACCCTCACCACCATTTTTGAGGATGCTGTCAGTCTGGCATGGAGTTCCACGGGAGGAGAACTCATTGTTGTCGACACAAAGGGAAGGACATGGGTCTTTCATAATTCTCCTGTCTCGATAAACCGCCTGATCTTAGTTAGGCAGGGAAGACTTGATGCTGTGGACGAGTATTCTCAACTCATTGGGATGGCCTGGCTGAATCAAGACCGTCAGGACCGGCCCAGGAACGTTGTCCTCCATGCTGCTAAGAACGATTCTCGATGGGTCCACAGCAACGCCAGGGCAAAACCACTCGGTCCTTATTGGCACCGTGCTGTGGCCATGGTACACCGCAATGGCAGACTCACGATATGCTACCAGAGAGGTGATATGCAGTACGTAAAGGTCACAAGGCAGCTGGGGCAGTCAGATGACACTCTCTACACACATGCTGCCTTCGCGCCGACTGTTGAAGGGAAGATGCTGGTCACATTACATGCGTGCATGGGTGTCATCTCAGTCTACCTTGTCCAGTTCGACTGGTCTGAAGTCAAGAGTAACCCCGAAGGCCAGGCAGCTCTGACGATCGAAGCCGTCTCTACTTGTGTCTCATCTTTGCCGACATCATCTGCTGCGCTCGGTGGAGACGCCTATGATCCTGACTCATGGCAACTGAGCCATCTAGAAGTGGTACAGACTTCTGATGTGGAAAAAGCAGTCCAGCTATCACCAGTTATTCTCGCTGTATCGACTGGCGTCAACAATTCAATCAGTATCGCGGATCCTGGCTATCTTGTCTCCAGTGTGATCAAGAAATGGGCTGTGACACCTGTTGAACAGAAACTACAGTCAAGATTTGACGACCTACCTTCCAAGGGGGCAAACACATCAGAGACGTCCTCGATATTCACATTGGAACGTCAACCAGACAAAGAGGAACAAGTGATTACTACCTTACGGCGTATCGATGGACTCCACGCAGTCATAATTACAACACAAGAGAACCGCACCGACTTTCTCAGCTCAGACGACCTATCGTCAGTATCCTACTCTGCATCCCTTACGGAGACAACTTCTATGGCTCAATCAGGGTTCGCATATCCATTCACTTCAACCATCCACTGTCCCGGATTTTCTCCCAATGCCTGCGTCCGAGCGGACGTGTCGCCCGAGGGCAAGACCCAAATAGTCGGCATGGAATATCAGTTCCAACAAGTCCAACTTCCACAAGAGCCCGACCCTAGCACGGAAGTCGCCCTGGCATCCCTGAATCTGTCATTTGCTCGAGCATGCTGGTCGAATTCTACTATCGACGACATCCTGTTCTGCGCTCTACGCACCGTGCCACCCGAATTAATCCCTACGCTTGTTTCAGGAATGTACCGGACGCTGTTCCGAGATACAGAGTACATCCACGAGAAAACGCAAGGCTCCGAACTGGAGCGAGTATTCCACAAGCAGGTCATGGGCAAAGTCATGGCATACCACGCCGGGCTGACAGCACACTGCCAGGGCCTCATCACGCCGGCGACCACGGGTTCAGGCAGATGTTGGCCGCTGACGGCGCAGTGGGCATGGCTCGCGAACAACATCCGCCACACGGCCACGATCCTTTACATGAGCCTCAGGGACTTCCAGAACCTCAACACCATCCTGAGCCCCGAGTTCACAGATATGCTATGCGCACAGATCAAATGGGGCCTGGGCGTCGTGCGCTTCATCCTCAACACGATCCTCGAAGTCGGCGACTGCGAATCAAACCCGGAAATCTTCATGGACGAAGTAGGAGGCACAAAGCCCAACAACGGCGCCCCAGCCGCAGGCAGTGGCGGCATCGGCCGACTCGGCGACACAGCCGGCGACGGCAGCCAGGGACTCGTCGCGCTGCTGCTCAATTGCCACTGGTCGCGCATCTTCCTGATCGCATTCGTGCGGGCGGTGCGCGCCTACGCGAAAGTCAACGAGCCCAAGTTCCGCCACCAGCTGCAACTCCTGCAATGCATCCAGCAGCAAACCAACGGGAAGGGCATCTCATTCCAGGCCATCGAAGCAATCCTGGAATACCGGTGGGCCGCGGTCGGCGACGTCGAGGGAAATACGGCCGCCACCGCCACGAAGCAGCTGCAGATGATGGCTACGGGAAATGTGTCGGAGGGGTATCAGGGCACCGTGAAGGCGCTGCTCTCGAAACTGATTAACAGTAGTGCTGGGCTGCGCGCGAAGATGCTGATTGATCGGTATCGTCTGTTTACGGACCCGGTTGGGTTGGATTATGTATTCCTGAATAACGAGGTTATCGGGTGTGGTGGAGACGCCGATGCGGTGAGGTTTGATATTCACCGCAAGAGGCCGATCCTTAAGGGGAACATAGAGGATGGGGGCACAGGGACGGGCGCGGGTGGTGGTGGCACTGGCTTGATGGTTAGGAAATGCGGGCGCTGTGGGAGCTATAGTGAGGATGTCAATGTCCCGGGCAGAGAATGGCCGCGGCAGATTGCGTCTATGATGGCCAGGTGTGTCTGTGATGGCGCTTGGATACTTGAACCTTGGGAGGCGAAAGTTTGAGATGTGATATTCCGCACGTGCATAGCCAGATAAATTTTTGAGAGCATTTTTTTCCACGTACGAAAAGCAGTTAACGAAGAGATAAAGTATTGATTGGTTAGTCATTGTGAATTTGGACTTTCATTTTTGGTTGGCATCGGGTACCAGGTATCTTTTGCACGAAGGAATATCCGTCCCCCAGGCCTAGTACGTTCCTAAGATGCTTATGCTGCACCACCAAGCTGACAGATGCTTCAAGCGTAGGAGTTCTTGGTAGAAAGGTGATATAACCCATCTCGCCTAAGGCTCGCTAGCCCCACTTGTGCCTCTTGATTGAATCTGTTCACGCCTTCATCCACACGAAGCCAGAATCCTCGCGAGAAAAAGGGAAAAAGCAAGACCATCTATTCGACTTTCACCGCATACTTCCGTTGGGGGAAGTGTGTCGACTTCTTCTTCTGCTTCTCGGTCACCCTGCTGGCATCCTTCTTGCTCAATCGGCGGCGGATGGCACGGGTCTGCTTCTGTCGGAGATCGAGTGGGAGATACTTTTTCTTGGCGTAGAAGATTCGGAGTTGGTGGCGTTGGTTGGCGTTGATGACGGTGAGGGTACGAGCGATGGATTTACGCAGGTCGTGTCTAATTTTCAAAGAGTTGTTAGTTTGAATATCTGGATCGGGCCTTTCTGTCTCTCTTGCGCTGCCCGCATTCTATTTTGACCCTTCATTCCCGGATGAAAGCACGTACATTCTCGTCAATTTTGATGAGGCGCCACCGGAGATCTTTTGGACACGGAGTTGACCCAACTCAGTCTTGAGTTCGTCGAGTTGTTTCTTTAGGTCGTCCTTGTTCTTGCCCCATAGTTGGCCAGGCTTGACTTTCGCGTTGGACGACTGTTGTATTCGTCAGCACACAATGGAATGCGAAGAGGGTGAGAATTGATATATCTTACCATCTTCACTGGATAAGATCTCGTCTGGGTCAAAAGTTTGCAAGTTGTAAGTGGGTGAACGTGGGCGCACTTTGATGTGGTTCGTTAGTGGTAGAATTTTGGAAGGTGCAGTTGTGGGCAATTGCCAAGATTCCACGCCACGTGATTGTATTTTTTTGGCCTGGAAGGAGGTGGCCGTTAATAGGAGCGGCATGAGCCGCATTAGGCTTGGCGTCCGCCTAGTCGCTTCCACCTCTGAGCCTCGTCGGAGAGCGTGACCAGTTCCCAAGATCCAAGGAATGTAAGGGGATGCCTATGATACAGAGTACTTGAACCAGCAATATGGATTCGAATCTTCAGCGAAAACCTGAAGCGTTGTAATCTGGTCCAACACTTATAATCCCTGTTCGATTTGCTCAGACGTCATCAATGGCAACCGGGACTGGATGGGCGCAGCTGCGCCAGCAGATCAGAACGTTAGAGAGCCAGGTGACTTCCACGGTCTATTATTTGATGCTTCCTCATACTGAAGCATTGCTAGACAGAATCCCTATTCCACACCTACTCACAATACGTCTCTACCCCGAACCTCCCCGCAAAGCCATCCGAAGAAGAACGTCACAACGAAGGTGAAATCGCAGAACTATTAGAAAAGGTAGATCCGCACGGCTAGTCTCAACCAATACAGGGCCCTTGTCTGATGACTTGGTGTAGCGCGATGGCCTCATATCCCAACTTTCTCGCCTTCTGGATTCAGAAAACGCACTGAGCACCTCAAGCCTCAAACAGAACAATCTCTCCCGACATCGCGAGGTCTTGACTGAGCATCGACAAGAACTTCGCCGTCTCAAATCATCCATCTCCGAAGCCAGAGACAGACAACATCTACTGGCGAATGTTCGATCAGACATTGATGCATTCCGAAATTCTAGCCCAGCGGAGGCAGAAGCAGAGTATATGCTTCAAGAGCGAGGCAGATTAGACCAGAGCCATAATGTCATTGATGGGGTGTTGGCACAAGCCTATGCAATCAATGAGAACTTTGGTATACAAAGGGAGACCTTAGCGAGCATCAACCGACGGATCACCTCGGCAGCGGCCCAAATCCCCGGGGTCAATGGCTTAATAGCAAGGATAGGTACCAAGCGAAGAAGGGACGGAATTATTCTCGGCAGCTTCATCGCATTCTGCTTCCTGATGCTGCTCTACTTCAGCTAGGTCGAAGCGTATCATGCCGCGACAGTGGACCATACCAGATGGCTTCGAGTTGAATACCGACGAAATATGATCAGAATGCTACAGCGTTAGTTGGGGGAAGAATGGTCACAATCGTGCGACACTGCTCCTAGTCCGGCATGAGGATCGAACCTGCTTTGAATTCGAGAAGCTGGCCCCGGTTTACACAACGGCGAGGTCTGGCAGACAAATTGTGGAAAGAGATCCTAGAGTAGTCGCCGGATCCCGACACGATTCTCACGGCTAGAGATAAAGCTGCCGTGTAGAAAGGAACACAAGCCTAAACCTGGTGCGTTTCGAGGCTGATGATACCTGCAATCAGGGCCAGCTGCGATGACGACCTCGCGGCAATGTCCCATCCGGCCATCGAATCCAGATGCAAAATGGAGGGATAGCACTAGGGAAGGATAAATACCGTCTCGGCTAAGCCCCGGGTTCGAGAGGCCTAAGTCGATGCTACAACTGCGCGAATCGGGAGAGTACATACATAATATTGTACATGTAAGGCTGTCAATATCTCGGGTGGTCGATCTCACCGTTGGGTCTGGCAACGAAGGTTAGCCATTAACCTTTGCTTTACACACAATCAGGACCTTGAACACAAAGTACTAGTCGATTTATCTTCTCCATAATGCATATATGGAGTGCTACTGATCTCTTGAGATGTAGGCCGTGTTGAAGTTGACGGAGCAGTACAGGTACCCCAATGCCGATCCTTCCAAGTCAGCAAGCTCCCACAATGAATTGAGCGGCACTGGTGGTGGCCCTGGTACGGAGTAGAAGAAGCGGCATATCTGCAGCCGAGCAAGCCACCCAAACCCGAACCCTGTTGCTCTACTTGACATACCAAGGACAGCATGTTCCGAAGTCCCAATGCGCGATAGACTTTTTCACTTTTCGCCCTGAGCTCGACCGCCTTGGCCTGGATATGGCGGCAGTGCGGCACAGATGGCTTCGTTCGGCTTTCAAGTCCAATGACCGAACCAACCATGGCTCTTCACCCTGGATTACCGTCGTTTCTTGGGGGCTGCTTGGTCGCTCTGCTTGTGCTGACTCTGTGCAACCCTTTTGCTCGTACAATGGAGGTCCCCGCGCTTGTCACTGGTGGGCCTCAGCAGCGCTTTGATGCTAACGTTCTTGTCATGTCGCAGTCGCACCGTCCAGGCCTCCTCGGCGTCTGTTCGCTTTTTTTAAGTTCATTCCAGTGTGACAGGTTTCTTCCTAGGCCGACCGCTCTCCTCGTAACCCTCGATCCCGACCTCAAGCATACTCGGTATCCTCCATCGTACCTCGTACTCTATCGTCCGTATCCAGGATAATTTCCCGGGGAAAAGGACGCGTGTCTCTTCAGCTGTCCTGTAGCCGAAACGGAGTACGTGACATACCATTGATTCTCCTCCGCGGCCCACGGGCACATGCCGAACGTCGTCGCTAGCCAATCCACCATTGCCATCCCATCGCTCCCTCCCTTGTCTCCAGCCCAAGCGACCGACCCTGGTCCTCCAAACTAATACTGTAAAATGCTTCATCGAGATAGAGTTCTCACCCAAGTCTTGGCTCTTCTTTCCAAACCCATCATCGCAACGATTCCCAACTTGGTAAGCCGCCACCGCATAATCTTCTCACCTACATCCAGTCCAGAGTACGAGGATACACTCACCTTCGACGTCAGAGGTCTGCCCGCCAGGTTAAACCTTTCGCCTGAACTGGGTCAGCACCGAAGTTCTTATCACCTCTCTTCCTGTTGGCCCGCCATACGCAATGAATTACCTGATTTTGAACCGTTAAAGGTGGTTTATAATCCATTCACGTGCAGGCACCGCACCATCCATCCTTCCAAGTTCGCTTCCGCCCCCTCCCCCAAAAACAAGCATTTCATGCATCAAGTAGTACCACGACGCTGCCTGGCTATCCCTACCCTCCTTGTCACAAAGACCCCGGGAGAAGAGGAGAATGCAGTGCCGGCCTACCCTCTCCATGGCGCGAAGAGTTAGGGCTTGAGCATCGAGCGAAGGAAAAAAAAAAGCCTCAATGTACATCCTTTCCTTCACACTGCCAAACAAGCATTTGCACCAAGCGCCAGCGAACCTGGTCCACCAAGAGAGAAAACTTTACCCTTTCTTCTCTTCTGCCCGTCGCCAATACCGTCTATGTTACACTCCACCTGTAATGATTTCACCGCATGGCGGACCCTCCGCCTGCTCTTGTTTCTTGGTGACGGCCCATTTCTTCCTTTTTGGCTGTTTTCCCTTTGGATTGCCTTGACAGACGGTGGATTTCCCACCGGCGCGGCTTCACTGATAACATCACAAGACTTCCCTGATGGCTTGATGTCACCGTCCTCTTTTTTGGTTCCTTTTCTAATTTGGTCTCCTTGAGGTTTTTGAGGGAACCTCTCTTTCCATCTTGCTTCCGTTTCACTTCACACATCTCCGCTGAGCTTACGTGTCGTGCAACTCTCCCATTACGAAGTCGCTTTTCCTCTGCCGCTCGTGGCTTTGGTCCTTTTGTCTACCGCGAGGCTCTAAGCAGATTCCATTAATTAGTTGCGTGCGCTGGTCCGCCCTTTTCTACCACAACACTTCACCATCTTTTTTGTGAGCCGTTGCTTGCTTTCGCTAGCGGGTGCCCGCAAGCGTCGATAATCATCTTTATAATTTTCCGGACCGAAACAACAAAGAAAGATCATCCTACCGCCGACATTGTTCCAGAACGAGAGACAATGGGAGCTGAATGGTAGAGACTTCTTACCTATCATAAGATATCTGTGCACGCCTGGCCCTGGTTGTTGGATGAGTAGGCAATGGACGATCCCGCCATTGGGCTTCTCAGCAGAGCAAGATTCAACTCACATTTCGAAAGATCAGGCCAACGGTTGCATTCGACCCAACCCTGTTTTTTCTGGCAGTGAGCAGACAACAAGTTACTAGAACCTGAGACAAACACCCTGCTTTGTTCTAGAGGGAGGCGTTTCTGGACACACGGCCATCCTCTACAGACAGCTACCACTTATACAATCTAGAACGGCGACTTAAAATTCATCCGTCTAATGTGCATCTATTATACCTATCACTGGAGCTGCTGCCCGGGCACGGCGCGGCCAGCTCCTTACTATGTGCACGAAATGTGCGACAAAGCAGCCACTCCAAAATCACACTCTGCTGGTAGTGGCACAAAACCGCTGAAGAAATGCAAAGTTGTACATGAAATTTTGGATGGCGCGGAATCCAACGATCCGTGTCCACAATGCGGGTATGTGGCAATTCTTTGAACCTTTCCTTTGGTGTTGAAACCGACCTTAATTCTAATTCTTTCTTGGTATAGAGCAAAACCTGAAAATTGCGATCAGGTGAATGTTGATGAATAAGTGACACTTGTATTCGAAATGACAACGAGCGCATATTTCCCTGACAATGGCTCGGGGATTCTAGGAACGGAGATGGCAATTTTTTGGTGTTTGAAGCGGCAGTGCTTTGCTGTTATGGAGTTTTGGTACATAATTTTTGGTTTGGCAGGGGAAACCCCGGTTGTGGATTTATTTGGCAGCGACGGAAGAACGCAACTTTTGTTCCTCATTGATGAGTCGCTGCACTGCAGCATTAAGGCCTTCGACTTCACCTTTCCAAGCGTGGCCGCTGCCCGCCCATCTGATTTTGCAGCTCGAGTCAACCAAGTATACATAGCCAACTTGAGAGTTTAGCAGACCCATCGCGTCGCGGACGTCGTCCGTCAGACCGCGACGGATGTCCCGAGGGAGCTTGACCATGAAATACTTGTGCCATCTTTCCTTGGGAATCATCGAACGGAGACGGCTGCTGAATAGTTTGACTAACAGGGCACGCATAAAGTCGCCCTGAATGTTGACATCGGCTCTCTGAGCGAGTCCATTACTTTCCTTGATGATATTCTCCAACTCGGGGTTTTCCTTAGAGCCAATAAACGTGTCCACCTGTTCCTCCGCCCATTGACCAGACTGAAACCCAATGATAGAGACCTTGCCCGTGATCAACGGCGTCATATCCCGCCCTCCATCTGGCCCATCGCCCTCCTCGGCCAACGTCTGACCCCAGATATTTGGAAAATACAGCGCTTTGTCTCGCTTAAACAGCCGGTCATTGGACACAAAACTCTTGCCCTTATGGTGATCGACGCGCCGCCACTCCTGGAAGTACGGTCGGAAGTACGAGCGCAGGTACACCCTCCGCCGCTCCATGGCCTTCTCGTAGCTCGCGAACTCATCTTTCTTCTCCTTGAGGCTCCGCCGGTCCAGCGGTGAGTTCTGCCCCGGCTGAGGAGGATATAGCAGCCCCAGAGGGAGGGCGAGCACCGAGGGCGTGAACTGCTCGCCTCGTTCGCCTTTGGGGATGGGGATTTTTGAGATTGCAGACTTATGGTCCGGGTTGCGGTCTAGGCCCACGTGCAGGGAGATTCTTTGGGCAGAAGTGCCCGGCGGAGGAGGAGCTTGCGCTGATGGCGCGGGATTGGGTCGAGGTGTGGTTGATTCATGGCGGATCGCTACGCGAGATGCCCTCTGTAGATGGTGGTACAAGCAGCGGCTGTGTGGCCGCGAGGCGCAGGAGATCAGCAAGGAGACAAGCTCCTGGCGAGGCATTTCTGCGAGCGTGTTCGACGCCTGGAGAAGAGAAGAGAAGAGTCAGCAATACTAGATCTTGGTGATCGCTTTAAGGCCCAGTGGACAAAAATTTTGTTGCCGTGTATGTTCTACAGCATGCTACGAGGATATACCTGCGCTAGCCGAGATCACGCCGCTTTAGAAAGTGACCCACTTCACTTAGGTCACCTGACTCGTTTCTCACGGATATATGGGATTAGTGGGAAGGAGGTATGGCGGCGAAACTTGTTCGCTAACTAAGAGCATGCCAAGCATGCCACGGAGCTAAATCACAGGTAGTTCATCTCACGTGACTAAACTGAAAGATTAGGTAATATTTTGTTCAACGCTCGATGCTTTGAGTTCAGTCACAGTATCTACTGCGAGTAACTCACGAGGGAGGTGCCTTACGCAGGTTTGAGTCGATGTCAGCTTTCATGGTCATTGTCAAGCTCGGAACTGATATGGATTCACAATTACTATCATTGCTTAGCAAAGAACTAGTGTGGTCTCCACCTGCCTACCGCATCACGATTCAAGACACTCCCAACCCCATACATTTTCAATCACGGCATTCAGCCGATCTTTGCTAGTGCTTCAATTAGATTCGAGGCAGGATGCTCGAAGGAGGCATAGTTCCTCCTCATGATAAACGTTGAGTCTACCATGAATATATCCACTGTGGAGCTTGGCTCGGTCTTGAGTCCGAAACTATCTCATGTCGCCGCCGGTCCTCCGAAGTAGAATCACAATTGACCCTGGCGATCTGCGATACTCTGGCAATAATAGCCAAAAGGGCTCAGCCATAGTAAGAGTCAAGCTTTCCTTGCGACCGCATAGGAGGGCTTACCCCGGGCCTCCTCCGCATGCATGGATGTTGACAATGGGATATCACCCCACACAATTCGAAAATGGTTATAAAGTATTACCCCAGATCATTCGGGACATTCGTTCAACAGCACCTCCTCCGAGGTCACTCTCGATATCTCTATCACAATGAAGTTCCTCAAGCCAAAGGCAGCTAACCAAATGCACTTCTCTCACTTGAGGAACAACACCGATCCAGTATGGTGGAGAGACCCCGCCCTTCGCAAAAATGTGTTCCATTGCGTCGGTCTCTACTTTTGTGTGTTTTATCTGGGCTACGATGCCTCGCTCATGAACGGTCTCCAGGCAATACCGCAGTGGGAGGAATATTTCAATCATCCCACTGGTAACGTCCTCGGCTTCATCTCGGCTAGCTTGTTCCTCCCAGCGATCGTCACACCTTTTGTGGCTTCTTGGATCAATGGTCTATGGGGTCGAAAGATATGTCTGGCTGTAGGGTCGGTGCTACTTGTTTTGGGCGCATTCCTCAATGCGTTTGCAACAAACCTTGCAAGTTTTATTGGTGGCCGAGTTATCATTGGTGCGGCAGGGCCCTTTGGAAAGATTACTGGCATCGCACTACTCCAGGAACTGGCTCATCCACGCTTACGACCATATGTCGCCACCGCGTACTACAGCAACTATTACTTCGGTCAGATCGCTGCCGCGTGGTTTTGCTTTGGAGCATTATCTTGGCCATCAACGGATTGGAGATGGCGAGCACCGTGCCTGTTCCAGGCCTTGGCGCCCGCCATCGTGCTCGTCCATCTTTTCTTTATCCCAGAGAGCCCACGGTGGCTTGTCGACCATGACAGATCGGAGGAAGCCCTGAGGATCCTCGCGCAAGAGCACGCTAACGGCGATATGAACGATGAGCTGGTCCGCTACGAGTATAATGAGATTTGCCAAGCACTCGCCTTTGAGAAGGAGAATCAGAAGAGCAAATACGCCGATTTCCTAAAGACACCTGGAAATCGGCGACGACTTCTTGTGTTAGTCACGATGGGTACTGGCTCGAACTGGGTTGGCAACGGCATCATCGCCTATTACTTGTCACCAGCACTGAAACTTGTCGGCATCACCAAAGCCGATCAAATTGCTGGGATCAACGGAGGTTTGGCGATTTGGTCTCTGGTCTGGGCCTATATCGGTGCTCTCAATGCAGAGCGCGCCGGTCGCCGGACGCTCTGGATTGTAGGCACTACCGGCATGCTTGCGACCTATGTTGTGATGACGGGGCTCAGTGGGTCTTTCGCCCACAATCCCTCACACGCCGTGGGAATTGCCGTGGTCCCCATGATGTACATCTACAAGACTTTCTACTGCATGAGTTGGTCACCGCTGCCATTTGCCTACGGCGCCGAGATTCTTCCTTACCACATGAGGCTCAAAGGTCTGAGCATTGAACTCAGTGTTCAGAGCGTCGCGCTGGCTTTCAACCAATGGGTCAACCCCGTGGCTCTGGCTGCATTGGCATGGAAATAGTAAGTTGCAGTCACGAAAGTAGTCTTGCCCAAAATGGCACTAATACGCGACAGCTATATTGTGTACATTGCGCTCATTGCCATGTATCTCGTCCTAATTTGGTTTTTCTTCCCAGAAACGAGGTACGTTCCATCAAGACTCCTATCTCGCTTGCGTAGCTGATCTAGTTTGTAGGCAAATGACAATCGAAGAAGTCTCGGTCATCTTCGACACAGGTCGAAAGGGTGACGCGCAGGCAGCCGCTCTCCACTTTGATCACGGAAGGGAGCGGAAGGAGCTGGAGTTGATTACGGATGCAGTCGACGATGCTGAGAAGAATCCCAAGGCAAAGACTGTTTCCCACATCGAATAACGAACAATCATGACGTGCTCAGCGTACTGATTGCGATCATTAGTCTCACCCTTTCGCCCTATTTGGCGCGAGATCGTCTCTATCGTGTCGTCGTGGATTGTGCGTGAAAAATGCTGTATTCGGCCCATGTCTGGGATAGAGTCTGGGTTGATGGGCAGCGCGAAGACTAGGCCATGACTCCATTGAGGTTGATGACTGGCTGATAATGCAAACAGAGGAGTCAAATTAGACTCCTAACGTGCCCAATATGGCGGCAAACCTTACATGCATATACCTAAACGCTATATTCTGATTACCTTCTAATGCTCAGCGAGCCTCAAATTTTGATTCCGAGACATGGATAATGTGTAGAGGGGTTTGTCATTTATGTAGGCAAAGGGGTGCATGGACAGGTACTACAGCGCTGCACTACAGGCGTGCCATCGAATGATGCCTCTCCGGTTGATGACAAGATTCCCTTCACCGACATACTTGAGTAGCTTCTGAGTTGTATTGGTCGTGGCAAAAGTTGAACCAGTTCGAATCCAGGATAGGTGCGGCCCGTGAGGGTCTCTGTTTTTTTTCCTCGCGAGAAACAATATATGTATAGTCACTGCCTAAATGCCTCTGGCTAGGCTACAGCTTCAAATGCTCTCCGATTCACAGGGGTCAATGGATCGCCCAAAAACGAGCCATCTGGCGCAACTACAGCCAGTATATTCTTCATAGCGTTCAGCTCAAAATTGATTCGCGTCTCAATCGCACCGCCTCCATTGTGCGTCGTCAGCGTGACGTTGTCCATCTGCGCCAGCACCGGTGAAACCTGTGGCTCGTGGTAATGAACGTCGAGGCCGGCTGCTGAGATCTTCCCACTCTGCAGCGCACTGACCAACGCTTCCTCCTCCACGACCTCTCCCCTCGACGTGTTGACCAATCGAGCTCCGTCTTTCATGTGCGAGATTGTGTCGCTATTGATGAGATGCTTGGTGTGTGCGTTCAGAGGCGTGTGTAGTGACACACAGTCGGAGACGTGCAATAGATTTTCGAGTGAGTCGTGGTACGTGACTTTCAAGCGAGACTCCTCCTCGGTGCTTTGTCTGAAGACATCATAGTAGTGCACATTCATGCCAATAGCTTGGGCTTTAAACACCAGTTTCTTGGAGATATTTCCCAGACCGACGATCCCGAGAACATGGCCCCCAGGGTTACGCGATATATTGCCCATCAGCCGGTGCGTTGCTGTGAATACTTTTGGATCAGCCGTTCGCGCGGCAAGCTGTTGGCGGGTGAAATTCCGGAAGACGGACAGGATCATGTAAAGAGCTGTGTCGGAGACCGCGTCATCTGAACACCCGGCGCCGTTCGCATACCAGATCTTCCGTCGTCCCAGTGCATCTGTGTCGGCCCAGTTGAAGCCTGCACCCGCGGAGGCAAAGATACGTACAGAAGCCGGCAGTAGCTTGATCAATTCGTCGTCCCACTGGCCCATCTCGCCGCCGGTCTGGAAGTGTGGTCGAAAGATGGCGGAGAAGTCGCCAAATCTAATTATGTTGTCAGCTATGGGTTTGAAAGGCTCAGCAATCCCGTAAGGGGTCTGCTAAGAATCATGCAGACCAGACCTTCCATTTTTCAACGCATCGAAGAACTCCTCGCGTGTCTTTGTGTCGTTATGAACAACCTCGAAGCGATCCAGAAATTTTTGGTTGTAAAAGTCATGGTTATACTTGATGGAATCGCCTAGATGGAGGATCAATGGCTTCTTCGGCATTCTTGCTTGGAGTCAGGAGACAATTGCAGAACGCGTCTGGTTCATGTCGAGAAGATTCCTTATCCTGGGAGTGTGCAGGAGACGTGGCTATCAATTCTGTTCACGGGGGCGTTGACATTGCGTTGCATAGTAAAATGAATCCATAATACGTCCAGGAGCCTTCGTCTGGCCGTGGTACAGCCGTTGGTTGTCGGTCATCGGGGGGACGACCGAGTCCTTTCGAACGCCCTACTGGCAATATTCGACTTTGCCTGGCCTGGACGAGTAAACTAGGTAATTAATAGAATAGACAATAGCTGATCTCGGCGAGCTATCCGGTCGACCACATCCTTGGTACATAGTTGCATCTGTGGGCGAGGAGGCACAGACTTTCCGAGCCGACGGAGGCGGGCGAAAGCTTGGCTCTCATCACGTGCCTCGTTGCCAAGCTAATGTACTCCGTACGCCGCGTTTCCTGTTCCCATCTAGAACAGGACGCGAAACAGTTCGCTTCCTGGGGCTTGCCCGGTGCCTCACACTTGATGAATGGATGGACCATAGATCGGATGCTTCTTTTCTTTCTCACCTACTACCACTGAAGTAGATAATAGCACTAGTGCGTCGTTGTGGGTGCCCTTCGTCAAGCCAGACCTCTCTTCCGTACCCAGCACTATTTCAATGGGTAACATGGAGATTGCAGAGGCCTACACTGGCACATACGAGCAGTCAATGATGAATAGGCAATACAGCCGTTGTCATTGGTTCTGCCTTTCACGCTAAGCATTGAGCCGCATGGCTCCTTGTCTGGAACATCCTCGACTTATGAAGACTTCACTCGTACTTCGCAGAGCAGATAATAGGTCATGGCACAGAATACACGTATGCCTTCGCTGGGGGGCATGCAGGTGAGAGGAGACCAATATTCTGGTCTTGTCAAAATCTCTCAGGCCGTTTACACAATGACCTTGCAACCTTCTGAGGCTGAGCACTACTATCACCACCACAAACCATAATCAGGTCATTTCTACTAGGCGCTGGCAGGTAAAAACTGATTGATCATACACGCCGTGCCTTCCTCAAGATTTCAATCTTCAAACGCTCTCTCCAGGCAGCTAGGTCAAAGACCTGCCCATGATCAAGATCAGCACACCATACCACCTCCAAGCTACCGCGTTTACGGAGACCTGGCATACTTTGTTCATGTCCTTTTGCCTCATCTTGGTCAGGGCCCTTGTCTGCACCATGCTCTTCTATATCCTCCAAGTATCTGCGCACCTGTGGCGCATTGATGATCGAGTCCTTCCCGGAGAGAAAAACAGTTGCATGATGAACGAACAGATCCTCCTTCCACAAGATATTCTCTGCCCAAAAAAATGTGCGAGAGAGTGTATGAGCCACACCAATGTCCTTCGACCCGAAATACCAAAACAGCCATTCATTGGCGAATTTGGGTGTGCGGACAGTCTGGAATTGTGTTAGTGCTTTCCATCAACGTCGAGAGTGTTGCTCTTACAAAGTTGTATACCAGATCTGGTTGATGCAAAAGTATGGAAACAGGATCCACTAGGATAACCGACGAAATCTGGCGGGCTAAATCAGGTGTCTTTAGGAGGTGTGTGCTGATGACTGAACCATATCTACGAATGTCATGAGTTGTCCTTGTCAGCTTTATAGACGGGGTTACTAACGAGTGCGACACCAGGACAAATCTTTCGATTCCATGGTAACGTAGAACCGACCGAAGCTGATTACACATATCTTCCTTTCGAGGTGCAGTGGCCGTGATTCGAGACGATATAGCCAAGATCTCGACCGCGAGGATTCCAATCTTCCCATCCTCGTTCTGGCGGCACATATTCACTTCCTTGAGAAGTGGCATGTATGGATATAGACCAACTCCGATACCATGGAGGAACACTATCGGGAGCTCCTTTTGGGACGTGTGAGGCTGGTACCAGTAACTCATGTTCCGGTTTGGCGATCGGTGGGTAGTAGTGAGCGCTTGTGGCCTGGGAGGCATGATGCTAATGGAATGCGCAATGGAGCCACGGTAGAAATGGAAACCGTGGACGCACATATAAACATGTGTCAGGACATCGACCACGGAGACGCACTATAATAAACCTTCTATCAGTGTTTCTCGCTCTTCATCATTCCACGGAATCGTTCCTTACCGCATACCAGGTTAAACTCCGATGGAGCGCGTCGACTCTATCTAGCGTCAACCGTATACTCTGCACGTTGGCCCTTCCGGGCTCAAAATCCACCCCGAGTTTCGCCTCGAGGTGCTTTACATATGTGTCCAACTCGTCGTCGTGGTTGGGGTCGGCGGTTTCCGTGTTCAGAAAAGCCCAGCGGAGCCACTCCTTTACGTTCTCTCTTTTGAGAGCATCAATAGGCGTGTCCAAGAACCATCTTAAGAAAGATGTAGCAAAATCTTGAGAATTATCAAAGCAAAGGTGAAAGCGCTGACTTCTTTGCTCTTTCGAAAGAGGAGAAGGATGAAGCGCTGGATGCTGAAGGTGGTGTTTCCGGTAAGCATAAGTTATGAAGTAGAACACCGTCTCTGTCACTGCCAAGTATTCAAGGTATCTCCAGGCGCGCAAGTATTTCGGTAAGAACGTGGCCGTGGCGCAGTAGATAGCGCACAGGGGACCGATTGAGTGTAAGACGATGACCCAGGTCACTACCCATACGTACTCGAGTGATGATGTGCCAATCATATTAGATGCATTTCTATGTTCTCATCTGGCACACCACGGTTGTTATGGGCAATCAGGGCCAGTGTGAAAGTGGTGGAAGTCGCCCAGGCGAGCCAGTATCATGACCAGAACATAGAAGTAATATATCCCACAAGCCTGCATGTGCATATCCTATCGTCCCGTTCAAAGATTGGTTAACGCGGCAAAGCGAACACCTGCCTCCATTTCGGTTGGGACACAAGTATAGGCCCTTTCTGCCGAAGCCTGCCGCAGACATTCTGCGAGCTCTGACATGTGAGTCTCAACATGCCTTGTGGCTAGAAAAAGGGCCCACCTAGGTCGCATATGCAAATTTTGAGTCACTTGCGGCAAGAAACGAAAAGCGAGCACCCGGAAGCCTCATCCGAATTGGCCAGTTGCAATGGATTCCGGAGATAGTTTTTCGGCACCGGTGCTTGTGAGCACGATCAGTGCCTTAAAAAAAGCCAGAGCTACGACTAAGTTTTGGCCTGTCACGTGAGCGCATGGTTGCCACCATCTCACCCAGAGAGGCTCACCGAAGCCGATGGTGGTGAGCACAAGGCGGCGTCACCATCTTGCCTAACTGGGTGTCACAACAACCCGTGTGTCTCGCTCGGCCTCAGCACGAATACAGGTTTGGTTGGTCGCGAGGGTCATCACCATCTACAAGATTATACTACATATGGCCTTCCCTACAACGACCAAGCATCCACTGCTTAGCATCGACAGCGTTTTGTCCATGCCCACGTCATCTACTAGAATCTCAGGCCCAGTCTCGGGGTGAGCCTCAGTCGCTCAGGTCCCGGTGACTGCATGTTTGAATCCTGAGCGGTGTTCTTCAATTGAGTATCTCCAGAGCGCAAAGTCTTCACAAATAGGTCCGATCTCTCTTTCCATCACAAGGTCCAACAGCATCGTTTTGATGAGAGTATGATTTCAATTTCAGATGGACATTGACAATCTCTCCTGAATCTTAGCGGGCTCTGGTTTCATATCCACGCACATCGAGGATGGCTTTCGGTGTATCATTCGAACTCCCAATCTGTAGAGGCATGCGTTCTGTTTCATGTGCTTCATTTTGCAAGTCCAAGTCATCGAACATCAGCATGTGAGGTTTTGGGTATTCGAAATCAGCTTCGAGATATCTTGGATGCTGAAGGTAAAGCCGATCCTCAGACAAGGTTCGACCGATTTCCGAGCCAAGGTCGGCAGGTCCGAAAACGTTGATGTCGACTTTAATGCTGGATTCCTGCTGCCTTTTGGCTGGTCTGATACGTTTCATGCAATCCTCAACGGATGTGTAACCGACCACTTTCCTGACCAGATCCGTTCGTGATCTGGCTTTAGTGGTATTACTACCACCGGTCTGCTACCTTTTTATAAGGAGGAGGGTGAAATGTCGAGATACCTCACCCAGGTCTGTTCAATGTCGATTAAAAAAGAGCCTCCCTAAGCTGAGGGGTGGGGGGGGAGCTCGGTACACCTTCCGCTTCCCCTCGCCAACAAACCTCCAAGCACATTAGATGTTCCCTATCAGCGTCAATCGGGGCCGCGGCTTGAGCTGCTCACCACCCACTGCTCGGAGCTTACAAAGAGCATTGACGCATGGTCCATCTACCTCCTTTGGGGAGAACGAGATGGGATACAAATGCTACAAGTGCTGTCGAGCTCTGGCGCCGGCATTGCTCCCGGGAGTCAGCCGACCTATTTCACGCAGCGCGGGACCAGCAAAGTGCTGCCACTTTGAGCCAAGGTGGTATGACTGCCAAGGTCGATTTGTTTTGTTGGTTCACGTGCCTAATACGGTGATGGAACTCGAAGACAACCACAATCATGCTACTAGCGAACTTGTACGCTAAATGTCGCGCACTCACTACGGGGATATAAGGATGCTGGGGTCCAGCTATGCCCGCTCGCTGGTAGGTCTGACTTACAAACAGCAACAAATATATCAATCAAAAGGACAATCTTCTCATGTTCAAACAGATATTACGCCTTTCAATATCTTACTTTGTGCTAGTATTCCTGGCTGGCACAGTGCTTGGCTCCCTCCGAGTGCCACTTTTGCAACCCTATCTGGGGCAACGATATGCAGAGCTCCTCGAGATGCCGTTAATGATGGCCATCATCTGGCAGGCCGCACAATTTACAATGTGGGAAATAGTGGACGACTCTGATAGCAGTTGGTCATTCACGGCGCCAATGCTGATTGGCATTCTGGCCTTGCTGTGGTTGACTGCTACCGAATTGGCAACAACAGCACTGGTCTCTGGCTTCTGGAATCTCTTCACGGTGTACTTCTATGAACGAGACTATTTCGCAGGGTCCGTCTATGGCCTTGCTCTTTTGTCGTTTGCGATAATGCCTCTGGCTATTTGGCTACGACAGAGGCCGGAGGATCAGGATTGGAAATGGACTATCGATGTCGATTCCAAGGTCGGAGAACAGGATGAATATTGCAATACCTGACAGAGACTACTGAGGTGTGGAATGTATCAGTTCCCACTTCAGATAAGGAGAAGCTGTACGGATTTTCAAAATTGCGGAGCTGGTCTCAACAGTGCACGAAACCATATTCGTGGCAGCAACATTTGACTAGATTCTCCCTGGCTACAGACCAGTGTCCTGGAGTGGAGGTCATAGTATGAACGCCTTTTCTATGCACTTTATCAGTCAAAGGACCATATGCTATGTCTGGCCCAAAGCAGGCGATGTGTAAGGATCCATCTACGGGAACGTCAACAGGGAAAATCGGCAAGTCATTCTAGGGCTTAACAGAGAGATGTACTGGACGCTACCAACTCAAGGATTCACCATGCCCTATTGCGGAAGGATGACTAGACGCATTACATGGAGATGGAAGCAACTGGACTATGGCATAGCCTGAGACCCGGACCTGGCAAAACAACCTCCAGTCACTACGCCGTGGCGTATATTTGTCGTTAACATGTACGCCCGGAGAAAGTCTTCACAATGCATCTTTATTGGATACTGGCGCGATTATTGCGCTCAGAACATTTGTATAAATTAACATTATCTTAAAAGCAACATGTGCCAAACCTTTCCCAACATATTACCCGTAGCACTTATGGATCTCTCTGAATCTCCGCGAGCTAAAGAGTACTCAGCCATCATGGCGCTCCCACCGCAACCAGCGAATTTGTCGTTGGCAATACTTGTGATCCGTCAGTATACGCATTATAAGGTGGCGGCGTACTGGACAATGCTACAGTCTCCGGGCCCAGGGTTGCAGCCTGAAAATGACAGTTCAAACGAGCGAGCATTCAACAGAATGTCCAGACAAGCCTAACTCTCATACGGAAGCAGAGACCACCGAATTGGGTGTTGACGATGAGGCTATTCGGTGACGTGAGGCATACCTCTAGTGAAATGCTAGAAGGGATGGCTTGGATGATCTCTGAGGCGCCAAGTAGCATATCGTCGTTGTGCACTAGTTGTACCATGGATGATGTTATGGCTGCCTGGCTACGTGGTGAAGATTTACACTTCCACTTTGTAGTTTACTATGAGGTTTTAAAAATATACAAATGGGAGGCTCTCTCAATACTGTTCATGAGGATAGTTTGTGGTTAAACTATTCGGTGTTGGTCCAGGCGGCGATTTTTCTTACTGATCAGCCCTACAATTTCTCCATTGGTTCCCAGATGATTTGTCACCAGCGTATTCTTTTTAATGCCACCGGATGCTACTGTACTGAGTGCTTGACAGCTTAGGTCACTAACATATGCTTGACGTCGTAGGGGGAAGCAGCTTTGTATGGCTTTGCGCTTACTATTTTAGTTGAGAATCACTTCGTAAAATCCAAGCTTGGAGGCTTACCAACGGACGACTTAACTGCAGAGAAGGAGGACTCAAACATATTAAAACTACGATAAATATAAAGCAACGGTGGAATTTCCCTCTTGATTGACTTGGTTCGCTTGATCTGTCCTCCGGAAAAGAATATGGCAAATCCCAGGATCAAAGTGGTCTTGTTTGACTTCATGGGAACATGCCTCGACTGGCACAGCGGAGTCCTCAAAGCCTTACCACAATTAATCCCCGAGGCGGAGAGGTCAAAACTCGCTTTGAAATGGCGTCACGATTATTTTGACGCAAATGCAGCCCGCCTGGCTTCAAAGCAGCCTCCCGAAGACATCGACATCACGCTACGGAACACTCTGGATGCATTATTAGAAGAGAAGCCAGAATTAAAAGAGTTATTCACCGAGAAAACAAAGAATTCGTGTGTCGTAGCATGGCACTCTATGCCAGCGTGGCCAGACGTCCCCAAAGCCATCGATCAGCTGAAGGCTGCAGGATATGAGGTTTATGTTCATGCGAATGGAACGACACGGCTGCAGCTGGATCTGTGTAGATCATCGGGATTGTCATTCAACATGCTGTTTTCAAGCCAATTGTTAGGAGTGTACAAGCCAGCTCCGGAGAGTTACCAGAAGGTGGTGCAATTGGTGAAAGTGAACCCGGAAGAGATTGTTCAGGTCGCTGCACATGCCTACGACACTCGAGGTGCGAAGGATGCTGGCATGAGAACGGTGTACGTACATCGATGGACCGACGATATCAACGAAGACATGGAAGTCGTCCGAGGCGAGAATGACTCCTTCTTAGAAGACATGACAGATCTTGCAGCAGTTATCGGGCAGCTCTAACCAGGGCTACATAGCGGCCTACAAGCTTGTCCATGCAGGTGCTGGATTTTGGAGACAACTTGAGGAAGTTGGACAAAGGATGTGGATGTGAAGGGGCCAGGAAGGTGTCAGAGCAAACAGAGTCGCTTGGCGTCACGTGCTTTCGCGTAAAGTGGTTTCGCAGACGTGTGCGTGTTCGCGCTGCAGTGGTCAAAGAAAATCAACCGTGTCACGGTCCGTCCCACCACCCCGCTTCAAGATCCTTTGTCTCGGTGACGAGAATTGCAGTGATATTCTAGTGAAGTGAATTTTGACTTCGCAGTCTGACTTCCTCTGAGTCTTGAAATGGCCGCACCCTCGAAACATCCACATGTCGTCGTGAAAAGTCCCATGGCCACACAACAATGGCTCCTGATCAAAGGAAGAAAGAAAAGGAGCAATTTTTTGAAGACTTGTCTCGCCTTGATCAGTTTAGTGACGATGGAGACGAAAATGTGGACTTTTTGTTCCAGCAATCACGCCCTAGTTCACCGCCTTCCGTACGAGCGATAGAAGGCTTCTTGGTAACTGAAAATGATGTCTTTGTCTCTCATGCGGACAGTCACACATCACATGCGCATCGAAAGCGAAAGGCTTGTGAGAACAAGCCAGTGTCGATGCCGAGCCTCCAAACTGCGGATCCTGTACCTCAACCCATCGGACCATCTTCCTCCCCTCTTCGAGACAGTAAAAAGCCCAAGCCTGGAAGCCTAAAGCGCTTCAAGTCGCATCTTGACAACCCAGATCCTTTGTGGCGGAAAGGTGATCCAGTGTTGAAGTATGTTGCAGAAGGTAGACAGGTATTTGTGGGTTTCGTATTTTGTCCGTAGAAGTTGAAGATTGTCCTGGTATCAGAGGCTAACAGAACTTTAGATTTCATACCCAACGAGGAGAGCAAACTAAAAGATCCCATTTACCGATTAAGAATCCGGAAATCAATCCAGCATGGTGCAATGTGGGCCAGAATCTGGAGCGGAGACGTGACGCATATCATTGTATGCGATGATCTCAATTGGTCGCAAGTATCAAAATGCTTCCATGGAGGCGAAGTCCCAGTTAGTTTGTTTATGCTGTCCATATTGACGTACAGCTGACTTGTATTCTTCAGAAAAGTCCAATTCTCGTCCTTGTAGATTGGGTTGTAGAAAGTGTCAGATCGAAGTATTCTCCAAATATTTGCTCTTCCAGATATCAAGTGCAAGGCTCAATTCGTCACGAATCGAGAGCAGTGCAGGATAAACTGGTACCCGATCGTACCAGGTATGGGACAGCCGTGGGTAACCACACCAATCGCACACTTCTACCAGGTAAAAGCCAGTCGCCGGCTCGAGAGATCCGCAAAATATCGCCCACCGAGGTACCTTCCATCGATGAAGTCTCTGAGATTCAGCATGCATACAATGAAGATAGTCTTCAGGATGCTATAAAGGATGTGCAGCAGCTTGGTATCATTCCTGTTGATTCAACTTTTGGTGACGCCCCCAAGTGCTTTGCAGATGGTATGGATGAGGATGCCGAGTTGAGATATCTGAAACAAAGTGACAAGATTAGGAAGGAGAATGAGGGTTTCCTCTGCATGGAGAAACATGAGGGTAACAAAGATAACCCGAATTCCAGAACTATAAAAGTGCTTCAGCAGATGGCCACTTACTATGACAGAATTGGCGACCACTGGCGCACCACTGGATACCGGAAGGGGATCGGTGCTCTGCGAAAACAAAGTCAATTAATCCGAACCAAGCAGGAGGCTCTCGCAATCCCTCAGATCGGAGAGAGACTGGCAGAGAAGATCGAAGAGATAGTGACAACAGAGCGTCTGCGGCAACTCGAATACACCAAACTGGATTTGAAGGATCAGGTACTTCAGCTTTTCATGGGCATTTATCATGTCGGCTATCCCACTGCGTCCAGATGGATCGCACAGGGTCACCGTACACTGGATGAGCTTATTCAGAACGTCCAGTTGAATGCAAACCAACGGATTGGTATTGAACATTATGAAGATTTCCAAAAACGAATTCCACGAGCTGAGGTAGCCGAACACGCATCCATTGTTGAGAAGGTCCTCGCAGCCACCGATGATGGCCTGCAGATGATAATTGGTGGTTCGTACAGAAGAGGCGCCCGAGACTCAGGGGACATAGACCTCATCATCACGAAAGAAGGTGCTAGCCTAGAGCATATCCGAACACTGATGATGGAAGTAGTTGTTCCAACCCTCACAGCTCAAGGTTTCCTTAAAGCAAAGCTCGCTGCTGGAGGCCCTCATGAGATGTCATCTAAGTGGCATGGTGCGTGCGCTCTACCTGAATCCGAAACGTGGAGACGCATCGACCTGTTGTTCGTGCCATGGGCGGAACTGGGAGCAGCATTGATATATTTCACCGGTAATGATATTTTCAACCGCAGTTTAAGGCTGCTGGCAAGTCGAAAACAGATGAGGCTGAACCAGCATGGCCTTTATGCAGATGTCATGCGTGGACGTGGCCGAGAGCGAATCACAGAAGGCACGCTACTGGAAGGACAGGATGAGCTGCGCATATTTGAGCTACTTGGTGTGCCTTATCGACCACCTGAGCATCGACAGTGTTAGCTGGTGGTGCTGCCGTACTGGGCTGGGGGGGCAATGACAGTTTGTCTTCGTAGACATATTCGGGATGAATAACAAAGCAAGGTCTGCTGGCTTTTCGGATTGTTTCTGGGACACTCCAGACTATTAAGGACCATATAGCTCAGTCCCTCTTTTCATAGCTTCTTGATAATCCACATTCCTCACCCACGCGCTGGCCAGGGTTTGGAGTTCCAATTGTTGAGCAGTTCCTATTGCGGCCTAGACTGATTTCTCCACAGTATCTGCTAGTCTCACCGCCTTAACATACCCGCCTAGGCATACTTAGGATGGCGGCTCGCAATTCCTGCCAGACTGAGATAAATTATCGAAGCGTGCGCGGCTACGTCGCTGCGGGTTGGAGGTCTTGGCGCGACAGACAGAATGCGTTTGGTGACCCTTAACAAACTCGGTGGCGCGGAGATCCCTTGCTGCCTCGAGTCTTTGCAAAATACTGCACGGCAATTTCAAGCGTCCGTGAATACCACATCGCTCAACTCAACGGTGTCTATCTTTCTTGTTCCTTTGGCGGCTTGACTTGTGATAGACAAGTAGGCACTGTGGGCTGGTCCCAGGACCTACACATTGCCGTTCATTCGTTATCTCTGTGTCGCGCGACTTTGGTTGCTTACTATCCTAGCCACAAGGCCCATCCTTCACTGTTGGTTCACTTTCGCGCGATCTTTCAAACACACGGACTCCCAACTGACTCTGATCCAAAGGTCGTCGCCATGGGCAGAAAGCCAAATCCTCTGATCGTGGAGTATTTCAAACGCGGTGCGAAGATAGCAGACGCCTCCAATCGCTACGAACACACCTGCAAGCTATGTGGTGAACAATTCCCCAAAGGTCGCATCGACAGCCTCACAGCGCACCTTACCAAGAAGTGTATTGGTCTGACGATGTCTGATCGCACTAAGATTGTGCTTCGTCTGCACGATCTTGCAGACCCTACGGCAGCCCCTGAAGTGAACAATGGCACAAAAGACGGAACCCAGATTGAAGCAGGAAACACTCTCGACCTGCCATTTTCTCCTACTAAACAACAAAACTTCAATGCTCTCAACGTTCTCGCCGAGGCGTCGCGTCGCGTCGGTGGTGATGGTCCAGTGGCATCTGGCTATACTTCTGCTGAACAAGTTCACCTTCACGATCACGCCCAGCCACTTCCACTTGATCCTCAGCTTGAGATAGACTCTTTTGCTCAGCATCTCTTGGAATCACCTGACGATGGACTCGGCCCGAGAAACAATGGTAAGCATTACACTCTCTTTCGTGCCCGTTTTTTCTGTTTTTCAGACATACCTTCTTGGTCCGCGTCTCCCAGCAATGTCTACCGCAAGAATGAGATCTACGTGTGGCGATCTGCTTGTTCTGCTCGTTTACGTACACACGCCTTGCCTTGCCAGTCTTCTCGCTTTCTCGATTGATTTTCTAGCTTCTGTCGATATCTATTGCTTGACTTCTAACCCTGAAAATAGGCTTTCCTGCCTCCAGTACTGCAAGCCTCCCACCACTATTTTCATTTATGGCAAGTGGCCCTCCAGTGTCTCAGGATGAACTAGGACTTTCTCTTGTTTCTACAATTCCCCCAGATCTGAGCACAATTGCTGCCTCCGCCAATGAGACTCTTGCCAATGGCGTTATGGTCACAGACCTGGATGTCTCTCAAGACGGCGTCCCTGGTGTCCTCTTAGATGATCTCCATGGCCACTCTTTCAGTCATGATCGAACCACTTTTCACTGGACCAACGCTCCAGCACCGATTCACATCAGTCAGAACGAGATGCCTGTACAGCCTGCTGCCGAAAGTGTGCAAGAACCAGACGAACACCCATCACAACCCTTGCGGCCTATTGCCATGAATCCACATAGCCGACAGACCAACTTTGTTTCTGAGTCCGGCACTCCCAACAAAGTGCAAAAGCACAAGGTTCGGGGAAGATTCGCTCCAGATCGACGCAAGGAAGTTCGTGAACTGCGCAAAGTCGGTGCATGCATGCGTTGCCGCATGCTCAAGAAAGTCTGCTCTCAGGAAACCCCATGCCAGACCTGTGCTGCTGTAGAGGCACCTCGTCTCTGGAAAAACTCCTGTGTCCGTGCCAAGCTAGTGGAGACTTACACCTTGTTTTTTATCGGCCTTCACGCAGCTATCGCCTATCGAGAAACCAATCAGGTCAAATCACGATCTAATGTTGCAACACTTGAAGGCAATATTGAGGCTTCTCATTTCAATGAGCAATCAATCGTTTTCAAGGGGTTTCAAAACACACAAACTGGTTTGCTTATCGATGGTACACCGGATCTCACCTCGTCGCAGACAGTCATCACCATTGACCTAGAACCTGCTCTCGATGTGCTGCCGAAGATTGAGCAGTATTTGCATTCGATAAGCACTCAGGTTATTGAGCAGGAATCTTGCCCGGTCATGAAGACCAGTCTCACCCAAGCCATGGCAATCAAATCAAACGAACATGGCCAGCTCACGAATGACAAGCAAGACAAGCTTCTGTCCGATATCATCGAATTGTGGACGGCGACGGTTATTCTTTCAGATAGCAGTCTCACATGGGATTTATTTCAGACCAACGACATGAATTTTGAACGCCAACCTTTACAGCATGATAATGGCTCATACTTTTTGATTGTATGCCAACTCCGAGCTGCTGTCGAGAAGCGAGCCAGCCTCGTTTGCAAAGCTGCCATGCACCACTTTGAACAACGAGTTCTTTCTAGGCATAAGAGCAACAACTTCGAGACATTTCTTGCGGCTTTTATCTTGCTGAATTGTGCAGAGAGAATGTGTTGGTTGTTCCAAACCTGGGAAGTTGAACTCCCTGACAGACCGGCCTGGCCGTTTGATCTATCCGCCCGCAGTTACGTGGAAAAGGGGCAGCACTTGGCTAATACTATTGAGATGATGCTGGAGCTTCGTCAACTAGGACCCAAGGTCAACATTGATCTGCAGTCGGGCAATCTCATACCCCGAAACAAAGACGACACCACTACGATCGCGTGGCTCGCCGGTGCTGGTCTCACGAAAGATATCCTGTTGAAAAAGGAAAGTGCCCAATTCGACCCGAGCGATAGCCGATCTCTTGATGGGACCTTTTGGGCTAGACTTCTTCTGACTTGAAGTCCTACTATGCCATTGCCTCGTCCCCTTGTTGCATACTGTGTTGCACAGAGGTAGAAGCAGTACTTCAACGTGTTGGCCTGTCCATCGCTTATGCATATGTCATGGCTTTTGTACAACTGAGCAGCAAGTCACGTTGCGAAAGTATTTCTACGAGAGGAAAAAATTATTTGGAGTAAAGGTTGAGCGGCTACAACCGACCTTTGGCGTTCCTCTGTGGAATCGGCGGTGTGCAGAATGAAGCAGGGGAATTGAAGGCGACCTGTATGTTGTACATAACGACGACGATGATACGATCCCATGAAGGAACGAAACAACGAAATTCTTTCCTAGATTTGTCACGATTCTCATGCGAGAAAGGAAGATACCCCGAAATGTCCTGGTGTAACGGACGCAATAGTTTGGTAGTTAGGATTGAGCTCGAGCTCCATAATGCCTTGAATTGAAGCATAACAAAGATACTGTAGGGAGGTCCATACTAATGAAACGTTGATGTGCAATTCATGAGGTGGGCGTGGCGGCTGTCATGAGGAAGGTGCGATGTCATGAGAAGGAGGCCATTGCCTCGATATCGCGTGCTTGCCAATTTGTTGCTCTCCACAGCAGACACGCCCCTGCCATCCAGTGCCCCCCGGCAAAAAGCTTCAGGGTTTATCGACGTGAGCAGCGAACTTTGGTCACTCACACCGACTGTCATCTCTCCGGCATGCTTTGCTTCTGGAAACTCCCTGGAAAGATGAAACACGGTGCAAGTCGCTGCTACTCGGGCCGTGTACGAGGTTCTCCTTCTCGACCTCTCGTTCTGGTGCGAGCAGGATTCATGGGCTAGAGAGAGAGAGACTAGAGTGCGAGGCCGTCGTTTCCTAACACCGTCCCCAATATCTCTTCGCCCGACTCCGGCGGTGCAGACAGCTCGTTCCTTGTAGAGCAAAGACGACCAGTTGTGCTAGTGGAACTGTGAGATGGTAAATTACCCGGCAATGCGGGCTTGCTACCAGGAGGATCGGAAAGCAGTGAAACAAAACACTTTCAGGGGAAACGAGGATGGATGTGTAGTACAACAGGGATCCGTTCTATTGTTGTGCACCGGAGGCGGTGTCGAAAAAACCGGAAAGGGTGGTCGAGCCAGCGGGCAGCATCCATCCGCCAGCACACCACACACCACTTCGGCGATCTTGCATAACCAGAAAATGCATGTCACTAGTTCGCAACGCTCACTAAACCGCGGTAGTTGGTTAGGTTGCTGCGAGCGCGGCTCGCATCGTCCGCCCAAGGTGGCACAAAGGATGCCACAGCCTGGCATGGCTGGAATGGGCCTGGAAATTGGCCCTTTACAAGCTAGATCCTGGCACCTGCAAATCCACTGCTCGGGCTTCACCCATTGGCTTGATTCAACATCGAATGTTTGAGGTCAAGGATGATATTCGATGGCAATCCATTTGCGGTCATTCTACAACTCAAGTCTGACTCTGATCGGCTGTCACTGGCTCCTACTTGCTCAACCGGTGTTAGGTCTCGCGGGATCTCAGTAAGACGGAAATGTGCGAGGGTCAAAAAACCAGATTGATTATAGATAAAACCGGGAAGAAGCTTGGGAGGAGCGGTGCAGCGGAGCATAACCACTGTCTGGGTATGTGGCAACTAAACTTGGACTGCTAGGAATGATGGAGCTGCGTTAAGCTGGTCATAAAATGATAGTCAGGCTGATGTTCATCAGTTCGTTCACTAGACTTGGCTGAGGCTGCACACCCTCCACCACCCGGCAGAGGGTCTGCCCACCACTAGAGACCCCCGAACCTTCTAGCATGAGGAGCGGCCCGAAATGCATTCCAATTACTCTGACTGCTAAATGAGCCCCTTGTGGCGCATTCGTGGATGGCACACAGATTTACCAATTGACATCCAATTAGTAAGTCATGCGTTATGCACGAGCTCCGTGCGGTTGAGGACGACTTTTTGAGGTTCCTATCGCTTTTCGGGTAATATCAAGGACTGTCGGGAGTTGCGAGTCTAGGCGTGGCACCCAATGTACCCCGAGAGAACTCCTGGCTCCCGAGCTGGCACAAACAGGTCTATCAGTTGCAGGTTTCATGCCCCTATCGACGTGCCAGCCAAGTTTTGGCATGCGAGATGTGGAAAGCGCAGAAGACTGAATAACAAGGACAAAACCTATCTCTCGATTGTTGGATTTTGTGTTAGGCAAATCGGGATACATGTTCCGGATACCTCGAACATGCAGATATGACTCGTGAGGTTACCAGGGCTAGAACCCCTAGGCCAAAAGGATATCCTGTAGCCACTGAGAGTGAAATGATGGCCACTTCCTCTCTTTCGTATGAAAAGAAGCGAGATCATTATTAGACCCAGCGCCCACCACTCGCGGTTCTACGCCAGCACTACTGGTATGGAGGGCAAAGCAGTTCTACGGCAAGCATCGATGTTGTAGGAGCCGTTTGAGATAGTGAGATCCAGGCTTCGGTGGGCACTGCTCCTTACCAAAGGGGAGGCCGCTGAGCGGGCTGCTCTGGTGGATCGCTGTTGATGCGCAGCTCTTATTGAAGGATCAGAGATGGATGACTCTTCCGTGAAGGCATTCAATCGGGCTCAACATGAGCATGCGTTTTCTGTTATTGGTCAAAGATTCGGTAAACCGTGGGACTGGTCATGGTGACGAGTAGACCTGTAGCATAACAGGGCAGGCGCTCTTTGAGCCCCACGATTGACACAGCAGGTGCATCTGTCTAGGTACTCGAAGGTACATTGAAGGCACTCCATCAGGATCAGATAGGACTTGTCCACTGGGGAGCAGCTGGTGTTTGGTGCAGAGAAGATCAACCGGGAAGCCACGGCCTGGGCGTCCGAGCTAAGGACACGAATGGGCCATGCTTGCAGTCCACTGGATTCCCTACTGGGAGTCGACATTGAGGCTTGAGCACTCCATACTGTATCTCCATGAACGTGACTAGTCGCTTGGACCAGGCAAGGGAAAAAGTCTTTTTGTCATCTTTCAGCTCGGCTTGACGCGAAGTCGCTTTGTTTCTAGGCGTCATCGCGGGGTCTGCACGTTTAGAGAAGTCGTCGCGTGATGTGATTCGTCATTCCTGGACGGCTCAGCCGGCATCTTTCTCTGCAAAAGAGAAGAAGTTCACAAGCAAGGTGGTTCTTAGCGGGAGAAGCCCTCGGCTAGATTTCTTAAGGCGACAATCATTTGAATGAGCTACCAGGATGATTGTCAGAGTTTGTGCTGAGGCAAGGCGTGACCAGGCGTTGCGCCGCTCTGGCCGACGCGTTGTAGACGGGAGGGGGGCGCAATGGATGTACAATGGCATCGGCGACAGACCAGTCAGGATTCAGAACGAGGATACAGGGAAACCTGAAGTGCGGGTGAGCAAGGTCAGGATGGAGGTGATGAATCCCAAATGGGCAGAGGACTGAGGTGGCAGGTGTGGGTGGATGACCTGGGGGACATGGGCCAATTGCATCAGCTGACAGATCTCGTTCTCGTTGATTGACGCGCCAGGCTCAGTGTAGCGAAAGTGGCATCGCTTTTCTGGCACACATGGATATGGATGGGTTGGAACGTCTCTCGCTTTATCGGCTGAAGCGTCTATTATTGCCGGACAGTCGAAGTGGCTCGTCCGGAGCACTCGTACGAGCAGGACCGAGGGGTTCAGTGCTATTTACAGAGAGTGCGGTTAGCGTTGGAAGTGGTTTAGGCGACAAATCCTTGCATGTGGGTTCACTGGTCGCATCGAGTCATTGACCAGTGGTAGTGACAGTGACAGCGGAAGGACAGGGGGTCATGTCTTCAAAAGTTGCAGATGACAAAAACGGATACACCATGGAAAGGCATTTCCGCCACCAAAAAGCATGGGGAGGGTTCCCGGAACCAGTAAGCATGTAAGTGGAGCAGATGACCTTTGGTTGGCCTTGAATGGAACAGGGCCTGCGAGCTGAGTGGCCGATCAGGTTGTTGACCAAGTCTCCAGTCGTGGGAAGTCTAGGAGGAGTTCGTGGATGGGTTCATGTTGCCGCAAGCAAGTACTCCGTACAAGCAGGTGGCATTGGGGGAATCGACGATGCCGATTTGCTTGGTGGAGTTCAAGTTTGGGCACAAATTAGCAACGAGCGTACCAACTAGTCAGTTGAAAGTTGTAACTAGTAGTAGAAGTAGTAAGGCATCCCCGTCGGGAGGAGGGAGGAGGGAGGATGGAGTAGGCAGTAGGCAGAAGTATGTACTGTACGTACGAGATATCGAGCATGGAGAGCCCGACCTGATGTATTGGATCGTGACAGAAAGCAGCAACAGCCACATTTGTAGAGGAGAATGGTTGGATCGACAGCGGGTAACTATTACAGCATTGTCAGCATGACTCGCAATTGGCACACTCGTCTTGCAGGGGGAAGTAATGATGCGTGCTCGTCTTGCAACGGGAGAAGGGGGCAGATCGAAATACGAAGAGAGCCCACCGTTCAAGCCGTCGGCCCCATGCGGGTGAAAGACGCTCCAGACCATTACGTGACGATATTCATCGGCGTTGTAACAGTAATAATAATACTAGAACTCCACGAAGAAAACCCGAGTCTTTTGATTACATGCCTTACATTCACGCCTTTCCAGAGGATGAGTTGAGCTTAATTGGGTAGTTTCAGTGGTCAGCGGTCAGCATGCTCATCTCAGTTAGTCGTAAAGTACTCGTACTATTACTATTCCTATTCCTATTACACAGTACTCCGTACTCTTAGACACGCTGACGCGCCACTCGAACTCGCCTGCACAAGAGCCCTTCCTCAGACGTACTCCCGTCGCCGCGGGTATGGGATGATTTGTTTCATCTCACAAGATGCGCTCGAACCGAGCATTTTCATGTCATCCATCGATTTGGGAAATCACCTAATAGCTGGAGGAAGGGACGGTTATCACTCGTCTGTATTTGGGACTTCGTACTCGGTACCTTGTATGCTCATCTCACATTTCTCTCCAAGCTCCCTGTGGACCGTATCCGTCCGCCGTCTGCCGTACTCGCTAGGCGGACGGAACACCTCGCACTCCTCGCAACTACTCCCGTGTGGAGCACAATTACTGCTCCTCGTCAGGTGCTAGCTGGTAGCCTACTCCACAGTACATGTCGCGCTCGTGCGAGGAGGACCAGGGCGTCCTAGCCGTCGTCGTAGTTTGTACATAGTTGTCGTCGTCGGCTCTACTTAGCCCTGCGGAGCAGTGAAGTGGGCTTGGGGCTTGGGGCCTACGAGTAGGTGTCCCCTAAGGCTACACTACAATACGAGGCAATTGACTCAAGCACCCTGAACCCTGCCGCCCTTGTGTCTTGTGTCTTGATGCAAGCTGCTCATGTGCCGCAAACCGTATCTTGCTGCAAGATACAGCACTAACTAGTCTCGGTCTGACTGGCATATCAAAGCCTGCTAGGATTCCACTTGGCTCCCGAGTTGGCCGATTCGACAAGACAGAGAGCGCAGGGATCCCGCGACTCTGGGGCCCACGAACATTGTTGATGGATGATGGATGACGAGAGCCGGTCGCTCTGTCCCCTCCCCCCCCCACAGCACCAAACAACGAAGACAAAAAAAGCGTTGATCCCGAACCTCGTCTTCTTGAGAAGCTGTGACCTTTGGCGACATTGCTCACACGCACACGCACCCACTGCTACCTGCACGACTCGGAACGCGTCAATCTCCTGCGAGGCTGTTGTCCATTTCACCCAATAATCCATACCATTGTTTGGCGACATCCCCAGGTCCACATTCCCTGGCCACCGTGACCAGGCACCTGGATCGCACTGGGACCCGGAGAGAGCCGAACCAGCCAACGATCTCAGTCCAGGGTGCCTATCTAAGCAACGGCAACCCAAAAACCCGCCTGTTTTGCCTTCGAGCTCAGACAGCTCTATGCCCGTACGTTTAGGTAGCTTAGGTATGGATACTACTCGTACTGCGAAATAACTATTAGCAAAATCCACGCATCAAAACTTGTGCTGGGCGGGCACCCGCGACCAAAACAGTCAAGCTCAAGCTCAAGCGCACTGGCATTGGCATTGGCACCCTGACTTGAACTTTTGGTGGCTCTGCACCTGCGCTGAGGCTGCACGCTAACCCAGGTCATTGACTCTCCCCACTCGTACTGAAGCCTGAAAGCTCGACTCGATCTGATCATCTCCCTTCTGTCGCCAGTTACGAAGTGATCGTATCGTCACCGTCACCACCTCGCACCGACACGCATCATTCCAGTGTTCTGTATACGGAGTACATCTTCCGCCCACCTGGTGTCCAAAACAACAGGCCAGCCTCGTTTCGCCTCCACCTCATACATCAAACTCTCGTCATCGACTGTTCTCTTCCAAATCACTGTCTGGAATTCCGACTTTCTCCTTCTGGCGACTATACCGAGCTGTATCACTTAGCACAGAGCACATCCCAGCTGGCATTACTATTGCAAAAACCAAATTGACGCAAGCAGAAAGGAATCGCCACCACTAGATGCTTTTATTTGGCCTTAGTCGCATCGGCTGCCGCAACGCCCGCGAAAAAGCTGTCGAGCTATCCTAGCACTCTCGGCAAACTCGTCATTTTACCTTTCCTGCGAACCCACCCAACAGCCACCAGAATCCCTCTTTTTTTCTCTTCAGGCCGGTCGTAGCGTATCCAGCTGCAGCCTGCAGGTTCCAAACCCACGTAAAATCCGACACCAAAACCGCCCTGACGCAAACCCTTTCCTCAACTTGGACTGTCGACGTCGAGGCCCGTGGGAACGAGGGAAAGAGTCAAAAAGAAAGACGACAGAGCGCGACCAAGCTGCTATTTCGGTCGTTGTCCGCATTCGCCCTGGTGAATGTGATTATCGTTGCTTGACGACTGACCGATCGACCTCTCACTGGCACTGCATTTGCAGCTGCAGCTGGCCTCTGCCCGCCCACCGGCCCTTGCCCTTGCCTTGGCACCCTCTGGTCATCACTGGCAGTCGTCAGTCTTCTCCCTGCACTCTTCGGGAGTGGCCAGCCCGGCAGCTTTCCAGCTCCTCCAACCTTCAGCTCCCAGGTCGGCGGCGCGCACCCTGCATCTCCAGCCCGGTCTACCCATCACCCATCGCACGCCTCTCGCCCCCCTCGGCCTGCACCTGCACCTCACGCCTAAACCCAGCTTCTTCCACTCACAACTCCCCTCTCCGTTACCCATTCATTAACTCCCGCTGCTGCAGCCATACCACCCGATACCCATCACTTACTTCCCTTGCCCACTGGCACCCCAGCAGCGTCCTCTGCCATCTCCTCCACCACAACTTTCCCGTCCGCCACCGCGACTGGTCCATCACATCAGCGTCATCCTCGCTACAGCTGCATGCCTACACGCTCGACATTGCTCCGCGCCTTCCTATCGTCGCCGTCGCAGCTCACTGTCCTTCCTTCTATCTTGTAGAGCGTCACAATATCATCAGACGCAGGCACCCTCGCCGATCGTTGGGTAACCCAGCTCACCTCTGTGCTGCCTGGATCCCGGCAGCTCACGGGCGGCCGTGCTGATGCGAAAGCCTGCGCATCAACACCTCCTCCACCACCAACAACATCACCACCCACTCCTCTCCATCACCTCCCGCGTCTGGACATGTCCATTTATACACCCTCGCGCCAGCCGACAAATGCTTTGAATGGTGTTGGCAATATGAATGATGGTTCGGGTACCATTAATCCTGCAGCTTTGAACGCTAGTGGTACGCTCTTCCTCCATTGGGTCGCATTCCTGGCCATCCGATCGGTCTATTTCATCATCTCATTCACCATGACTTGTTTCTCCGCGCGCTGATGTGCATTGTCAATCATCGCAAGACACTTCCTCCACAAAACCTGGTCGCGTTCTGATGCTAATCCACCGTGTGTGATAGGAGCTGTAAGACAGCCATCAAGTGAAGGCGGGCCTCGGGGCATTAAACGCAGTCGATCCCCCGAACAATATGCCGACTATCAACAAGCCGACGATGATGGTGAGGATCTAGATCTCTTCATTATCTCGCGTCTACCAATTGACTAATTCTCTTCGATAGGCCCGCGCAAGCGTGGAAGGCCATCAAAAACCCCTCGCGCCTCGGCAGACTTTACGTCTAACGTCGACTCCTTACCAACACCATCAAGTCAAACCTCACCAGGTCTAACACAAACACCTAAAAACCAGACTGCGCTTCAACAGCCTGTCGTCACACCTGTTCAAAGTTCGCCACCTCGAACAATCCCCAAATCCACTATAAAAGCCCTGCCTACCGTTCGAGATCATACCAGTGATACCTTGGGCGCAGAAGGAGACGAGTATGTCCCGCGCGAATATGACGAGGCTGGTGAGAAAAAAGTTGATCAACTGGGATACCTCCAGGGTGGTCGGGACTACAAAATCCGAACATTCACGCTGCCAGGAAGAGGTGAGAAGTTGTTCATGCTAGCCACTGAATGCGCGCGCCAACTCCAGTATCGCGATTCCTACTTGCTATTCAACAAGAATCGGTCTCTGTTCAAGATCATTGCAAGTGTCAAGGAGAAGGAAGAGCTGGTTGCTCATGAAATCCTACCCTATTCATACCGATCGCGACAGATAGCTGTTGTCACAGCTCGATCCATGTTTCGTCAATTTGGTAGTCGAGTCATCAAGGACGGCAGGCGAGTTCGCGACGACTACTGGGAAGCAAAGGCGATCAAGCAAGGCTTTACAGAACAGGACGCCGCCGGCGAGAAACGACCTGGCGCTGCACGAGCCCGCGAAGCAGCGGCACAAGATCAGCTGAGCTCAAGAGCGACAGTAGCTGCCGCATATGGTGATATTGTCTATAGCAATGGTCCGGGCTATGGAGCAGTACAACCACCTGCTCTGCAATCGGGTATTGCTTCAACAATGGCTCAGCTGACTCCGTTCGATCCCGCTTACGATTCGAGATACAAAGATATAGTTCGCCCAAGGCAGGACATCACCGGTCCGCCTTACCAGGATCTCACGCGTTCAAGCTCTGACGCAGAATTGGCAACTCAGGCGGGACATGCCGCGGACTTCAGCAGAAGTATCAACCAACAGAACCGATACCGCCGCTCTCTTGTGGATGAGTATTGGCGAAGACCACATGAGCAGCCTGTTTCGACCCCTCCACAGGCAGAAGCAGAAGTTGCAACAACCAGTCATGCCTTTTCGTCGCCACGTTTCAACACGGCAGATCTTCCAGGCACACAGGGTGCGCTTCTTGCACAACAATCCCAACCTTCCCAATCGGCTATGAACCCTCCCTCATTTCCTCACGCACAACCCCCCATCCAATCGCCTGTTCGTCAGCCAAGCTTGCAGCAGAACTTTCCCCGCGAGTCTTCGCAATTTACACCCCAACACGCCCAGTTCCAGAGGTCAGCCTCTAATCTCTCAATATCACAATCCGCATCACAGCAGCCACAACTCCCTTACGGTGGCGCCGGCAGCTATTCACCTCATGCACTCAATCAGCAGCAGCAGCAGCCCCAACAACAGAGTTGGGGCGCTCCACCGCCACAGCCCCATCAATCGCCTGCCCTTCATCGTATGAGTACACCACAGTTCTCCCCGAATCTGGCACATGGCCAGATCCCATCACCGTTACCAGGCGGATCCCATGCAAGTCCTTCCCCTCATCCTCAACAGATGCAACCCCCACAGATGCCAATGCTTCATCACCAAGGTAGCTCGGGCAGTATGGGTGCGCAACAGCTTTACGGACCCGGAGCTGGTTTGCAGGCGATGAACGCTGCTGCCTATGGTAACATGGCAATGGGGCAGCGCGGCATGTATGCCATGGGTGCGCAGAATCAATTTATGCAGCCCAATCCTCAACATGGACAGGGCTGGCCCGGCCCTCAGAATCCGAATCAAGCAGCTGGACAGTGGAATCAGCAATTTCAATGAGAGTCATTGGGTGAGAGCGAGATAGCAGATAATTAATATTTTCTTGTCGAGGGATCTTGTTTTACTGACATTGGGTCCAACATTTGAGGGATTTTTGTCCAAGAATTCTTCGTATGCCTCTGGATCACAGGACAGGTACAAGGCATAGGTATCTACATTCAATGTTTTGGGTTTCATGGCCTTTTTGTTACTATTGTTGTTTTTGCATTTTGGGAATGGGACCTAGGCCAACGTTGCATAGCGGAAAGGGGTCTTGGGTCATGACACGAGTATAGGAGACACTAGCGAAGTCTCCCGAGAACGGTTTTCACAGTGAAAATGCAAATCGATCAGTACCAGGTGGCATTTGGAAATATGGGCAGGGAACGACATGGCTCTTTTCAGGACTTGCTTTACTCCCTTTTGTTCTGTTTCTTCTTTTTCACAACCTTTTTCCACCTCGGGGCTTCGTTTTCGCTACTGCCGGCTACTGCTGCAGTGCCTTGCTCTGAGCCGTTCATCTGCTGACCATGGATTGGCTGTTCGTTGATGAAATCCTGATCGATCCAGATCCAGATCCAGATCCAGCGGCAAGCGGCAAGCGGCAAGCGGCACGAGCAAGCCAGCAAAATCCAACTTGAGCTTTTGCAGGCAATTCGGCGAAGGATTCTTTTGGGTGTTTTGGGGGGAGCACCGCACCGCGCAACGCACCAGGGATTGCTGGACATTCATCATCATCATCGATCATTGATCATTTCTGTTTTCTCTCTTCACGGGAAGCGAAGGTTCAAGGATTATTTCCCCTCGTGTTTCGCGCTTATCTATATCTATCTATTTAACACTATTGCATTACGCCTTGAAGTTGTATAATACTTTGGTTCTTTCTTGCACTGCTAAATTCCTTCTCCCTTTGGGCCTGCTTGTTGCTTTATCGCTTCGCGTGTCTGTTCTTTCTCGTCGTTTCTTATTTTTGATTGCCCCAAGCCTAGGCCTCAGGTGGTAGTGAACCCTGTGGCATCCTGACAACACAATCAAGGACCGTTCGACTAATGTCTCGGTGTATGTTTGTGTTGCTGTAGGCCAGTGAGCAGTTATAGGGTCCTGCTTTAGTGATTTCTGTACTCCGCCGTAAGAGCGGGTTTGCTGGATAATTAGCCAACTGGACTCCGCTACCACGCGAACTGACGTAGCGCTACAGTACATAAGCTAGGTCCTTATGTACGAGCAGTGTCCAAGGCACCAAAACTAATTGATGCTCGTAGAGGAGGCGAACACACCCGTCAACAACGGCTGGACATCGGCATCGACCAGGATCCATCACTATCTAGCTATGTATGTATGTAAGTAAGCATGTACGAGTAGTCGCTCGGAAGCCAGGACCTGTGTGTTGATGATACCACGAGCTGGGGCTGCGCCATCCTTCTCCGCAGGCTCTCCTCGCCCTTTTTCGTGGGGTCAGTCAGGTTCAGTTCTGCATCTGCCGGCATTCCCTCGATTGGGTCGAAGGAGCCCCACGAACCGGGATCTGGTGGTCTTTTCTATGTGCGGACCGCCGAGCCCACCCCCTTAGGCGCCTGGAGCCTTGCCCGGGACTTCTGTGGCTGGCGCTCCTGTCTGATGATACCCAGGGCTCTAGGTCCTCTTGGAAGTTCTGGATGATCCTTTTTATATATATTTGTATGTATATAAAAAGAATTGGGTTTTTGACGTCTTCGTGAATGAAATCTTTCTACGTCCGGGTGTCGACTTGATATACGGTGTGGATGTTTGTTGAGCTGGATAGCGAGCTGCTTATCTATTTTAGGACGACGAGGGCACTGCCGAGACTGGCTGGTCGACTGACCAGAGTCGAAAATCCACGGCCAAAGGCGCTCAGCGGGCTCTGACCGACGGGACGAGGCTGCTAGCTAAGGGGGGAAGAAAGGCAGGACTGAAACACAGGAATCAGGGCCGAGGTCTTTACGCCAGTCATCATGATCGTCTCGACGGAATCGAGCCGGGAAAAACAATATGCGCAGGCTAAGATTCCACTGAAAGTGCTCATTGTCGGGTTAGTTTCTCGCTTACTTAATTTCCTGCCGGTCGTCAATCTGAGATGGGCGAAATGTTGCTGACATTCAGCTCTGCTCCAGGGCCGGAATCGGAGGACTTGCAGCAGCACTGGCACTGGGAAAACGAGGGCACGATGTGCACATCATCGAGTTTGCGCCTGAGATAGCGGAGGTGGGAGCTGGTATTCAAGTCGCACCCAACATGCTTCGACTGCTGGACAGGTTGGGAGTGGGAGTGAAAGTCCGACAGACCGGCGTGCAACTGGCGGCCATACACGTTTTGCGCTGGCAGTCGGGTGCGCTGTTGGGCAGTGTGCCGATCAAGCAGGAGCACGGTGAGCAGTTTGTGGTCCACCGGGCGGATCTACAGATGGCACTATTGGAGAAGGCCCTGTCGCTCCCTAATGTCAGGCTGCAGGTCAACACCAAGGTGGAAAATGTACAGTTCAGCCCTGCTGCCGTTCTGCTGAATGACGGGACGACTGTACATGGCGATGTGGTGCTCGGAGCAGATGGCATCAAATCCATGATCCGCGCCAGGGTGCTTGGGGACGAGAAAGATGTCGCCGTCCCCACAGGCGACGCGGTGTTTCGAGTGGTCCTCACCAAAGAAATTTTAAGCAATTTTCCGGATCTTTTGCCCTTCATCGAGGAGAAGAAGGCGATACGCTGGGTCGGTCCTGGGAGACATCTGATCGCGTACCCTGTTCGGAACCACGAGATATACAATATGGCGCTGTCGCATCCGGACCGTGGTCGTGTGGACGAGAGTTGGACATCGGTCTCGTCGAAGACGAACCTTCTGGCTGAATATGAGGGCTGGGATCCGAAGTTGATCAAACTGCTGGATCTCGTTCCAGAGGGGGAGGTCTTGGAATGGAAACTGTGCATGCACGCGCCACTGGCGCGATGGATCCAAGGTTGTTGCGCATTATTGGGAGATGCTTGCCATCCCATGCTGTGAGTCTACTTTGCCCCAACTTGGTCTGCAGTTGTCTGAGAGACTCACCCATCACTTCCAGCCCATACGTAGCCCAAGGTGCCGCACAGGCTGTGGAGGACGCAGCTTCTCTAGGTACACTCCTATCAAGTATATCTTCAAAGGAGCAAATCCCTCTAGCGCTGCAGGCTTACGAAAAGGCGCAAAAGGCTCGTGCCGAATTCATTCAACAGTCATGCTTGACCACTCGAACCGCCCTTCACTTGCCGGATGGAGCTGAGCAGGAAGCTCGTGATCTCAAGTTTCGGCTGCTTTCCGCAGGCGGTGATAACGACGATAAATGGGGTGATCCTAAGATGCAGCAGTTCATCTGGGGCTGGGATGCAGAAGCAAAGGCTGAAGAAGCATGGAGAGGTGAGTCTCTAAGCTCCGGGTCCCGCACGGGAGAAATTTTGACACCGCCAGACATAAGCAATGACTCGTCCCTGTTAACGAGTCGACTATGAGAATCCAATCACGGATGTGGCGGCTGAGTGCTATGGTATTGTCTACTGTAAGTGGGAGAGCGCGGTGGACTCGTCTCTCTGCCTAACTAGCAACCATGTCGCCAAGGCCCAACGACGTCACTAACGACCAGTCCCTTGTTCAACTAAGCGGAGCCCCAGCTTAGAACCCAGACACCATGCCGTCGCCCCACTATGCATATCCATGTCCATCAGAGTGATGGAGCAGAAAATTGTGTCGATACAGCTAAATGAGGAGAGACGACAAGGTAATTAGCGAGGATAAACTAGCCCAATTCTTCATTGGTACGCATGGAAGGGTTTAAAATGTAGCAAACACCCATTGCTGTCAACCACATGGCCCTGTTCAGTTTCCCTCACTTCTTCCACCACGCTTTTGATATTGTCGTAGCTGTTCATTTCTAGAAGTCTTTTGCAAATCCAAGCAACATGGCTGGACACGATGAACATGGCGCACACCCGCCACATTTGAAGCACAGGTATGAATTATGAATTACACATCGGCCTTGCCCGCGAGTAAACCACTAATAAAATCACCAGTCACGCGCACGAAGAAGACATTCCAGGAACTGTCAATCTGCAGGCTGCTGGTAAGGTCCCGACTATCTATCATTCTTGGGTTTAATCCTCGTCCACTCCTGGCTGACGTGTCAAATCCAGAGGGCGACGATACTGGCTATGGACAAGCGTTGTTTCCCGTGCCAGCAGACGACCCCAATGATCCCTTGCAATGGCCAAATTACAAGAAGACCATGATCTTGATCATCTGTGCGGCCTATTCTTTTTTGGGTAACTCTGCTCTCCTGGGACCGAGCGTATACATTGGAATTTACTCCGAATCGTTTGGCATCACACCCGCAAAGGCTTCGGGACTCGTCAGCTACCCCAACCTTGCATATGGATTCGGTACGTGTAACGTGTGTGAAACATGTGGGCCGAGCTACGCGGGGACGATATATACTGACCGATCCCAGGATCTTTGGTTCTAGTGCCTTGCTACCTCAAATTTGGAAGACGGCCAGTGATGCTGGGTTCCATCATTCTCGTTGGTGCCAATCCGTTGGTGATCTACGACCACTTTTACTGACGACGTGATCTTCTTAGTTTGCGGCTGGGCTGATTGGTTCTTCCCAATGTAATAGCTTCAGCAGTCTGATGGCCACTCGAGTCCTCGCCCAATTCGGCGCCGGGGTTTGTGAAGCGTTACCTGTCCAGCTGGTCAACGACATTTTCTTCCTGCACGAACGCGGTCAACGTCTGGGCTACTATACTGTGGCTCTCTGTCTCGGAGCCACTGGACCCCTATATGCCGGCTACATGCTCGCAGGGGGTAACTCATGGCGGCTGTTTTTCTACGTCGAGTTCGGATTCGCCTGTGCCCTGTTCATCCTCGCGTTTGTCTTCGTCGAGGAGACGTGGTACAAGCGTGACGAGATGAAAGCAAGACTCGGCGCCGCCGTGACAGCCGGTATGGAGCCAGAAAAGGGCATTGAGACTGAATCTGCGGAAGTTTCTCCCATTGCCCCCCCGAGAAAGAGCTTTGTTTCGACCTTGAAGCCTTGGGGCGTATATGACCGTGAAGCGCCTTTCTTCATGACTGCCATTCGATCCTTCTCCTATTTCCTCGTCCCGAGCGTCTTTTGGGTGGTCGCCACCTACGGTATCTATATTGGCTTGGGGGCGCTGGCGTTCAATTTCACATTCCCTATTAAGATTGTTGCGCCACCGTATAATTGGAGCCAGGTGAGTTAATGAGCCAGAATGTGGTTCTTTAAATCAGGTAGGATTGTTGTGCTGACGCGTACGTTAGACGAACTCCGGATTGATTGCCGTGGGAAATGCAGTGGGATATATTCTCGCAGTGCCCTTTACAACCACGTCAGATCGACTAGCAGCACGTCTCACCAAGAAAAACAACGGGATCCGTGAGGCTGAGATGCGTTTGGGAGTTCTTCTACCAGCGATGTTGATCGGGCCCGCCTCGCTAATTGTCTACGGTTACACGGCAGAGAAGAATCTGCACTGGTTTGGCTATTTCGCGGGAGTGGCCATGTGCAACTGGAGCGCATATTTCTTCTTCACGTTCACTCTGGCATATGCTGTGGATAGCTATACGGTGAATCTGTCGGAGATGTTGATTGCGATGAATTTGGGGAAACAAGCCATTTCATTCGGCATGGGTGAGGACTTGCTCCAGTGGGTGTTGACTCTGGGGTACGTCAAGACGATTGCTGGTATATTCTGTGGTGTGCTCGCAGCCAATGACCTGGCGTTGTTGATTTTCATGTTCTATGGCAAGAAGATCAGGATTGCTACGAGCAAGACTTGGCTGGCGAGTATGCATAAGAAAACGCAGGTGGTGGGAGAATCTCACTAAATTGGATCCGAGAAGGGCTGGGGTCACGATGAGGGCCTCGACCATCGAATTGCCTTGTACAACAAGCGGCATCCAAGCAGTTGATTGAGATGTCAGTGTTTTGCTGTGGACGGGCATACCTACTAGCCGTAATACCACGTAGCAGAACTCCTTTTCACATGACCAAGAGACAGATCATCCATATCCATACTGTGCATGTGCTCACAATGAAGCCGAGCAAGCTTCTGAGCTCTCTCGGCTGTGTACTCCGTAAAGATCCGGAAAAGCCCCATATGACGATCCAGGGTTCTCCGTACCACAAAAGGGTAAAGAACAAGGGCACATGATGGGGCTGGGGAGGCTGTCGCGGGCATTGATCTGTGTCCGAAGCCGAGGGTCGTACCTATATCCACTTTTGTGGGGGAAGAAAAATTGCGACTTAGTCTCGTTGTGTCGAGGATGAACCTGTGCAATACGAGTAATGAGGGGTTGACTCGGTTGACTCGGTTGAATATGAATAGACCCAGGGTTAGAGTCAGATAAATGTACAAATGCTCGTGCTGCACAAAAGATGACTTTAAAGTTACCAGTCACCTTGGGAAAGTGGGTTGCCCTTGTCCTTCCGGTACGGCGTCGATCAAGAAGGAAGGAGCCATGGACGAACCGTTCGGGGCCCTAAGTTGATCCGGACCACAACAAGGAAGGAGGGGGCTTGTTTTGCGCCGTTTCCAATTCGCCTCTTCAAATCCAGCTTCATATCCACCCTCCCAAATCCAGCCGTTGGGTGGCTCATGCAGGCCGTCGCAATTGAGAAAAGGAATCCGTACGGAGTATTGTAGAAGATAGGAACATGTTGGATAATACGAAGTCCTGAAGTCAGTACCAGCAGCCTGTTACTCGTACCCCGTTTAACACTACGCCTGGGTGATTAGTGCTTAGTGCTTAGCGGTTAGTGCTTAGCGGTTAGCGGTTAGCAGCCAGCGGTTAGCACTTAGCGGGTAGTAGCTAGTGGTTAGTAGTTAGTCGGTAGTAGTTAGTGCTCCGCATAGCAGCTAGCACCCGCTAACAATCCGCTGGGCACCCGCTAGGCACACAGATAACTAAGTTAGTCTAGTCACGGGGGCGGCAAGCTCCCACTCCCACTGTCCACATTTTTCACCTCTCCCCAGTTCTCCAGACTTTTGCCTCCGCCTAGTAAGTAACAACCTCACGCCAACGACCTCGCTTGTTGCTCGTCCCATCTCCGTATCCTATCCCACTCCATGTCCAATCCTTCGCCCCTACCATCTGGCTTGTCCTAAGTAATCTCGCTGTTTGGCCCATGTCCAGTCATTTTCAGCTCCGATCCGAATTCAACCTACTTCCATCTCCTATTTTGTCAATTTCCATTCCCTCCCTCCACCTCCCACATTTCCCTTTCCACCACCGCCTTGCGGGACACAGTACCACATACCTCGCTTTCTGCTGTGTATACCTCCACTAACGTCAATCTCGACGTCAATCATGGTATTACGACAATGTACCGTCTGTGGTCGCCGTTTCACCAAGACTGAACATTTCAAACGACATGAACGTTCGCGTAAGCTAACCATTTCCATCCTTTCCAATCCGGTCCCGACTATCATCTCACTGTCGTCTAGATACTCGTGAACGGCCTTATCCCTGTACTATATGCGACAAGGCTTTTTCACGAAGGTAAGTCCTACATGACCCCATCTACCTCTGCTTTAAGCCCAATAACCAACACCAGCAACCCTAACCAGTGATGTCTTATTCCGTCATATGAAATGTCATGCTCAACGAAATGACAAAAATGCTCCCACAAGTGCCTCCACTCGGAGGAATACCATCTCAGAGGGTGTTGCTCCTCAAACACAGCCAAACGAATCCGAGATCAATTCTCCTTCGGCGCTCTTCAATGGCCCTCAAAATGGAATCCCATTGATGCAGATCTTGTCACCCAGCAACTACCTGCCACCTCCCAGCAACGATTCCACTCACCCCCCTAACAGGACTTCTTCCCTTGATGTTACCGGTCACCCATTCCTCGATGGTTCGACCAGTCAATCCCATCATGCCCTTAACTTACAGCTTTCTAATGCAACATGGAACGTCGCTTCTCCCCTCAACACCATGACCAACAAGCCCTCCACCTCGTCACATGCTCAAAAGCCTTCCCCGTCTCAGGTCTCTGGCGAAGCCTCCAACTTTGACACCAGTGTCACCACTCCTGGAAACCCTGTTCAGACTCCCAGATCCGAAATGGGGCCCAATCAATTCTTGGACACCAACAATATCGAGTGGCTCCCTCAGACAGCGGATACCGCCGATCAAAACAACTTCCATGATCCATTTCAGATGTGGCTGTTCCCTTCACTGGGTGATCTTGACCAGTCTCCTGATTTTCTACAAGCTTATGGCCTTCAAGATCATAACCAGCAATTCCAAGACTCCAAGGAGGCCATCAATGGTACTGGTCGCGCAAATGACGTGGCCGATAGAACGAGAAATATCGCCAAAGTCCCTAGAGAGCGCTTCTCAAGGGTGCAACGGTGTTGGAATCCGCGTCCCGGGCGGGTCTATCGCATCATGACCGTGCTCTGGAAGGATGTTGCTTCTTTGCCAATGGACAACCTTTTCTCAGAATCACCAAACGCTGCCGATGACTTCAGGACAACGTCTAACTGGGGTCTAGACACGGAATGCCGCATACGTCTCAGAGACCAGTTCCGGACTCCTGCCCCTTCCGCCTTCCATTCCCCCAGAATTCAACCGATGCTCGACCCGGCATTAACTGCAGCACAAGCCGCAACTGCCAGCGACGAATTTCCACCTGCCGAAATTCTGGACATTGCACTAGGACTCTTTTTCCGTCGCTTTCACCCGACTGTCCCTTTCATCCACGTTGCCACTTTCTCCGTGAGGAATACCCCTTCACCGATGTTGTTCGCAATATGTCTGATTGGTCTGAGCATCCTCGGAACGACAGGTGCAACGAGATTCGTCGGCAAAATGTTTCCCAGCTTTCTCCAACGCGTCTCCAACGATGTTGCAGCATGCACGCGAGGCTCGGTTCCAACATCTCAACAGCTCGTGATCTTTGGCACGGCGTTGCTCACTCTCAATCTGTCCGTCATCACAGGCGAGAAGGACACCTTCCACCAATGTCAAATGCTCTACGTCAGCCTGATTTCGATGGCTCAGCAGAATGGACTATTCGCCGCCAACGATGGACAATCTCTAGACCTCCTATTGTCGGAAATGTCCGAATCAGACGATCGATGGAAAGCCTGGTGCAGGATCGAGTCCGCAAAACGCCTCATCTTAGGCCTCCTACTCGCAGACTCGTGGTATTCACATCTATTATCTAAAGCCCCCATCATCAGGTCCGAGTCCGTCTGTGTCATCGCCCCATGTCATGAATCCCTCTTCCAAGCCAGGTCCGCAACACAATGGCAATCCCTGCTCCGCAGCGGCAAGAGCCAAAACGCACCTATGTTCCGAATCGACGACCTACACAAACCGGAGCTTGAATCATCAGGCAAACTCGGATATCTAGGCACCTCTGCCCTCCTAGCCCTCCTCCAAATCCAGGTCCTAGAAGCGTACCATCGACTAATGACTCCTGACCCACTGATGATCGGGTCCTTCATACCTTGGCACGTCTATTCAGGGGACGCCCGTGCCCGAACACTGATCCCAGCCCTACTAGCAGGATCACACACCGCCGGCCCACTGTCCAAAATCGACGACACGAACTGCACGGTCCTCTGGCACAGCATCTGCATCATGCTGCTAGCGGATTTCCGCATGTTCGAACTCGCCGCAGGACGTCACGGGGCCGCACCGGCGACCAACGCTCTCGAAAGCATCTCGCACTGGGCACAAACGCAATCAGCCCGGCGAGCGTGCGTCCATGCGGCCCAGAACTTTAAACTCATGTCGGAACGCCGCGTTTCCGACAACGTGACCAACCACTCCGTGATGGCGCTCTTCTCGTCAGCACTCGTGCTGGGCCTGTATCTGTTCATGGTCTCCCCCGGCGGCCGCGGCTCGTCGCGCCAGGGCACCGCCCCCGTCGAGATCGTCGAGGTCGAGCCCGACTGGGCCGAACTGCACGACCTCGGCTTCACAGATGACTCCAACCCTTCCTCCTCCCTACTCCTTAACCCCCACCATCAACAACAAACCCCTGACCACCGACCGTCTACCTCCTCCAATAGCAACCTTATGCTGACCACCAACCGTGAAGACGAGCACAGCTTCTCGGTGATCTACCAGTTCGTCAAGTGCGGCGGTACGCTGTGCCTCAACGGCGTCACGCACCAGGGCGGCTACGAGTCCGCGCGCCGCGTGCTCCTCGACTTCGCGAACCTCATGGACGGCATCTCTGGACGCAGGCTGAGGACGTTCACCCAGGTCCTGCATATCATGAGTGATGACTTGATGAATGTTGATCCTGCGCTTTAGATTGTTGGGGAAAGAGGGAGGGGAGGGTCATTTCGAGTCAATTCGTGAGACGATCGAAATAGATGTTTTGATTGCATGACATGAATGTGTAATTAAATGATTGGATTGGGATTAACGGAGCGTGTGGAATAATACGGGCAGGATATGTCCCTGACCATCCCAGCCTGGCACCTGGGGCATGTCTTCACTTTGAGTATAGGCTTCACTAACTACTTCACTGTAATAGTGGTTTAATGCGATTGAGATGCTCTATATAGACCTGCGCCACTGCGAGCAAAGGGGCCCAAGGTGTCTGAGACCTCAATGATACTCTTCTTCATTCACACTTCACATTGGCTATGATTATCTTGTGACTGGCTCCCTTGTTCAATTCACAAGGTTCGTTCGTTCGTTGTTTCATCTATTCGTATTCTTTCGTGTCTGGCATGTACATGCCATGCTGGCTCGGCCTAATACATCCCCTCAAGGCAATGCGACCTCAAAGGTCAAAATCATCATCCCATCCAAGCTGAGCGTAAAGGCTTCCTTCATCGGTGTAGTTCCCTTCAAGTATTGCGCTGCAGCCGCCAGTCTGCTTCGCCAGTGGTCTTGCCCTAGCTTGGTCTTCGCTCTGGTCTACAGTAGGGAATGGGGAGGATGTAGTGATCGTGAGTGTTAGATCTAGATCCATCTCGACGCCACGACCACCCATTACCCGATCCATCGTCTTTCCTGCCTTTTCTGGTATCTCGGGTGCGTCGCGAAACACATCTTCAATGCTCACGTCCGACCTCTTGATGGGCGTGAATAACACTGGCCGAAGAGATCGCGACATCCGTGGGCCGCCTCGGTTGGGACTTTGAATGCTGGAAGATGGAAGGTTTAGATCGGAGACCGGGTGTGGAGACAGCTGGCCTTGGCTAGACCTTTCGAGGTGGACTTTTGTGCGAGGTGGGGCTAGTGTTGCTGCGACACCGTCAAGATGGGGGGCGGATCGTGACCCTTGACACAGGGCTAATGGGTTGGACGTTTTTCTTTCCAGTCCTCGAGATGGCGTCTCGTGAATAGCAGGTAGAACTGCTCTCTTCGTTGCCGTTGCGTGAGGGACGCTGCTCGTGGACAGGAGGCCAAAGCGGGGTTTGGTGGTCGAGGATGGAACCATCAGATCTTGTGGCCGAGATACCAGACTTGCGGGCATTGGTGGCAATTCTGGCTCAAATGCCTCTCCGTGCCTCACTCTTCGTGCTCGTGGTGTTGCCGCAATTTGCACCAATTGCGCAACCCCTTGGCCCTTACGATGCTCAATTTCATCCATGAATGCGCCAGCAACAGTGCCCCGGTTTGGCTTCTTCAGTGCTTCGATGGCAGCTTCGAGTTCTCGCTTTTGCTCTGCCAACCGGCCTAGCTTTTGACGCTTGGCCTCATGGACCTTGGAGTCTGCAACCAAGTCAACCTCGCGATTGCTAAAGCTGACTGCCCTAGAGAGCATGCCGCTTCGTGAATCGGGTCTCTCCGAAGGCTCTCGTTGTAGAGAAGGGATGATCGGATTCACCGGACCAATGGATGCCCGAGAACGTACGGGTGGTGAGGCATGACGGTGGGTTTGGTCTTCACTAAGGACTCGTTCGAGTGTACGTTTGGTTGATGTTTTCCCTGGGAGTACCTTTGGCATAGTCGAAGAGGATGATTTGGAACGAGATAGGCCTGATGATCGAGTGAGAAGCTTCGGTCTTTGAGGAGAAATTCCAGAACCACCAAGCTTTCGAGAAAGTGACTTGATTTGCTCCGGGAGCTTGACTGAGTAGAAAGGAATTAATACATCTTTGCAGAAATCCCGGAGCGTGTCGTTGGACTTAGATTTCGAGGGGTCATTCCTTTTCTCATTCCCGGGAAAATCCTCGAAACTGACAGTATGCCAGATACAAAGTCGATCAACCATTGTGTCTAATTCGCCGGATAGATCTCGTTTCTTTTTTGGTGGGTTGCTTGGTGTTTTCCCAATCATGGTGGCAGAATCAATCTCGATAGATTCAACTTTGACTCGAGGGTCCGATGGTGCTGGCGTATCGGACAATCGGGCAGAAGCCAATTCTAGCAGCATGACTTCCAGAATAAGCAAGAGTTGCATCTTGGTCTCCCGTGTTCGTAGTTCTGCTGTCCGCTTGCGGAGGTCGTCCACAAGGTTGATTGTCGAGGTCGAGCTTGCTTCTATTCCTCTACCACGCCACCACTTTCGAATGAAGCCTTCTTCGTTAGCCCAAAGTGAGTCTTTACCAATTTTGAATCTTTTCTTCCCACTCTTCTTCTTTTGAGTCTCCCCACCACCACCATCATCATCGGCAGGTAACTCATTCACCACCTTTAATAAGGATTCCTTGAACTTAAGGTCAATCTTTGCCGTTGGTAGGATGCTCTGCCTGTAGTGGTCGGCGAGTTCAATAATGGAAGAGATTGAGTCTTTGGCAGTTCGCACATGTGCACGAGCACGGCTGAGTGGACCCTTGACATAAAAAGCTAGAGAGGTATTAGAGGTGTATAAATGCTCGAAATATTGATTTCGGAGTCGCTCGAAAGAAATTGGTTCCTCAAAGGACATTTGAATTGCCGCTTCTGAAGGATTTGTGGGCGGTAAACCCTCTATCTGCGCAGGTAGGGTGATTTTGAATGGATCTACCGGTTCAATTTGAGGGCCAGACGTAATTGGTGAGGGTCCACAAAGAACAGGAGCCGGCAGTTGGTGTTGTTGAGGCAAGCCTGGAGAGCTTGACATTTCAGGTGTCAAATTATTGCTGACAAGATCTTTGGACATGAGTATAGATTTCCTGGCCAGGGCACCACGTCGATTTGTGGGCTTCTTCGGACTCTTGGGTGGGGGCAATGCACTGGCGCTGGAAGCAGACAATGTCCTGGCGTGAGATGGGGGCCCCCTTGGATTGACCAGGACTTTCAGGTCCACATCAGCGACAATCCCTATGGCGGCTTTGTTGCACCACTTTTCGGACACCCAACTATGCAGAGGACATGCGAGATAAGTGTTTCCTCCGACTCTTTCTATGGCATATAATCCTCCATTCTGCAATCTCCTTGCCAGTAAGACTCTTTGCTCCCATTCCTGCACAGATTGAATCGTCGCCTCAAACACAGGTGGTGATGGTTGTGAGGCACTAGCAGACGTGTTGAGCCAGGCGAGAGGAAGGCACGCTCTCGCGACTAACGTGACGGCCTTGAAGGCTATGCTCGGGGAGTTGGACAGAAGGTATGCAGTGAATGTCTCTTGCAGGAGTGAATCCGTCTCTTCGCTATCCTCATTGTCGTACTTTCTCTTTTTATGGTTCAGGTGGGTAGATGTTGCGGGCGGCGTGACGCTGTTACCGCTTGTTGGGACAAGAGGCTGTCTTTGCAAAGGGGATATTGACTGCATATCTTGCCATTACGAATACTAATACAACGATAATTTCAGGAGAAGAGCAGTTGGAAAAGAGCAATAGGATGTGTTTATGTTGTCGTCAAAGGAGAAAGACGCGAAGAGGTGTGCATCTGGTGGGTCGCTGTAGATTGACGTCACGCGTTGGGAGCAAGGCTGGTTCTTGGCACAAGGCTGAGTCGATCAAGAGGATTCGCGGTTGAGTAATGAATAATGAATACTGGATGCTGAAGACACTCAAGAGTGATTAGTATAAGATTTGCATATCTGATCTATAGATCACACCAAACAGCTATTGCTGATCTGTACAAAGTAAAGAACAATGGCCCCAAGAACTCCTCAGAATGCCGAATGTATGGAGGTCTCTCACCCGAGTACAACCGCTAGAATGACAATCAGTAAGACAATAGCTAAGATCATCAAAAGGCAGCAAGCCTTGTTCCGTGCAGCTTTCTGATAGCGACTTGCACTTCTCAATTCAACATCAGCTCCTCGGGTATCCGTCAATGTGTTCTCCACATTGACATCAATGGCATCGATCATATCGCCTTGTTCGCGAACAATATGGGCGACGTCTCGGAATAGCTCATTGAGCTCGCCTACAGATTGCTCAATCTGTCGAATCTCCCCTTCTCTTTCGATAATCAGGTTCTCTTGGTAGTCTACTTCCGACTGTTGGGCCAGTCTTGGCTCCTCCAATGATTGAAGTTGTTGTTGTCCTTCTCCCGCGGGTGACTGAGCAGAAGATGCTTCTTCTAGTGCAGCTTTGGATGCTCTTTCCTTTTCCATCGCCCGCCTCTGCACAACCTGAAATTCTGAAAGAGCCGAAGCGAACTCTCGGGATAGCTTTTGATTTGTATATCTTTGCGACGGCTGTTCGCAATCAGAAATGAATCATAGACAACCGAGGAAAACACTCACATTTAGATTCTCCCATGTTTGAGCCCTCTTTATCCCTTCGCCAACTTGTTTAAACCCATCTCTCGTCTCTTCTAGCAGATCATGAACCCGCTCTCTACCTCTTTGGGTATCTCGCTTTGTGCCGAGACGACCAATCTCGTTCGAAATTTTGGAAATGTTTGAGACTAGCTCAAATAGTTTCTCAGAAAGCGACTCGGTGAATCTTTGGAATTCGGGGTCGTCTCTGTACTGGGGATCATCTTGCCGGCGGGTAGTGGTAGATTGCGACTCCAGCGAAGAGAGCCTGTCAAACGACATGGTTGGGGAGTCGAGAGAGAAGTAGAGGGTACAATATATCGTGCTGCGACAAATCTGAGATGGTGGTTCCCAGAGTATGAGCTGGTATGAGCTGGTGGAACGAACTGGGTTTGATGTCGAATGATGGAAGCCTGGGAGAGTGAGTTGGTCGCAAGAATCACAGTTGAGCCTTCCAACTTCCCAGGGTTCCAACCTCCGCATTCAATCCATACTGACCACGTGATGTAGCCGCACTTAAGATAAAAATGCGTCCCCGTACCGCGCCTCGCGACTGCGCTCTAAAAAAAGATGCCCGCGTTCCTTCATTGTTTACTGGCAGCCTCAATCATGTTCACTTCCACCTTCCACCCTCCACCCTCTACTGTACTTAGCAGATTACGCTGGTCGATGGCTGCTGTTCTGACATGATTCCCTACGCCATACATCATCAAACGTAATCATGTCAACTCCGACTCCCGTAATCCCCGCTCCGCGCGGATACAGACGTTACTTGTGGTCTGCATTTCACCGAAGGCTTGCTCACACCGTCCTGCGGTCCCTCACCCTCGGCGTGAATAACGTTGTTTGGATTGGCTCTCAGAAGAGTGCGCTACTATCTCCTTCGACCTCTAGAGTCAGAGCGCTAATATCAACAGAATATTTCTGGTCATGGTTCCCTATTGGGCCAGCCTTCCTCAAAGCCCTGGTGTTTTCCTTTTCCAGCCTCTCAATCTTCTGTCTCCAGGTAGGAACACTGGATATAGGCCTACGGACGAGCTCTCCACCTTTGGCAACACTCAGCAGGAACTTGTTGAGCCTGGTCGCTTTAAAAACATTCTTCTGGTACTCGATTTCCGCTTTCTGGTTTAGTGAAGCATATATTTGGTCGTCTCCAGATCTGAGCTGGGTAACCAAGGGATCTCATACTACATCCGACCGCTTGAACGAACGCCCTATCTTTTTCCGAGCCTATGCCTTGATGCTCGCACAGGCGGCAGCGATAACTCACCTTTACTACGGTTATTCTTCACTACGAATCCCTATCTCAAAGGTACCATCCGCCTCTGCCCCTACCGATGTAGCAAGTCAGAACACACACCCACTTGAATCAAGATGGTCCCAGGTCAGGCAAGCTTTCGGACCCGCCATTCTGCGAAGTGCTCGAGATGCAGCAATCTGGATCGGCTTAGGTCCCTTTCTCTACACATTACTATTCCGAAAAATTCTTTGGGGGTGCCACCTTGCGTTTGCAAAGCTTTGGTTTAAAATTTCACGAGCAGATGCATATCCAAGTGGTTATCCTCCACTGGGTATTCCATACCTCACTCAGAGCTATCTAGCTGGTGTCTTCCTTCTCTTCACATGGGCTATTTCCAAAAGCCTGTTCCTGATATATTTCACGCAAGAACCTACGAAAATGGGCTTACCGCTATCTGCGTCTAGCAAAGATCCGAATGGGACGCTCTTATTGGGCCTAAAGGCGAAGAGCATTGTGAAGACTTTTGCTTTCTGGGAGTTGACCATTATTGCCCAGAAGCACAAGGATCGAAGACAGACAATCTTTGAAGATATCGAAAGACCTACTGGCCCCATGTGGCCCCAAATGCTGCAATCTGGTCTGAAAGTCTTGCAGGACATTGAACTGCGAATCAACGGGCCTCCTCCAAAGCCAGCTGTGGCAGGTCAGCAACAACATATCAAAACCATGCCAAGAATCGTGCCTCAGCTACCAGATCAGTCGGTAACCCCACCAAAACCCAAGCCAACTATTCGACAATTGCTAGTAGAAGAGACCATAGGTCAGGTTGTAAGCGATAAAAACCCCTGGCGGCCGCCCGTCGACCAGACCACCAAAGCTGTCGAGTCAGTGTTCCTTGATTATTTCAGCCCTCCATTCAAGAGGTTCATCACGCAGACCTTGGGATCACTACCAAGCTCGGTGACTTCTCTGTTCATAACTTCAAATTCTGCTAAGATTAATGCAACTGTGCTGGGATCCCCGACTGGCAATGAAGCATTAATCGTCGACGTGATCGAATCCATTACGAAGATGCTGTTAGCCAGCCTTTCTGAGGATACCTATGGCAAGGCAACTCCTACAGTCTCCGAGACTGTCCGAACGTTTACGAAAACTCTGACATCAATTGAAAGCTTTGTGGAGGCCAATAAGGCCGGAACGAAGGGTTGCATTGAAGAGGTTGAAATCATTGTAGAGCGACTTAGGGCCGGATTACGGGAATTATTGGCTGCTTTCCAGATTTACCTGCTGGATGTTGGCCTGGGCATTGCTGATCTCAACCAGGCTAAAAAGGCAGTCGCAGGTCCCCAAACAACGGACATCATCGGCCAGCCTCATCAAGGAAAGACATCCCCTGACAATGGTGACCAGCGAGATGCATTTTCTGGTAGGCAAGGCAGCCAAAGAACTGCAGAATATATCAGAGACCAACCTCGTCAGCAAACGAATAATGTACGGAAACGACCGCCTGGAAGTATAAACGGCCGATTATTCCCAAGGAGGGAAATGGAAGAGGTCAGATGAACATAGCAATCGATACGATAACGCTGCTGTGGCTGGTTATCTCACTTATGCTAGTATTCCAAGCTGTATGATTACAAGAGCTCATTCGATGCCCAGGCAGTGACATCAGGGGCTTCTCTCTTCTCCTGCGACTGATGTTGGCTGTCCCACAAGATGCCATCCGCTCCGGATGGTCTGCCTTCCCCATTAACATCGTATGAGCCCTTACTCTCAATTACCACGGTGGCTTCTTCCTTGACCTCCCAAACATCGACCCTCGCTCTCTCACACAGCTTGGTAATCTCTCGCAGGACCTCATCCACTTTTTCAGCTTGATCTCTCAACCCTCGCCTCAACAGACCACTGACCAATCGACCGACCTCTTCATGGATGCCGTTGACCCTCTGAATCAACCGCTGCACGCTCGCAACAAGGTATTCTTCCTCGTAGACACTATCCTTCTTCCCTCGCGCACGTTTTCTCTCCTCTCGTCTCTTAGTCTTTGACGTCTTCCGCGACACATTTGAGGCAACAGTGCCGCCAAACTTACTTGCATTCGATCCGTACCGCGTGAACAGACTCTGGCCGCCTTGCGTAGTCGCATTCGTCGGCGCCAGTGAGACATTATCCGGAATATCTACACCATCAAGCATAGACGAAGGATCGCCGCCATAGAAGGCCAGTGGATCCTCCTTCTTCTTCCGCCGCAGCTCGTGGATCCGCGGCACCTGCGACGCCAGCTGGGTCTTGCAGTCGGCCACGAGCTCGAGGATCTCGCCGAATTTCTCCGTCAACCCGCCGTCAACGATCATGGGGATCTGATCTTTGAGCCGATGCAGCGAGAGCAGGCGCAGCGCGTCCGCAAAGTACGAGCCGCGGCATAGCAGAAGCGCCGCCCCGGGGATGTCTGAGAGGTACTCGGCGTGGATGCTTGCTGCGGAGCGATAGTCGCGCGACTCGTCGGCGCAGGTCGTTGCGAGTGATGTGGCGAGATTCCTGAGCCGGCCCCTGTCGAGTGCCGGCTCCACCAGGCTCGCGCACGATAGTGCTTCCCGCCAGCGGTGTGCCAGTGCGTACAGCGGATATGCTGCCGCGTGGTCGCCCAGGGACTCGAACAGTGTGGCCGCTGCACTGTGCTTGGACTCCTGCCCTGCCAGATGCTCAGCGTACAGCCGTGTGATCCGCGCCAGGTGCACCACATCGTATCGGTACAGTCCCATGGCCTCCGTGTACAGTCCGTGACGCACAGTATATTTCTCAGCTTCCTCGTGGACGTCGGCGTCGCATTCTTTCACCCCACTTTTATCGTTGAGCCCTATTGCGTGCAGCGAGGCGAGCGCCTTTGCATACCGTCTCAGATGGTTGTCGATCTGGTACCGCCGCCGGAGCTCCGACAGGGTGGACAGCGACTCCAGGAACGGCATGTATTCCCTCGGATCGCGCTGCGCACTCTGCGCCACAAGCAGTGTCAGTTGCAAGTCGTAGAGTGCTAGTGCGGCGTCGAATAGTCGGTTGGTGTCTGGGGTTAGAAAGCAAAGGTGTGAGATTGCGGCGTCGGCTTCTGACGGGGATGTTTTTAGGAGCGTCGAGATTAGTGTCAATGCGGCGTCCAGGTCAGCGGGTCGCTTGCTGACATGTGCCGTGATGAGGTTTTGGAGGTGGTTGGTGTTGTTGGCACTGTTTGGCGATAACGATGCTTTGGTGCTGAGGATGGAGATGAAGGCGTCGGCGATGCGGTTGACTTTGCTGGTTCTCTTCTCAGCGACTTGTCTTTGTGTTTGATCAGCAGGAGCAGGGAGCCCTGCTGTAGGGCTTTTCTTGAGTGTATCTCGATATAGAGTATCCGTGACGTCCTCGTCTTTAAGCTTCGACAGGAATTCATCTACACGACTGGGTTTCTTTAATTGATCGATGAACGTGGCGATTTGAGAAAGGAACATTTCTGGGTCGTAATCGTGCAGGATATTCAGATCGACCTGGTGCGTCTGGCATGCCAGGAAGGCTGCCAAGTAGTCACCCAGCCTAATGAGCTGGCGAATACCCGAGACGACTAGCACGCGGGGGTAGATGGTCTCCAGGTTCCCACGAGGCATTTGCAATACCACGGCGTAGATTGATGGAATCACCGTGATGATTCGCGCCCCTCGTTCGATGCTCCGGCATCGTTCGTCCACTTCGGGCGTATCGCCAGGTACTTGCATTTGTGTAGGATTCGTCAGGTGCACAAATTTGAGGAGGTGCTGCGCCGTGGTGAAGATTAGATGTGCGTCGGTCACGATGAAGGATGTGCAGTCTCGTGCGAGAAGTGTCTTGTCCGCGTAGAATGTGCCTTGAGGTGATAGGGAGACCTTGGAATATGGCAGGTCTGAGTTGTCGGGAAGCCTGAAGAGTGTGCTGTTGGGCTGGGCTCCTGGAAGTGCAAGACGCATATGGTCTAGCACCGAGGGCAGGTAGAGAGTTTGCGTCAACGATGCTGTCGAGTTGGTGACGAAGACAGCTTCATGTGCAGTATCGACAAGGATGCTGTCGTTTGCCTCTGACACGATCACGTCACTCCCAGGGTAAGATTCATCGAAGGAGGCGAACGGCACACTATCGTACCACGCTGCTTTACGTATGACCGTGCTGGTTGCACCTTGATGGGGAGCAAGAATGTATACCTCAGTCCCTTTCAGAGCAACCTGGGTATACCGGAGATGTGTGTTTGTTGAGGTGCTGACTCCCGGCAATAGAAGCGAATAGCTCTGCATTTTGGGCATGAATTTGGTGGTAGCCTTACTGCTCTTGGTGTCTTTTACGGTGCGAACAGCCCATTTACAGAATTCGAGAGTATGAGTGGTCAAGACGGCAAGCCACTGACCGTCACGGCTAATCGCACAGTCAGTAATACTGTAGTCGAAGTTGACTTCGCAGAAGGCCATCGGAGGAGGTATGCCTGCTTGTTTGAATGGAGTGATCTTAAGTGTTCGCCCATCGATGACTGCCACGATTCCGTGGTCATTTGGCGGAATAGTACTGCCAATCGATGTTGAGAAATGAAAAGTGAGGTCTAGAATCGAGGATTGTTCAGCGAAGGTGGTCCTCAATGGCGTTTCAGGATGCCATCTCAGTGGTATTTTGCCAAGGAGGAGAGACGGAAGAAATATCTCTTGCTTGAGGTAGTAATGGTAGTTTCCTACCGTCCAGAATTGTATCCTGTCCTTGAATGAAAGTGCCAGTACGGTTGAGTCGGTATTCCAGTCAAGGGAGATGCTGGAAGCCCACGTTGCCATGTCCTCCTGTGTAGTTCTAAGATCAAATTGGCCATGACGAAGACCATTTCTCTCGAAGAAAACAACCTCGATCTGAGTTTCTGAGCGTTTTATCCCGGCGATGAGATTGCCTGAGGGTTTCCAACTCAGTGCGGATTCCAGACCGTCGACCGGCTCACTGGCGCTGTCCAATACAGCCTCACGGCTGAAAACTCTGATCACTCGGCGATGATCATGGACCACACTATTTATCGCGAAATACTGGCCATCGCCTCGCCAACTCACAGTGACTTTGCCATCCTCATGGGGACTTGGTAAACCCTCGTCGACCCTCTCTGGCATCGTGGGATCTCGCATGGCTTTGGCCCGCTTTCCCTGGAACTGTGTCTCCTTCTTTCCCCAGCCAACAGAGACATGCTTTGAAGCCTTGAGATCATCGGCGGAAAGTGTGGCTTCGTTCAGTGGCTCGAAAGTTCGACTCATCAACACCAAAGTGTCTGCTCGAGTGACAATGGCGAGTAGTTCCTCATCCGGGGCCCACGTCGCAGCACATATTCCTACATCGACACTTCCCACAATTTCAATCTTTTCTTGATCTGGCAAAGGTTCTTCTCGGACCACAATGACATCTCCGCCAGCCAGGACAAGGCAAGAAGTGGCGGCATCAGAGAAATGTTGAAGAAGTAAAATTTCGTCAGATTCAAGATCTGGCAGAGGACAAGGAGCATCCCATGATGTGATGTCAATGAAGGCTTCCTCGGAGGCCGCAAGATTTGACCTTCGCCGCTTCAATTCAATTACAGGTTGAGTCGGAGTAGGCCCAAAGGCACAAATCACAGTGTCGTTTGCTGTATCCCATGCGGTTGCTGTCAAGGGCAATGTTCGTGATGACACCTTTGGATCTAGTCTTGTTTCATGATATGCGATTGTCTTGAGGTTTCGCATTCTGGAGACTTATGGTGCTGGTAATGTATGTGTAGAGAATAGAATTTACGGGCAAAAGTTGGTCAAGTCAAAAATCAAAATGTATGTCGGAGAATTAATTCAATATCCCAATTTGTCTACTTTGATTGGCTGAGAGACAAATCGGTCAAAGACCATTGCTCTGGCAGGGCTTGAGGATGCGGAAGTACTAAATCTGAGTCTTCTAAGTACGAGGAAAGATGCATAGAGTACCGAGATAGGCTGATTACATTGTTCAAGTGATATATTCTTTGTTGTTTGGCTCTGTACAATAAGTCTGGGATCGCCATTCCCTCAATCAACTCCATGTGGTTTCAACATTTCTCTTGTTCGATTCTGAATCCATCCCTGTTTATGCCTTGAGTGTGTGCCAAGCTACCGTATTGTTAGCAGATAGCTCTCTGTAAGCTACAAGACAACATACCAGCCATGCCGAAGGGTACGCCAAATCCAGCACCTGTAAATTGTTCAGTTCAGTTCTTCAACTCTTGAAACTTGGTGGCGGGATCTCGCACTCATAAAGACCCAATATCTCAACCAGAAGAAACGCGTCTTGGGATTGAAAGGCAAATTCGACCTGGGGCCCTCGGGATAATGATGCGGACTGAAAAGGTCACGCCGGGGTCGGGTTGTAGAAAAGCCACGGCGGGCGACTGTATGGGTTGCGATTCTGGCGCGGAGGAGGGCTTGGGCGTTCATCTGCTACATCAGTATGGTGCGTCTAGACAGCGGGAATCCAAAGATACCTTTTGAAGGTTCTCTCAGAGCGACAATGGTGGTGGTGAAAAGCGAAGTAGTCACAGAGAGACGAGATCAGTCCACTCACAAGGAGCTGCCCTCCAAGCTTCAGAAGTCTTGGCATCGGTTCGGCAAAGTTTCTTTCTGGGGACGCCGATATGGAATTTCTCTTTTGCCTGCGCCCAAGTTCATTCAATCCAATCCTTTGATTTGGTCCTCACAGTCTCACCAACTCCCAACCCAGACTTTCATTGCGAAGTGCGTCTCCAAGATGGACGAACTCTTCGACGTCTTTGACGACAACCCTTCGGCCGCGCCTAAGCCGTCAAAGAAAGAGAAGAAGCGAATGAAGCGACAAGCTAACGGCGAAGTGAAAGCTGCGCAGGTCGAAGACACCACTACCAATGGCAATGACACAGTTCTTTCTAGTGCTGGAAATTCCATCCATTCGGGAGAACCCCAGGCGGATGGTTCTCCGGACCACGCGATGCCTGACCCTAAACGCATGCGCATTGCTGACGAGCCAGAACCTGTTGTAACAGACACCTTCGAGACCGAGCAATCAAGAGAAGTCGCTGCTTCTGCTGGCTTACAGGCATCTCAAAATGAAGAGAAGGTTATCTTGTCCCACCAGGTCCGACATCAAGTTGCCCTTCCGCCCGACTACGACTATGTTCCCATTTCCGAACACAAGACTGCCGCCGAACCTGCGAGAACATGGAGCTTCCAACTTGATCCTTTCCAGCAAGTCGCCATTGCTTCCATTGAACGAAACGAAAGTGTTTTGGTGTCGGCACACACCAGTGCAGGCAAGACCGTGGTCGCAGAATACGCAATTGCACAATCTCTGAAGAATAACCAACGAGTTATCTACACCAGTCCTATCAAGGCATTGAGTAACCAGAAATATCGAGAATTCCAAGCTGAGTTTGGAGATGTCGGATTGATGACCGGTGATGTTACCATCAATCCTACAGCAACCTGCCTGGTCATGACCACTGAAATTCTGAGGTCTATGCTCTACCGTGGCTCAGAAATCATGCGGGAGGTCGGCTGGGTCGTTTTTGATGAGATCCATTACTTGAGAGATAAGACTCGCGGTGTCGTTTGGGAGGAGACCATTATTCTTCTTCCTGACAAAGTCCGCTATGTGTTTTTGTCGGCCACAATTCCCAATGCCATGCAATTTGCAGAATGGATTACCAAGACACACAGCCAACCTTGTCACGTTGTCTATACCGATTTCCGACCAACTCCACTGCAGCACTACTTCTTCCCTGCTGGTGCAGACGGTATTCATCTCATTGTAGACGAGAAAGGAGTGTTCCGAGAAGACAACTTCCAGAAGGCCATGAGCACCATCGCCGAGAAACAAGGCGACGACCCTGCTAATGCCATGGCACGTCGCAAAGGAAAAGGCAAGGACAAGCGTCTGAACAAAGGTGGGACTAAAGGTCCATCCGATATCTACAAGATTGTCCGCATGATCATGACCAAAAATTATAACCCTGTCATTGTCTTCAGCTTCAGCAAGAGAGACTGTGAGGCATATGCCATTCAGATGAGCTCAATGACATTCAACGACGAATCAGAGAAGGCCATGGTGGCCAAAGTCTTCGACAGCGCGTTGGAAATGCTTTCTCCTGAGGATAAGACCCTCCCGCAGATCCAGCATCTTTTGCCACTGTTGAAGAGAGGTATCGGCATCCACCATTCGGGACTATTGCCAATCCTGAAAGAAACCATTGAAATTCTGTTCCAGGAAGGCTTAATCAAAGTCCTTTTTGCAACCGAAACCTTCTCAATCGGCTTAAACATGCCCGCAAAAACCGTCGTTTTCACCAGTGTTCGCAAATTTGATGGTATCTCTCAACGATGGGTGACGCCTTCTGAGTTCATTCAGATGTCTGGACGAGCCGGACGTCGTGGGCTGGACGAGAGAGGAATTGTCATCATGATGATTGATCAGCAAATGGAGCCTGGGATTGCCAAAGAGATTGTGCGGGGTGAACAGGACAAATTGAACTCAGCATTCTATCTTGGCTACAACATGATTCTCAATCTCCTTCGAGTGGAGGGTATCTCTCCGGAATTTATGCTTGAGAGATGCTTTCATCAATTTCAGAATACCGCCAGCGTGTCGGGTCTCGAACGAGAACTTCAACATTTGGAAGCTGAGAAGTCATCAATGGTCATCGAAGATGAAAATGCCATCAAAGCTTACTATGAGCTTCGGAAACAGTTGGACATATATGCCGAGGACATGCGGAATGTGATCATCCACCCCAACTATTGTCTCCCATTTATGCAGCCTGGTCGTCTGGTTGAAGTCAAAGATGGCGAGCACAACTTTGGTTGGGGTGCAGTTATCAACTTCGCTAAGAGAGGTTCGAATCGGTCTACAGAGAAACTGACGCCACAAGAAGAATGGATTCTTGATATCGCATTAGAGTGTGCTGACGGGGCGACGCCTGGCACGAAGACTTTCCAATCACTTCCCGCTGGAATTCGCCCTCCACAACCGGGTGAGAAGTCGAAGATCGAAGTCATTCCTGTTTTGTTGAAATGTGTTCAGAAGATCTCGCACATTCGAATTTTCCCACCTCAAGACATAAGCAGTTCAGGGGAGAGGAAGAAGATAGCACAAGCTCTTAGCGAGGTGCAGAGACGATTTCCAGACGGTCTTGCTGTCCTCGATCCCATCGATAATCTGAAGATCACGGACAACTCATTCAAGGAGCTTCTGCGCAAAATTGAGATTATGGAATCACGCTTGGTTGCCAATCCTCTGCACAACTCACCGCGACTTGAAGGACTATACAATCAATACGCAGAGAAAGTGATGGTAACCAATAAAATCAAAGGATTGAAGAAACAAATTCAGGATGCGCATGCCATTATGCAGTTGGACGAGTTGAAATGCAGAAAACGCGTTCTCCGCAGACTACAATTTATCAACGAAGACGAGGTTGTGCAGTTGAAAGCGCGAGTGGCATGCGCAATTAGCACAGGCGATGAGCTGATGCTGAGTGAGCTCCTCTTCAACCGATTCTTCAACGACATGACACCGGAACAATGCGCCGCTGTGATGAGCTGCTTCGTCTTTGAAGAGCAGATCAAAGACACCCCGATTCTGCCTGAGGATCTTGCACGGCACCTGCGCGAAATCCATCGACAAGCTAGAATTATCGCGAAGGTCTCGATCGAATCCAAACTTGCACTGAATGAGGACGAGTATGTCCAAAGCTTCAAATGGGGGCTGATGCCGGTCATTCTCGCGTGGGCCAACGGAAAGTCATTTGGAGAGATCTGGTAAGTACAAAGAGAACCCGAAAATTTTAGGCTGACGATGGAATAGCAAAATGACGGACGTGTACGAAGGAAGCCTAATTCGGACGTTCCGACGTCTCGAAGAGTCTCTACGTCAAATGGCGGAGGCTTCGAAGGTAATGGGTAGTGAGGAATTGGAGAAGAAGTTCGAAGAAGCACTGACCAAGGTAAGAAGAGATATAGTGGCAGCTCAGTCATTGTATCTCTAGTCTTGCGATCCCCACAAGGCCTCACGGCGGTAGGCCTTTTTTTCCCAGCGCATTTGAGTGAGTACGGACGGGAGTTCGGATGTTGCATGATACCCAAGGCACTGTTGAGAGGTTCAATCCTGCAATGGGTTGCGTGGCACAGGTATTATGTTCCTGCCTGAGAATGTCATCATCAATCAATGAGCTGTTGGTGAAACTCGAGGATACCGAAGCGACAACGTCATAGAGGTTTCAATAGATGTCAATAGTTTGGACAGACAGTCTCAAGCAATTCTTGCCTTGCAGCGGCTGAAAGCTGCATTGAACACCCATAATGATTTACGTTAGTACTTTGACTTGAAAAGTAGATGCATTCGTGCATGAGTCCGACGAAGAAAGGGAGCGGGCGAGTAACGCTGGGCCTTTTCCTTTGTTCTTGTCGAGAAGTCTGAGTTCTCTTCCGGTATCCGTACTGTTGAGTTAGGCTGCCCTTGAAAAGCCACCAAACCCTGGGCCACGGGACGACAATAAGCAAAGAGGGGCCACAGCCAAGAGCGAGCACAGCGGGAACCCTGCCCTGCTGAGGCTTTGCTCACTACTGGCTGTCAAGCTCCAAGGTGCCAGTGCACTCGCCAGCAGGCCCAACACCCAGTTAGCCGGTACCCAAGCACCCGTCACTTAGTTAAGTTAGCCAGGGTCCAGGTAGCTTTAGTGCCCAAGGGCATCACGAGGGACCTGTGCTCTTAGGGACCACTTGGAGCGTCTGGGGCACCTCCCAGACTCCGTAGCCGGTTCCTAGTCGCCAGTTCCCACCCATGCCACTGCCTGAGAGGAACTGGGGCCTGGTGACCAATCATCCCGCCGAGCAGCTTTGGTCCAATTCAAACTCACCTTCTTTCCATCCACCATCCCATCTTCTCAGTTCTCACACATCAACCTACCTATCCATCACACATCACACCTCACACACTATTACCACCACCAACGCCTCCATCTCTCACCGCCGGCCTTGTGTACAACCACGGAGGGGTCTACCCTCCATATCAACCCCATCGATTTCCTGAAAACATCTCATATTGCTCTTGAACCCCCGAATTCACCCTCCCACCACCTCGACAGCAAACAAACACCAAATCAGTTCCCGCCTCATCCAGCCATTATGAATAGCCTGGCAACCCCTCCTGTCCCTCCCCATTTCCACGAGCATACTCGACTCTCCCCCAGTCGATCCAGTAAGATCTTTCCATGCACTGCTTTCTGACAGCCATTAACGTCGATATTTGAAGTGTCTTCAGCCAACCCCTCGAGAAAACGGAAGGCATCTCCTTCTCCAGACCGAGACGATGAAATGACCACATCTCCCGCCATCTCAAATGCCCGACTACCTATACCACCATCGTCAAGGAAGAAGATTCGCCCAAACCTGACTGGACGGCCACTCTCGGTTGACCGACTACTCGAAACACTTGACAAAGACTCGCTTCGATCGGTCCTGAAATCACTATGTGACCGAAACCCTGGACTTCGAGATGAAATCATTCAAGTCAGCCCTCGACCAAGCATCACTAGCACTCTACAAGTCCTTCGAGAATATCATGATCGATTGCTGTCGTCGTTTCCCCTCGACCCCAATCCAAGGTCCGATTATTCATATGACCGAGTTCGACCCCAATGGAACGAACTGCTCGACGCCCTGACCGACTTCACTCCTCATTTCTTGCCACCAAATGAGCAGCAATCATCTCTTTCGTTGGAATATTTAGATGCAGTTACACAAATCATTCACGACCTTCCCGAGTGGGATACTGTGCAATACAATCTCGCCAAACAGAATGCATACCAAGAAATATCTCGAGCTTGGGCCACCGTCATCAAAGAAGCAAGCAAGAGAGGAGGAGGTTTTCAATTACAATACAGCGGATGGGAAGAGAAATTGAGGGCCCACAATGAAAAGAGTGGCAATAGAATGCGAGAAGCCTACGAAGCCCTGGCCGACGCCTTGGGCTGGCTACGCCCTTCACCTCCACCAGCACAGCAAAGCATCCGTCAGCAATTATTTTCAGGTTCATATGGCATGGAACAGCCCATTATCCGGACTGGCAACTGGTGAAAACTGGCTCACACGGGCACATTTCGGCACCGGAAAACCGCTCCGTTGATCTGCTGGAACCAAAATGCTTTTCCAGGGTGAATAAGCCACGTCGATGAAATAAACAGCACCAAACTCAAAGAATAGAGAGTTGTGGCGGCTTCAAGGCAACTCGACATGTAGACGAATTTCTTATGTTATGGGAGGCACCACTGCAACCATCGGATTAACGACATGAAACGAAACCACGGCCGAGACCATTCAATCATTGCGAATCTTTTTCTTTCCCCCTTGTTGCTACCTGAATGAGGTATCGGGACGTACACGGCGCGGTTTCCCTCTGCGTGGGATGTTGAGCGAAGAACAATTGAAGATTAAGGCGTTGGGGGCTGGGGAGAGCATGCAAAGGATTCTGTGGTAACGGGCTGGCATCCTGCTTTTTCCGTTGAATTCATCGAGATACCACATTGGGATCCTTGGGACGGTCCTATAATTTTGACCACCGATCTTTCATTCCCTTCGTTTGACTACAGAGCAATTGCACGGATAGCGGATTTTGTTTCAGACAGGAATAAGAGTTACAATTACATACAACTCTGACTCGAGTTGACTTGATCTTTAGTTCATTGGGCTTCGGCGTAGTTAAGTATCTCTCTTGGCTCATTTATTTGTTCGCTTCTCCCACATATCTTACACATAGACTACATTTGAGTTGAAGGCATGCGCTCTGGTCCCATAGATTAGCTGGTATGTCGCTATTTATCTCCCTCCCGTGGCATCAGCGCCAGCCAATAAACCTCTCAAACCTCATTCTGCAACCTTCCAGACTGTTCAACTTGGGTCTCACATCAAGATAAAAATTTAACTGCTGCTGTTGTTGGCGAGCCCGTTTACCCGCAGCGGCCGCAGCCCCGGAATCCGGCGCCTTGCCCTGATAGAAATCAATCACATACTCGACCGTCTGGCCACCACACCTCTCCACCACCCAATCATGGCGATCAAACGGCTCGATGTACCCGACGAAAGTCTTCATCCTCGCCTTCGGACTCAATGCACCCGCGCCCAGCCCTTTGAACGAGAGTAACTTTGGTCCTCCGCATGATGCGCTGCTGTCGCCTTCCCAGGCCTTTATCAATGTCCAGGCGCGCTCGTTGACCGCGTTGTGGATGGGGATGATGGCGGACATAGATTGTGCGAGTTCCGTGGGTGAGGACGATGTGGCGGTCTGTTTGCGCAGCACGGCGTTGTAGAACTGCGACTCCGACGGGTAGATCCAGTGCCCGCTGGTGGAGGTGCCGGTCTCTTGTTCCGAGTTGGATGGCGAGGGAGTGGGGGTGGAAGTGGTGTTGGAGGGGGGTTGGGCGCGTGGGATGGTTGAGATTTCTCGTTCGTGTGATAAAGTGTGTTTTGTGGTGGGCCGCACTGTTTTATTTGATGGTGCTGATTCGGAGGAGGAGGAAGCTGATTGGGATATCCGGTCTGAGGAGCATTGTTCTGGAGTGGTGGACTTTAAAGTGTGTGGGTTTATAGGCGGGTGTGACGGGGGAAGCTCTTGTTGTTTATGAAGTACTGTTGTTGCTTGTATCTTCTTTTGTTGTTGTTGTTGTTGGGCTACCGCTTGTTGGAGCCATATCGATCGGGTTTGAGGGTCGACAGGGCACTCGGCGGCTGCTGATGATGACGATGTAGAGGTGGGAAGAGGGTGTGAAGGAGGTGGGGGGAGCGGAGACGAAGAGGGAGGTTCGGGGACTGGGTCTGCTTTCCACCAGCCCATTGTCGATATAGAGGATCGTTTACTGGATCAATAATATAATGTTTTAAGGTACCTGCACCGAGTATGAGATATGAAGTCCAATATCATAAAATGAAGCTATGGGAGCTGCAAGGCCCGAATGGAGATTTAGAGGGAACACTAGCGCAGAAGTGGTTTAGTCGCACTTGCTGGTTGAATCTGCCCAATCCCAGGGCCCCAACATCCCCCTCCTTTCCTCCGCTACATTTTCTCCAATATTTACTTTTGCGGTGTAAATCTATTCCATTCAAGCGCATTTTGTTGCTCGTGGCAGCCTCCCATTACTTCCAATATCATACCTCCTTTTTCCTCCTCTACTCACACTTTGGTGCATGTCAGTTAGCTGTCGGCCCGTTTCACCATGTCAGACTCACCGCAACTCTACCGCTCGAGCACCACTGCGCCTGTCAACATTGCTGTGATCAAGTAGGTACGCCAAAAACCACATCCCCACCTTGTCTTGTCTTCTTCATGCCCCGGAACTAGCTGTGTGTGGTCAAAGACTTAAAACACTAATATGCATCTCTTTTACATTGAAATAGATACTGGGGCAAGCGTGATACAGTATTAAATCTCCCCACCAATTCCTCGCTCTCCGTGACTCTGTCTCAAAAGTCCCTGCGAACTCACACCACCGCATCCGCGTCAGAGTCTTACTCTGGCGACGATACTCTGCTCCTCAATGGAGAACAAGAAGACATCAAGTCCTCCAAGCGCACACAAGCCTGTCTGAAACATCTACGTTCGCTGCGAGCCGAGTTGGAGGCCAAAGATGCAACGCTCCCAAAATTATCCAAGATGACCCTTCGACTGGTCTCGGAGAACAATTTCCCAACCGCTGCCGGGCTTGCATCTTCTGCTGCTGGATTCGCCGCACTTGTCAGGGCTATTGCTGATCTCTACGAACTGCCTCAATCTCCTGAAGAGCTATCTCTCATTGCCCGGCAAGGCTCTGGCTCGGCCTGCCGGAGCTTGATGGGTGGCTTTGTGGCTTGGAGAGCGGGAACTAAAGAGGACGGAAGTGACAGTAAGGCCCAGGAGGTTGCTCCAGCTTCACACTGGCCTGACCTCAGAGCACTTATTCTTGTCGTGAGTGCGGAGAAGAAGGGTGTCCCATCAACGGCAGGTATGCAGACCACAGTCGAGACTTCGACGCTCGCGCCTGCCAGGTTCACGGACATTGTGCCGAGGAGGTTGAAAGAGATCGAGAAGGCCATTCATGAGAAGGACTTCGAGGCCTTCGGTCGCATTACCATGCAGGACTCGAACTCCTTCCACGCGATTTGTCTCGATTCATGGCCACCCATCCACTACATGAACGATGTGTCAAGGGCCGCGATGAACGCAGTCGAGACGGCCAACCGAAAAGCAGGAAAGACCGTGGCAGCATACACCTTCGATGCGGGTCCAAATGCCGTCATCTACTACTTGGAGGAGCATGCATACCTCGTGGCCGGCGTGATCAGAAGCATCATACCGTATATTCCCGGCTGGGAGGGTGAATTCGCGGAGAAGATTCGTCCCAACGAATTCGGCGGGCTAGAGCAGAGGACATTGATGACGCTCAAAACCGGTGTCAGTCGCGTCATCTGTACTGGCATCGGCGGGGCTCCGGAGAAGATAGATAAGCACCTGGTGGACGAGAGTGGTCAGCCGGTTTCAGTGGATTGATTACCTTATGAGGCATGCCCTTCGGTGCGTAAATAGAGATATGTGTGCCTGTGTTAGAACATGCTGAGTAAATAGTGAAGACAGCATGTTGTGAAGAATCAGGTACCGAGAAACCCCAGTTCCCAAAAGTTACTTGCCACTTGCACTTTGATTAGTGAAGTCAGCGTTTGTGGGGGGGTGGTGGGGGGCACCATTCGTGATCACATACGGAGTACCTAATGTAGTAGTATGTAGGTAGTCTGATGGACGCCATCGTGAAACATCTCGGTTCACCGCGTTTAAGCAAGGCGCCACCTCGATCGAATAATCCCTAATCAGGTATTCAAAGAGGTCTTGGAGACGACCGAAAAGCGGACAATGCCCGGCCGAAAAAAGCGGCATGACCTCGATATAATTACGAAATACGCAATGCGATACGCGGTGGTGAACTCCTGGGTTTCTGAGGCGTTCAGACAGGCCGACTCAGAACAAGCGAGTCAACGATCAGACTTTCTGACCGCAGGCCAACGCCCCGCGGCAGAAGGGAGCAAATGATAATGAACCGCGGGCCATCTCTTTTATTCGCCATGCAAAGTATTCACGCAAAGTGCCTCGGCACCCAGGAATCCGGATGGATTCACTCCGTGTTGCCTCGCAGCTTATCTCGAAGTGGTCTTCCGTAGTCCTGGTAATCAAGTCAGGGCCCAAGCGATGCCATCCGGTGGATTTGGTGTTGGACGGTTGACTCTCGCCTCCCCGCCACTTCCCCGCCCGCCTAAATTCTAGGCTTCCCACTTCCCACAGGCTCTGCAGACTCTTCGGGCCCGTATATGGGGCAGCCTGATGCCTGGATGGAGGATTTTCGTGCCTAGTGCCCACTGCCCACTGCCCACAGCCCACAGGGAACATTCCTCCAGAAACGCAAGCTGCCTGGACTCCGCTAGTTCTTCAATTCACAGCTCGTTACTCGTATTCAGTAGTTAAGGCGCGTTAATTGGGGACTCCCGAGCAGGTATCAATGCTCCGGTGCACAAAGATCCCTCCTTGATCAACCGGTCTACCCTGAGTAATTTACACAGAGCATTGAGTATTCCTTCGACAACTTCCTCACTGTGTGGCCTGACGACCGAGGTTCTTCACAGCATTCTGTCTGCTCGTCTTCCGCTATATACCCATTATCCCTATCACTCAATTTTCTTTATTCGACTCTCCCATTCTTTTCGTCTTCAACCCCTTTTGCTGGTTTCAACACATTCCCACCGCTTTTCGCACCCCGACACTTTCCATCATGGCCGACAGCAGTTTCGACGCTATCATCATTGGTGCTGGCATTTCCGGCATCGACGCCGCATTCCGTCTTCAGGAAGGTCTACCTGACTTCAAATATGCCATTCTTGAGGGCCGGTCAGAAATCGGTGGCACATGGAGCCTGTTCAAATATCCTGGCATCAGATCCGACTCCGATCTTCACACCTTCGGTTTCCCCTGGGACCCTTGGAGGGAAGACCGTGCCATTGCCAGTGCTGAATCCATCCTGAGCTATGTCAAGGGCTGCGCCCGTCGCCACGGAATCGACCAGCACATCAAGTATCACCATCAAGTTCAGGCGCTGGATTGGTCGTCTGAAAATCAACACTGGAAGCTTAGCGTCCTCGTCAACGGGAAAGAAAAGCTTTACTATGCTCGTCATATCCTCATGGGCACCGGCTATTACGACTACAAGCGCGGCCTCAACTCGCAGATTACTGGTCTCGAAGATTTCAAAGGCCAAGTCCTTCATCCTCAGTTCTGGCCTGAGGACTTGGATTATACTGACAAGAAGGTCGTCATCATCGGGAGCGGCGCCACTGCTGTGACTCTGGTTCCTGCCATGAGCGAACAAGCCAAATCCGTCACCATGCTTCAACGATCTCCAAGCTATTTCCTGCCCATTCCTCTCGTCGAACCTGTTGATCAAGCCATCAAAAGATGGCTTCCTGAGTGGCTGGCCTACAGACTGATCCGATGGAGATTCATCGTCGTGGGCTTCCTTTTCTTCAACTTCTGCCGCTTGTTTCCAAAGCAGGGTGTGGCCATGCTTCGCAAAGCCACGGAAGCGGAATTGCCCAAAAACATCCCTTATGATCCTCATTTTGTACCCAGTTATCTCCCCTGGGAACAGAGGATGTGCATTACTCCTGGTAAGGCTTGTCCTCTTTCCAGAACTCATAGTCTTACTAATTCCGGCAACAGGAGGCGATTTCTTCGCCGCGCTTCGCAGTGGAAAAGCCGACGTAGTCACCGATGTTATAGAGACCGTCACGGCCAAGGGCATCAATCTAAAATCAGGAGCTCAGCTGGACGCCGACATCATCGTGACCGCCACGGGCCTAAAGGTTCAAATCGGAGGTGGTATGAAGTTGTTTGTAGATGGCAAGCCGCAGGAGATGGGCGACAAATTCATTTGGCGTGGTGCTCTCTTACAGGATGTTCCCAACCTGGCTTTTGTCTTCGGGTATACCAATGCCAGCTGGACCTTGGGCGCCGACGCCACTGCTCAACTATGGGTCAGGCTATTGAAGACAGCAAAGGCCAAGAAGCAGAGCAGCTTCGTTCCCCGCGTGGGTGACAAAGAAGGCGTGCTTCCAAAGCCCTTGTTGAACCTCAACAGTTCTTACATCAAGGCTGCGGTCGAAGCAGGAGGCTTGCCAAAGGGCGGTGATCGAGGCCCGTGGGTCCCTAGAAGTGTCTGGATCAAGGACATCTGGCATGCCAAATACGGTGACATTACAACGGGACTACAGTTTAACCGGATTTCAACCTGAGCGAGCTTGAATTTGTCCATGACAGGCAAGGGTGGTGAGTGATGAAGCGCTTCAGCTCATGTTGGGTCATGCGTTACTTTCGGGATGGTTGAAGAGGAGGTTGGCGTGGACAGGTCCTGGCCTTGATATTACCCACAGATTCATTGGAAGCGGGCGCTATTCTTATCGGGATTGGTATTTCATAAAGACATAATTACACCTTTCGAAATCCAAATCGGAGTCTGTAAATGACCCTAGTTTCAGAATGCCTGCCCAAGGCTGCTTCGGATTATATTTTGTGCGACCTCCGGGCTCAACCGTACTTACTCTTATAGGAAAGGAAGCCTGACCTGTCGGGCCTGTCGCGCTGTGAACCACGTGCTTGCACATGCGTTGCGTTGCGCCTGAGCTAATTTTGCCACTTGATACTTTTTCTTCCCAGTCTTTCACCTCCTCAAAACCTCAAATCTGACCGGTTGCCAGCCTGATCTACAATTTCGGTTTTCGTGTTTGTGTTTCCCATAACCCCATTCAACCCGCTTTCCAACTATATTCTCGACTCCAATATCTTCTTCACCAGTCGCACATCAGCCGACCGAACCGGTCAATCATGGGCAACGGAGCCAGGGCACAGCAGAAGCGGGAGCGTAATGCCGGCAAGGATAAGAAGGAGCCGAGCAGTCAATTGAAGACGGTGAGTTCCCATCCTCATCGGTTTGTTTTTGGTCTGAACCTTTGTGTCTTCGCCTTTTCCTTCTTCCTTTGGCTCGCTTTTCTGGTGTTCAGACGGCGCTGCTTGGTGTAAGCAAGCAAGTTCCAACGGTGTCTCATTCCCAACTCGAACCAATATATATATATATATATATTTGTTGTCGTATTTGGGTCTGTTGGCCCCAAGGTATATCTTGGCAGGGGTATTCCAGTGGTCTCAATCTGCTCGTTATGGGAGTCATCTTGCATGAAAGACCATCCTCCAAGGAAGCGGCTGTCACAACACCCCTTCCCCATTGCGTGAACATTAAATCACAACATTTTCGAACCAACCATACCTTGCTAATCAGATTCCGGTTTATGTAGAACGCAGCAGCTCAAACGTTCAAATGCAAGACCTGCTTTCAGACATTCCAGAGCACTACCGCCCGCAAGGCGCTCGAATCCCACGCGACCGACCGCCATTCCAAAGCCGTTGAAGACTGCTTCGACTTCAAGTGATTACCCTTCGATTTTTTTCGACGGGTATACCGCAAGATGTGTACTCAATGACCATGCCATCTCATGAGTTGATAGTAGCTGAATACTGCCAAGTGACGGAGAGTTTTTATTAGCGTTCGGTGTTGCAGGTGTCAAAGTCAGTGTGTCAGTATGTAGCATCTTTCGCGATCATGCTACACAGGTTCGCCAAAAAGCAAACCTTTTCTCCGATCACATTCAATGTCTCCCATTGTCCTGCAGATTTTCTCTTCCTGAGTTGCTGGAAAGCGCCCGCATGGAGCTCCCGGAGTGCGACGTGTACGTTACGCACTCGTACAGTGCTTTCTTCGCCCCTAATGACTGGAACCAACCTCATGGTCATGATCAGTACCAGGTATCTGGGAAACTGAAAGTCCTAGGGAATAAAAGGGCCCCAAGCATGCTTCACGTCCCAAAGCCGAGTCTTACGCAATATCCCCTCAAACTATGAAATTCAACATGCAATTTTTCCCCAAATGCTTTACTGAATGTGGAGTGCGTGTACGATGGGGGAAAATAGTCTTGATAGGTAATTGGCGTTGCTATCACCGACAGTCTCCTGGTTGTTGAAGACGTATAAGTGCTATTTAGGAAAGTGTTGTCGAAATGTTCAACTCTCCCAACATCATGCGAGAGACTATGGAGGACAATTGTGTCACGCTAAGTTAGAACTACCCGCTGGTGCGCAAGATTGGTCGCTGATCTAGTTCTCTGGGGACCCTTCACTCAACCCAAACTTTGAAACAGATGTCTGTTCGTGCGTTTACCAAACACAGTGGTCATCTCGTGTGGCTGAGAAAGCCAATCCAAGATTTTTTCACACCCCTTGATGTCATGGAAATGATAAGATGCACAGGGCATGCCGCAAGCACGCGGCAAGGGAGGAGGGTTCAATCCACAAGCTTTCACCAGCCACAGTTCGGGTTGTGCTGGTGATGCTCGTTGAAACTTTTTGGCTCGTGGATGCATACGACCAGCGGCGATCCTTCTGCTCTTCAGCCGCATCTCTGTAGAAGTACTTGTAGCATTTTGTCGCTGTGCGTGGCACCCCGAGTTCACGATACTACTAATGTCACCAGGTAAAATTAATTCTTGTGGACCAGAGATTTGCGACAGCCCATTCTCACGAGCGATCGATTTTACTAAACAAGATTTGTCTAGATAACCTTTGGCTTACGAAGGGAGTACATACTTGGGAACCAAGATACTTTGGAAACAAGAATTCCCATCCCTTGTGGCAACAACCGCACTCTTTGGTGAGGTAATGGCTCGCCAGCCGCTTCCAAACACGGCACCCAAGCTTTGCGATTTACCAGATTTAATCCTCCAATGCATACATGCATAGTTGTAACGCCACGATTGGCTTGCTTCACATCTCGTCATTGCCGGGATAAAGTTTAGCGATTGGACAAGCCACCACCAGCCGGGATCATGTACTATGACATGTTGCTGCTTTGGGGCCCCATGTCGGTTGATCTTCACGCCTAGACTAGGATGTTTGCCATTGGGTCGACCTGCCATGTTCTTTGATAGCTAGCTGGACACAATCATGCGGTCACTAGAACGGCTCTTTTCCTTAACAAGGCGGCTCATACTAGTATAACTTCCGCCCCCCCTCGTTGGGGAAGCCAGGGTTGTACAGAGCCTCCCACTCCTCCACCATCATATCTTCTATCACCTGCGTTTCTGATACAATATCACCGCAACGATGAACATCGACAGACCAGGACGCCGCATCCGCCTACCATGGCACCGACGCAAGGAGAACCTGCCAGGTGACGATGAGACGATGGTCTCTCGGCGGGTGCCCTTGATCAGCAAGCTGCCTTTGACCGTGAAGAACCACTTTGTCGCCATGATGGGTGAGTTCGCCGGCACATTTCTGTTCCTCCTCTTCGCCCTGGGCGGCACCAACGTCGTCAATGCCGCTCCAGAACAAGGCCAGCCTCAGGATCTCGCTGCCAATCCGGCAAAGTTGTTGTTCATTGCGCTGTGCTTTGGTTTCTCCCTTGCCGTCAATGCCTGGGTGTTCTTCCGGATTAGTGGCGGCCTGTTTAATCCTGCGGTATGCCACTCTTTCCCTCGGTCTTTCGCGGTATTTTTCTTTGAGGTGTTTGTGTGTTCTGATGGTGATACTTCGATTTTAGGTCTCTCTCGCCATGATGATCGTTGGAGCATTGCCATATGTTCGAGGTTTTCTCATTATGATATCGCAGATTCTTAGTGGCATTACCGCGTCGGCCGTCGTGTCATGCATGCTCCCCGGTCCACTAAATGTTCGAACAACTCTTGGTGGCGGCACGTCCGTGGTGCAAGGTCTTTTCATTGAGGTTCGCTTTAACCACTTGCCCTTATTCGTAAAAATCCCCAACAAACTAATCCATTCCCTCACCACTACCGACAGATGTTCCTCACCGCACAACTGGTGTTCACAATCTTCATGCTGGCAGCGGAGAAACACCGCGCCACGTTCATCGCTCCCATCGGTATCGGCCTGTCCCTCTTCATCGCCGAGCTAATGGGAGTCTACTACACGGGCGGAAGTCTCAACCCAGCTCGGTCTTTCGGTCCCTGCGTCGTCCTCCGCTCCTTCACCCCTTACCACTGGATCTACTGGGTCGGTCCTATATTGGGTGCTCTGCTGGCTTCCGGCTTTTACATGTTTATAAAAGCGCTCGAGTATGAAACTGTCAATCCCGAACAGGATGGAGAGGGTAATGAAGGCAGAGCGTTTGATCCACACTCAGGTGACGAGAAGAAGGTCGACCCCTCCCGACCTCTTGAGGCTGGACACTATCGATGTCGTGATAAGCATCATTCCACTAGTGGCCGGCTTAGTTCTCCTAGTGATGGGGTTGCCCCCGACGAGGCACGGTATGGGAGGGAGAGTGATGATACAGTGGTTGCTGCCAAGAGAACTGTTGGTGATCCTGCAAACTGCAAGGGACGTAAACCGGATCTCGAAGCTGGTTTAGGCTCGCCTCCGCATTGATCTTTATGCTTTCGTGGGCTTGCGTTTTCCACCATGTACAAGATGGGCCTTTTTGTCATGGCTGTGTACTGTGTATTCGTTCGTGGATAGCGGCGGCGTTTTTATAATATAGCTAAAGCATTAACTTATCCAGATACGGGTAGAACAGCATTCAGATGATTTCCACGGATACTGGCGTCTCTCATTTTCGCATGGGCATCACGTTAGGTTGAACGAGTTGTCGGTCGCTGAGAAGATATTTTTGTCCGTGGAGATTAGCATCTTTTTAGTAGTGTTTGGTGTGGATATGGCTCTCTTCTCATGCTCGACTTTTCCTTGGTCTGGCCTTGACCTGCTGTTGTTGTAGGTTGAGAGTTCACACCGGTGTCCTGACCCACAGCCTCGAAGGAATCTTCACTACTAGCCGGCCAATGACTTCCTTGGTCCTGTTCGCCCCACCTCTCTGTAGGAATAATCAGTAAGTTCTTTGGACAAGCGCTTGTTTCGATTACCTCGAACAAGGATGGTCAGCACATGTTCAAGCGGCGCTCCCATTTCTTTGAGACGTCTTAGATCTTGTTCGAGCTCCTGTTCGGGTACTTAGTTCTTTCTGTCTTATTTTGCGTCGTATGTACATACTCTCGTGACTTCTGCAAGTCCTCGACGAGGTTTCGCAAGATTGTCCGGTGCAACGGAGTTGGGTTCCATGTCTGACGCAGGTTATCGGTATCAGAGAGTATTCGGACAGCACGCCAGCCATATTGAGGAGGGTTGACGCTGGATGAGACTTGATGATGATGAGCTTCCAAGAGAACTTCCCGTTAGATAGGTTGCAGGAGTGTGTTATTGTTATGAATGTAGTAGTTAGGTTGCTAAGTCTGTAGTAATCAAACAAGGGCTGATATAATAAATTAAGAACATTGTGTCTCCTCGCCTAAAGACATAAGAGGTGGACAGAACTGGTGGTCATGCGTGCCAAGGACGACGAATACGGCACTTATCCCGAATACGATTCATCATTCCACAATCAGACAAGGCTAAGTTGTAAATACTCAAGCAAGGGCTGCGGACGTTGACGCTCGTTCATCTCGCTTTTGCACAGTGTTTTTGTTCGACTCCCACTGCTCGATGGCTGAAAGTATGTCTCCACAGGTAGGATAGTGCCGAACCGTACCAAAATCCCAACAATCACGTAAGGAGTAAAACGGATGTTCTACCTACATTTCAAGAAGATTATCCCGGTGATCACCAATGGCAGAAGCCGAAACCTATTACGACAAAGCAAAGGGTGAGGAAGAGCACATCCTGACGCTACCAGACAACAGGAAAGTGGCCTACGCCCACAATGGGCCGCCAACGTCGCGAACGCTGGTTCTCTTCTTCTGCGGCATCATGAGCGTCGGCACCGCACCCAACGTACCAACTCCATGCCGCGAGCGTGGAATGCACTGGATCGCACCGAGTCTTCCCGGGATGGGGAATTCCAGCACACGACGGGACAAGAAAACCCCATACCATGTCTCATTTCTCCAAGACATGGTTGCTTTGCTTTCGCACCTTTACCCAACGGATGCATACGACACACTGTATGTTTCTGGCGGATCCTACGGCACCGTCCAAGCACAGATGCTGTATGGAGCGCCGTATGACTTGTTCCCTCCGGGCCGCAAGATTGCTGGGTGTGTATTGTTGGCGGGATTCTCGCCGCTCAAGTATCACCCGGGATATGCGAAGACGCTGAATTGGGCGAACTGGTTCTCCTTTGGGCCGCCGACACAGTTGCTGCCATGGCATCTCCTTCAGTGGCTTTTCCGCCTGGTGATTGGGTCGAAGCTGAAGACCCTAGATGGCGCGAAGGGGTTCCTGCGCCAGACGCTGGTTGATAATATGGATGAGGACGAAAAAAAAGTGCTCACGCGATGGCTAGAAGAGAACGCACTCACTGAAGATGCCTGGCTGGATCAGATGGCGCGAGGTACTATCAGGTGCTGTCAGAACTGGCACGGATTCATGGAAGTCTCGGATGTGATCCACTCCGATTGGGGATTTCAACCTCAGCAGCTTGACGAACACCACGCGTCGAAACCCGTCCTCGTCGTCGGTTCATCCAAAGATCAGATTGGCGGTGGCACCAATAATTGGCTCGTCGACAATTACAGATCTGCCACGTATAAATCACTGCCTGGCGGCCATATTTCCTCGCTGTTTTATATGGATGAAATATGGAGAGATATCATTGGGGCAGTCAGTGGTGGTTGACTTGTGTATTTTCAGCAGGCATGGTAATGATTGCGGCTCTTCCCTGCCAATCCCTTTTTGATGTCATGGCTATTTCTTTCAGGGGGGTGATGAATTGTAATTTATGATGTCAAGTACTTCAACACCACCATGTTTTGTTTCAAATCCACCACTCCCCTTCACAAGTTTCGTCTGCAACAAGCTGAGAGCAAGCAACAGCTATAATAAGGGCGTCCAAATCCCAAGGGGCCCAAGTGTAATTGCGAAACTTGAACGCTAGGACGAAACGCTTGTCTCTCTCCTACTCTTAGACTATTCTCTGCTTAGGACCTCAAATTGCCATTGACCAAACTTGTTGACCCCATGTATTGATACCTCAACATTACCGCGTTATTTAAACCCATACCTCCTAGGACTTGCTGTATAATTATTATTTACCTGAAGCCTCTCTTATGGTAGCTGCGTAAGAGTCGGCATTCTCTGCGTCGCCCGCGAGGTATGGGTTCTCGTAACCCGACGTACGAAGAGAGTCTGTCACTTTGAGCCGTCCATTTGGCTCAAGTGGGTGAAGCTGGTGCAAATGGTGCTTCAACGTTATACCCCGAATCGGCTGAAAAAAGTCTGTTTCAAGTGTCTCCTTGCTACCATCGGCCTTGACCAGCGTGAGAACATTCTCCCCTGCTCTTCTGGTCGTCTCCGTGACCCCGGAATTCCCAGTGATCTTGACGTTTAGCTTCTCGAGTTCCTTCTTGGCTGCCTGTCGTGTCGCCTCTAAGCCTTTGCATTCTGGGGGCAACGATTCGGTAATGACCAGGGTTATCACTTTCGTCCCGGTCTTCGCATACTCCTGTCCAAGCTCCAAGCGAACTCGACACCGGTAGGGCCTCCACCGGCTAGGACAATTGATTTAGTCTTGTCTATATTCTTCTGTAGTTTGGCAAGTGAATCTTGGGTTTGCTGTGAAGTGCCAACGAGCGTCCAAGGCATAAGGTCGACATAATGACTGCCAGTAGCCACAAGGATAAAATGGTAGTCGATCGTCCATCACTCAAGGTCACAGAGATAAAGGTTTTGATGTTGTTGTCAACTACGAAGAATGAGGTGTAGAAGCACTAAAGGTAAGTGGCAAGTGGCAAGTGGCAGATGCGCCCAGCGCTACCAGGTGATAATGCTGTATCAAACAGGTTGAAATGACTTGGCCGACCCTCCTGAGCTCTCCTCTACGAAAGAGGGAGAAGAGTAGCTATGCACACCTGGTAAGGCTGGGATTCTGAGAATGCCCATGTACGAAGTTCTCGCAAGATATAGTACAACACCGACGCCGTATATGACCCATGATTCCCAACGTCCAGTTGCGGCAAAGAAACAAACAAAGTAGACAATGCCTCAGTTCATGTCTAGGTAACCTTTCAACCTATGCTTTTCACGTGGATAGTCGCCGAGTTATCGTCGTCCAGCGTAGTAGGAAGGAGGTGGAAGACCCATAGCCACGACATCGCGATTCATCTTGCTCGCCTCGCTGCGCATGACGAAGGAGAACTGGATGGCGTGAATGATTTCCCTAGGATCCACGAGACCCGCCCAGGCCTTGATGCCTAGAGGACCACCGTAGTATGCACCGCTGCGGTTGCCAAAGCGTGATTGCTCCCTTTGATTGGACTGTTTTATCGGCTGTACAAGGCGAGATTGGAGTTCGTAGCCTGCGTTGCCCTCCTCAACGCTGGACCTGCTGCTGGCGCCAGATGCGATGTCAGACAGGGGCAGTGGTCGACATTTCGTCAGGTCGTACGCTGCCACGTCGTACGCGTAGTGAAAGAATATCGAGAATGGGACCATCTCCACGCAAACAAGCATTGTCTCAATACCCATGTTGACATCCGCGTAAGTGAGTTTGGAGGACTCCTTGAGTAAGTTTGTTGAATGGAGGATCAAGAAGACGATCTGTAGTCAAAGGGGTAAAAGAGTGAGTCTTGTGGTCGAAATGTCGAAATAGAAGGGCGGAAAGGGCGAAAGGGGAACCGCCACATACCTTTTGCAAGAAAGTGATTAAAATAATCAACTTGAAGGCAAGGAACTTGGCCAATGGCTTGTGGTGCTTCAGGTCCCTTTTAAGAGCGTTGTAAAATTGAATGACGGCAAGGACCGCCATGACCAAGGAAATATTGACCACGATGGAACACTTAGTCTTTTGTCAGCGAACTGTTGTGGTAACAATCATTATGTTAGACATACCCAGATATGTGCAAAGTGGATCTTGTTGCTGGTAAGGCAGTACACATTTGCAGCCTGAGTGATAGCTGTAATGATGGCGATAAGAATGGCGACTATGACATATTGGAATACGGCGAACCACTTTTTCTGTTATGTGGAACCGCTATTAGCAAAGTGACTCTGGGGGAGGAGAGTTATCTTATGGCTGTGACCCACCCTGAACCATTCTAGTCCATCCTGTGGCTGGACTTTGCCTCTACGCCTCTGCGGCACCTCCAAAGCGGCGAAGAAAACATCTCGAAATTGGGTACTTGGCGAGACGAACTCGCAAAGAAGAAGGAAGAAGCTTCCTAGCGCCCATGCTTCGAAGAATTCGAGCCACGGTGTCAAGTAAACGAATGAGTTTGGCGCAGCAATCGTGACGAGGGAGAGGATGGAGTATATAGGGATCAGCGAGCAGATTCTCAAGATTCTAGTCAAGATTGCTTTATGTCAGTAATAAGATAGACAAAGATATTCCATGCTAACCGGGGGGAGGTTGCTACTCACTTGCTCTGTTCATTGGGTTTGCTGTAGTGGGTTGCATGCCTCGCCATGAGGATAAAGATTGATATGGATGATAACGCAGTGCATGCACCGGAGAGCGTCATGTTAAACGTGTGAAATGACCATGTACCAAAAATGGGCTCGGCAGCGACTATTGCTCGACTCAGTTCCCATCGATAAATGGGGCAAGTTGAATACCTGGGCGGACATACCTGTGTCGAAGTTGGTCGGTGTAGGGCACGTCTTGTTGCTGGAGTCATCGTTGAAAAGGCCCATGCCTGAAGATGGTTCTGAGCTTAATGGTCTCCACGGGTAGCTTTTCCTTCGCCGAGGAATTTGATGATTTGAGGGTTGGAGGGTATGAGGACCAGGATAGATGGACAATGTATTGAGCGAGGACTTATCACACATCACCTACCTGGAACATGTTGGCTCACCTATCTATATATACACAGGGAGTGCATCCCTCAAAGAGAGCTTTTGATATCGTCACATTACAGCCTCCATCGATGGGCACGCGTTGTGAATCCCTGGAAGTGTAAGGCCAGAGTAATGGACCAATGGTACAGTGTTAGGCAGAAAGTTGGGGAGCAGCCGTTGAAAGGGCTTCCAGATTAGGTTAATTGCACGAATTATGACATAGTCCGATTTTGAGGAGTTGGTAGATTGTCAGTGTAGGTAAGGACGTTGCACGGCAATGGGACTTCTAAGTTGTGGTGGCTAAGCGAGCTGAAATTAAAATATGTATGTACGAGGTCACGGAACATTTACTCGTAATACGAGGGTTGTACCCACCATTCTCACAGCCTCGTTTAGCCTCGAATGCCCTTCCTAAAAGGGACAAGCACGAGTTTAGATTTGACCGTGGGGTGGAAAATACTTGTTGCGAAGCCGCCGGTAAATGATCTTTGTCTGACGGTGTAGCAGCGCATTAGAATCGCAGGCTGAGCGCCAAGAAGCCCGTCTGACAACGGGGCTTCTCGGCTGCCACCTAGTTTCGACCAGTAGGCTTCGTGCCGTCCTGCTCAGCCCCGGAAGGCAACTTTGACATCGTGCCTTACTACGTCGTCGACCGGGCATGGATTTGGACTTTTGGAAACGAGAAGGAGAATAAAAGATCCATGCGCGCTCGCATCAATAAGGCTCAATAAGGCCCCTCAACCCAGCAGATACCCAGCAAAGGAGTAATTATGCCAAATGTGGGTAGGCCGAGTCGTGATTGTCACCTATGCCGCCAACGAAGGGTTAAAGTAAGTGGCGTCGAGACTGCATGTTGCAGACCTACATTGACATAGAGCACTAGTGCGACCTCCTCCGCCCCGAGTGCATGAGATGCACTCGCTTTGGCAAAAAGTGTCCAGGGTATCGGGATGAGTCGCTTGTTTTTCGTGTGGAGAGCCAGGCGACCTTTGCCCAGTCTGGCACTCAAGATCGTCGTAGAAGACGACCAGAAGCAGATACCCCGGATACACGCTCCCGCACAACTTCTCCGGGCTCCGAAACGGGTGCTTCCGTCGGCAAGGACTCGTCGACAACCCCGTCCAGTTCAATAGCTGAAAAGGAAGGTGAACGTACCCACCTTGCAATTTCCACCACACGGTCCATCTATGGCGACAGTTTTATCTCTCCACCTTCAAATGGTCTGGCTGATGACTGGGACCCTCATCTATTGCCATTCTTTATGAATAAAGTATGCTCTCAGGTCGACGGCCAAGCCTCTATTGCCCTTATGAACTTCTTGCCGTCCATGATCACAAAAGAAGCGACTTGTACGGAAAACTCGGGCCTGATCCAATCATGTCGAGCCATCTCCTACGCTATTATATTTAACGAGTTTGGTACTCCAGAGTTACGGTCACGCAGATCGCTTGCGTATGGGCAGGCTCTCAAGACCACAAATGCCGCTCTTAACGACAATCAATTGCGAGTGAGGGACGAAACCTTGGTCTCTATCTGGCTTTTGAGTGTATATGAGGTGACTTCCTCCTCTCATGCTGCCTAGGACATATTTTAACCCTACATGCTAGTTGATTACTGGACAAGAAGCGAACGGTGAGCGCAAGGGGCCCATGCTATGGAATACCCATCTGCGTGGTCTTATTACGCTCCTCAAACTCAGAGGCACTGCTCACCTCCGCGAGTCCGCCGGGCGCAGTGTCTTCTGGCTACTCTACAACAGCATTGTAAGTCTGCGAATTGTCGAGCAGAAATTGGAACTAAGCAAATATCAGCAAATTCGGTCGTTCATCGTTGGCGTGGAGTGTCCATCCGAGTCACTGGAGTGGTTCTTTGACTTGTCCAAAGATCTCCGACCTGGTGAGCGTTATGTCTACCATGTTTCCAGATTTGGGTATGATGCCTCCGTTCTGTGTGCAAAGATACGTGAAGTCGCCGAGAACGATCTTGTAAAGGCATCAGCATCGCTTGCAGAGCTTCTGGACTCAGCAGAACACTTGGAGATTGTGACTGCTGATCTGCTGATACCACGAATAACGAATTTGGAGGTCCCTCAATCCGGAACCTCCAAAACAAAAGTCAAGGACCTTGGAACTATAACATTCAGAACATTCTATTGTGCCTATCGGATGAAATTGCACCTCGCCATATGTCTGCTTCTCACCAAAGTGCAGATCCGTGATCCCAGTTCCGACGTTGTTCAAAGACGATACCAGATCCATGTCACCACCATTCAGAGTCTCGCAGACGAAATCCTAGCAGTTAAGCCAGTTCTATTTCCTCCTGATCTGCCGAGTCGGCCATCCTTCAAGCGCTCGAGGATGGAGCCTGTACAAACCAGATACTGGACAGACGGTCTTCGGGTCCTATGGCCTTTCCGACTAGTTGCTGGGACCGCATTAACACGGCATGACCAGAAGGTGGTGGCTCTTGAGGCTCTTGAGCTTCTCCATAATTCACTTGGCTTTCCACGTATTCGCAAGCCTCTCCCGCCTTGAATTGGCTGAACTTGGACATTGTGATGGTACTCATACCAGGATACTCCAAAGTCCGTTTCCGTTTCCGTTTCCAGACCTGAGCAACTCACCACTTAACGTGAGTTATGACTAAGTCATCCTGTGCAGTGGCTGTGCGATCCTGGGCCGGTCTTCGCGAGTCCTGAAGTGTGCTTGAGTCGCAGGCGTGCGGGAAGGTTCCCACAACTTGGCCCCTGGTTTCCCCGTTCAAATGCTCGGAAGTGCGCCTACTCCGTCCTCCGCAGCTCGGCTATACTTGATGCACTCCCGAGCCCCCTTTCTGGGCCAAGATGCGGCAGCCTGGACCCTTGACGAGTTCGGAGCACTGAGGTATTGACTTAGGTATTTCGCGCCGATAATCGTCTGGCGCTGGCCACGTGATTCGGCTTCGGCTGATCCAAAAAGGTCGAAACGCGCAAGCTCGGTGAACCACGTGACTCTATTTGGCCAAGAGTTCGGCGATTCTCCTGAACTTCCGGCCGAGGTACCTCGTCGTCGACACGGACTGTCTATTCAAAGGACCAATCTTCGTACCCCACAGAGTCGCAATTGCAATGCTGAGACGAAGGGCGCCTAGAGTGTGCATAACTTGCCACAATCGCAAAGTACGGTGCGATGTCTCGAGGAAAGGCACTCCATGTTCGAATTGCTCGAGAGCTTCCGTTATCTGCTCCGTCAACGACCGAGTGAAAGAAAGGCCGATTCAGCATCCTAGCAAGATGAATCTGCCCCGGGCCAGCGTCTATACATTCAAGATTGGCGAGCCTATGAGATGCAACAGAAATAGGGATAAAAGTGTCGCTACTAAAACAAGCGCCGGTGGGCAAGCCTCGTTGGCGTGTTTTTTTGACAATGCTACGCCCGCCAGTGGAACGCTGCAGCGATGGGGAAATAGCAGATACGTCTCTGTCACCAGACCAATCCGAGCTTCCGAGCTACATCGCACGTCTTCCTACGGGGCTTGACCATGATGTCCGGCAGCTGCTATTGCGCAGGGGAGCTCTTACAATTCCCAGCAAAACGATGATGGATGGGTTACTGAGAGTATTTGTCTGTCATGTATATCCTTTACTACCAGTCTTGGATTTGGCCAATTTCCTAGGGGCAGTAAACGGTACAAACAGCGACAGTATCAGTCTGGTGTTGTTTCAAGCTGTGATGTTTGCAGGAGTCGCCTTTGCAGATCTCTATCATTTACTACAAGAGGGATTTCGAAGTTATAATGACGCCCCAAAAATCTTTTTCGACCGGGTAACGCTCCTGTACGAGATGGATGTTGAGTCAAACCCTACGACGATGATACAGATACTGCTTCTTATGACATACTGGTATGGTCAGCAGAATGTTACGAAGGGTCGATTCTACTGGCTACGAATCGCTTTCTCTTTGGCCACTGATATTGGCTTGGACAGGCAACACCAGTTTTCAAACCAGTCTGTCCGGCAGCGAATGAGGCAAAAATTGTGGTATTGTTGTCTAATGAGAGACAAACTTCTATCGATAACGGAGCGGCGGCAAAATGCTCACTGTTGCCACCATGAGAACCTCGAGGGCCTCGACCCAGATGACTTTGAGGATGCGGCTCTCAGTCAGGCATGAATAAATACTATGTGCCTGGCCATGGGATTGAAACAACGAGCCTAGGTCGATTATGCGCGCAAAAGGTCAAATTATGCCTTGTTGTTGGACGTATCCTCGAATGGCAATATGAATTGAGTGGCGTACGGCTCGTGGACTCAAGCGACCCCTTCATGGTCTTGATACCGAAAACGAAAGTACTCAGCACCGAAGCAGCGACTCGGGACCAAGAGCTTCGCGAATGGTATATTGAGGCGGCTTCTATCAAAGAGGCAGCCTTGGGACAGGATCATGGCCTGAATGGAAGCCTGCTAGGCTTACATTCTGCAAGCCTCGAACTTTTATATTTGACTGCGCTTTGCACCGTCCATCGCCCGCTGCTCCTTCATAGGCAAGCCAAAGGCTCTGCTGCTGAAGCTTTGCAAGGCTTCTCCGGGCAGACTCTTAGAGCTGCCGCACGTCGAATCTCGGAAATAGCAAGACAGTTGGAGGACAGCCATCTCCTACAGCTTATGCCACCGCTGGCCGCGGGAGCCCTTATTGTGGCATCCATTCAACACTTGAAAGATGCTCTATCTTCTGAGGCAGAGCTTCGAAGCACAGGAGACCTGTACCTCAAGCAAACTCTCCAAGCATTTGCGGCATTAAGCCCAAGGTACAATTCCGCAGATTGTGCAATCGGTTCATCGAGCGAGTCAGGAGCGGCAAACTCCCATATCGGACTTTCGAGTGGGAGGATCGAGCTAATCCTCGGGCGCCTCATGATGAACATACAATGATGAGCACGGGCGGGGAGCCAAGCACCATCGCCATCGTACAGACAGAGACAGACGTAGATATCACTATCTCCCCGTTTGTTACACAAAGCTCCAACGTGAGGTTGCAAAATGACGTCAGATATCCTCCCTCGGACATGTTTGGAAGCTCGTTTGGAAGCGCGGAGGACTTCAATATACCCTGCTTTCGATCATCAAATCTTGACGCTATTTCCGAGTTGCTACTGTCTGGCCCATTTGATGCTAACAACATTGACTGGGCAAAGAGGGACTGGCATGATGTCGGCAGTACAGAGATTTGAGCCATGCAAAACCACAATCGGCGAACATCAGAGCACATTGGCAAGCGCTGTCGCGACATCATTGCTCATGTGGCATCTACGAAGCAGCGGCAATCTTCAGGATGACCCCCGCTAGAGTCTCGGTCGAAGTCAGGTTCGGCACATAATTCGAGTCCAACTTATGTAGGTCCACCGCCTTGCCAGCCACAATTTTTATGGTTTCGATGTATTTATTGTTCTTGCAAGACTGGAGGCACAACCTGGTCTTGCTTGCAAAAAATGTATGAAGAAGGTATATCCTTGAAAGCGGTATATGTCACCGGGCTAGCAAAGCTGAGAGCGGATTGCCTCGGTGCAGCTTATGCCCAGGCGACCCCTCGTTCTTCTGGCCAAACATCATACGTGCGGGAACCGGACAAGCGGGATCGGCAAGTCTCATGGATCCGTACTGCGAGATTTAGCTTCCTGAGATTCAGCGATAGAAGCAGTGACTTAAACCTCGTCTGTCTTTATGATCGATGGTGAAAGCTTGCCTTGATGACCCACTAATGTTTGTCCTTCCTGCAGGACAATGGCGGCTAGGAAGATTATCCTGATGATACCGCCTTGCAGTCCTCTGGCGCACCGCTCCGCTTTGCTATGGCCTTTGGCAGATTCAGAGGGCAACTAGGCCACCATATGAATGGCCAACGACAACAATGTTCTTTCCCTGGTCTGCGATCATTCCGATGATGTTGCTGAAGAACTTTGCATCATCACTCAAACTTGCGGGAGCTTCTGGACCGTTCCGACTCGCTGACGGCAGGTTGCACGTACACCTCGTGCCCTTCCTCGGCCAGGATGTCCTGAAGAGGGAAATACATGGCTGAAATGGTGAAAGATCCGGGGATCAGGAGGATGACGGGTTTCGAGGCCGTGGCTCAGGCTTTGGTAGGAGGGGATGTAGGACGAGAAGCGCTGAAATTCATTTCTCAGGTTTATATTTAGCGGCTACGGTTACGGCGAGGGTCTTTTTAAAACAGGCCATCGTGCCAGGTCTTGATCCTTGCGTGTGAAAATAGATGGAGCACTGTACTCTGGATGAGCATAAAGACAAAGGACACCATCTCGGCAGCAGGTCCGAGATAGGCAAGTCCGAAGTTGTGGATCTTCAACTTGCCTTCCAAAGGTTCGGTATCGGTAGCCTGATATGCTTGTGACCGATTAGCTCGAGGCCTGAGTGCACACGCGTCTGGCGTTCAAAGACGAAGGTTTTCATCCAGGTAGTCTCAATGCGGTTTTGCTTCACCGAGCAGACACCTGTGCCTTAGCAATGGGGGCTGAGTACCTGAGACTTCTCCTTTCCCCATGGGGTATTTTGCGGTTTGCAAGGTTCAGAACCCTGGGCTGCATGCAGGGCGGGACGTTTCTATAAAGGAAGTCTCTTGTCCTCCTGTTCGTGCCTTTTATTCTATGTTCCATGTGACAGACAGCTCGTTATGGGCGTTGCAACGGAGCAGAATGCTGAACAACCAGATAACTCATTGGTGCATGAGGAGAAGATTGAGGTCGTTTCCCAAGTCAATGGTGGCTCCTACAACAGTATCCAGGATGTTGAGTCTTGGTTGATTGACTTACGACCAGTTCTGGGTTTACTGGTAGTACTCGCCGCCGTTTGGACCATTGTTTGGCTAAATCAGATCTAGGCTCTCGCCGTTACCTATGAAACGTGCCTGTTGTCGCTCGCTTTGCCTTCTGCGCTTCTCCTCACCATCAACGAGGATGTCCGGCCGTCGAAACATTACGTGGGCAGCTACCTCAAGGGCACTTGCGAGCGCAGCCGTGATGACTTGAACTTGATATCATAGGTACTCGTAGGCACTCACCGTGTTACCGCTAAAACGAGCTTTACGTTTGTGTGAGTAATGCGGGTACAGGGCCACATGTTTACTGGCCTTGTACTGGATAGAAATGCGCCAGTGCTTGGCATACCCGCGGACTCCCGCCTTATTCATCTGCCGGCGAATGCTCGACCGTAGTTGTAGCGTGTCAAGTTTATGTGCTCCCCTTGATTGCCATCTACTGTTTTACTTGGTGAGAAATGTCTACCGACGACCAAAGATATCACATGGCGGCAAACGGATTCCCAAACGATGTTGAAAAAGTGCCTGGCGATATTCCGTGAACGGGGCATTGATATAAGCGTCTTGATCTACCATCACTCTGGCTTAGTGCAATCTGGGCTTGGATTGGGTTTCCGCTGACTTGGGATTAGGGTAGCACTCGTTTCGAGCACGCTGGCACTGCCCTCTGCCCGTACGATCCAGATTTGGGTGGGGGGTTTACCATAAGGACTGCTGGGGGGGTTGGCCTTCTTATCAAGGAAGACAACATCCAAGTGTGGAAGAGCAGATTCCGTCTCGAACTTGTAAATGGCGTCCTCCAGAAATAGAAGCGCCCTCCGCTTTTCCGGGTCAGTGTTATCTCCTGGTGGAGTTGATGGAGCCCAAGTAGGATTGCTTGCCGAAGCCATTCGTGACGCCAAGAAAAATGAGGGTTCTCTGAATGCCCACCAATCCCAATTTTCCTCACGCCACATTGTTTGTTAATAATGAAAATTTTCGACGCTCTGACGCAAGCTAAGATGACGACTTTGCAGGCATACCGAGCACTCAAAGCACGTCTTCCAGGCCCATGCACAGCCTTGTCAAATGTTCCCTGACAGCCAGCCTACCCGCTCTTCACATGCGTAAATGTTGGTTCCCACAAGAAGAATTCGGTCTTCTCCCTTTCCGCGACCCTCCGCTTGATAAGACAGTGACACCGACTTCCACTGTGGACCTTGGGTTTCTACAGGGTCTCCTATTGCCTCGTCTGAGCGCACATGTCTCTCAGATAATGTAGACCTGTCCGTGCGTCCGTCCAGTAGTCTGGATTTTCGACACTCTGTCGCCTCCACCACGTGCTGAGACATATCGTTATCAGGGGGGTGCCCGAGTGCGGGTCTTCCGCTAAGCTCGCATGGTTCAATTCTTTGCATTTTTCCATGTCCTTCGTTCTTGTTGATATCTGTACGTCCAAGGCTGAATCTACCACTTGTCCTCTTCTCGTTCACCATGAGAATACATCGCAGCTCTAGGAGTTGCGTCCATTTGCCACCTGAAATGCTTTGATTTACCCCCGCTAAGGGAGGGCATCCATTCTCCGGCTTCTCGATTAAATACAATCATTCACTAAAACTCTTCCTAAAAGCACTCATCCTTCAGAACATAGAAGATCGAAGCAGAATCTGGCATTTCCAAAAGGAAATCGCCCCAAAATGTCAGATTCGAACACGGATGGTCGTCTTGACCAAGCACTCGACGGCGTATCCCAAACGCCGTCAGAATCCCAGCAGGCGGAGGTACCTTTCAATTCCATGACCAGTGGACTGCGTGGCAAGAATGGACCCAAACAATCCCACAAAGTCAAATTTAATATGGCTGATGGTGAAGGGGCCCATGATGGACAACCACATACCCAGACTCGAGACGCTCCAGGCAATCAAATACCTGAGATACGAGAACCTGCGTCGGAAGACGTGGGAGACCATACCCTGACTCCGCCAGACTGGGAAGGGAGAACACACGCTGCCGCTGCTCATGCCCTGACTCGTGCCAGTCGACTAGCGAACAGGCTGAGTACTACTGGCATGCCAACAAAGGCCGGCTCCGGATCCAATACGCCTATTTATACGCCTACGAGAGGTAAGAATACCTGCCCCATCTTCCAGTCTTTGTCTCGTGCGGACTTGAACGGTGGTTGTTAACCATTCGTGTGCAGATTATGCATCTCCTGATACCTCCCCAAAGTCCAAGCCCCTGAAGGACTGGATCGTTAACATGAATGACATCCCTCTGGTGAATCTCGACAAGGAGAAGAGACCATACAGTTTCCACGACGATACGACCGACGATGACACCGATGTCGACGAGCCGAAGCACCTGAAACGCGAAGATGAGAATTTCGAAGAAGCGAGGCGGATATTTAGGACCTTGACCAGTGGTCACAGTTTGTCAAGATTACAAGAACAATCAAGGTACGCCATTCTTGCCAGCTGGTGATTACCTGCGTGTGGCGACCCAGCAAAGGCGCCTCGGGTGTCCATCATGGCCCCAGATGTCCCTTAACTGACGAGGCTTCAGGTCCGGAACAGCAACCCCTGCAATCGACAAGCGCCTTCACGACGTAGATTATGTACCTGCACCGGACGAGTATCGACCTGGGATCTTTGGTGCCATCCTTTCATCGAAACTGGCCAATCTGCAGCGGAATGGAAATATCCTGCCCCTCCATCATCATGAGGACGGCTGGTCTAAAGACCACCACAAACCGAACCACAAAGACCCTCACTCCAAGGGCAACTCAAGATCAAACTCAGAAACCTTGAACTCTTCAGGACAATCATCTGGGCGTGCTACGCCGTCGAAAAGACCAAAGTGGTACGATGGAGACACTCATTCGACAGGATCCATGGCAACCTTATTGGCTCAAGCTTCAATTACTTCCACTGCTGCAGCTGCACCGGGAACCAGTGGATATGTTCCTCGGCCGCATCCGCCAAGGGCAAAGTCGTCGAACAGCATGATCGCAACGGCAGTGGATATGATCAAGCACCCTGGTAACGTAAGTGGTACAGAATGAACTCACAGGTCAGTGGCTGACGGTTCCCTTCCCAGCATTTCCACAGCCACTCTGAAAAGATTCACCAATCAGAAGAAGAACGAGTGATACACGACGTAGCTGAGATAATTGCGTGTCGAAAATATCTGAAGAAGTTGGCTCGGTCCTTGATGGCGGTCGGTGCACCCTCCCATCGCCTCGAAGAATACATGAAGACATCGGCGCGAGCGCTCAATATCGATGGCGACTTCCTCTACCTCCCTGGGTCTATGCTTGTATCTATCAATGACAAACTCACCATGAGCACAGAGGTAACACTGGTGAGAGAATCCCAGAGTGTTGACCTGGGGAAATTCAAGGACGTGTTCTCTGTCTACAAGTGTGTCATCCATGGCAAATATACGGCCCGAGAAGGCACAGGCGAGCTCGAGTCCATTATGAAGAAGCCGCAACGGCACAGTACTCTGTTCCGAATTTTCGCCTACGGACTCGCCGCCGTTGCTGTCGGACCATTCGCTTTCTCGTCGCGGCCCGTCGACTTTGGACCAAGTTTCATTCTCGGCTGCCTGCTTGGATTCCTACAGCTTGTCGTTGTGACTCGGTCGCAACAGTTTTCTCATGTTTTTGAGGTTCTTGCTACTGTGATCATTGCTTTTGTGGCCCGCGGTCTGGGCTCGATATACCATAATGGCACACCCGTCTTCTGCTTCTCTGCCATTGCGCAAAGCAGTATCGCCCTGATACTGCCGGGCTATACGGTGCTCTGTGCAGCGCTCGAACTACAAAGCAAGAGTATGGTGGCTGGGTCGGTAAGGATGGTGTATGCTATCATATATTCCCTCTTCCTTGGGTTTGGCATATTGATTGGGAGTGTCATAATGGGTAAGATCTCCGTCCGTGCCTAGTATATATTTCTGGGATATCCTTGCTAAATCATGTGGTACATTAGGTTTGATCTACCCTGGCGCCCAAAGCGAAGTGACTTGCGACATACCCGCGTGGTGGAGTAGCGACAACCTCGACTATAAGTTAATATACGTCAAGTTCGTCTGGGTCCCCATCTTTGCCGTCTGTCTGGCCGTCATCAATCAAGCCAAGTGGCGTCAGGTCCCTGTCATGACACTGATCGCCTTCGCCGGGTATCAAGCGAACTTCTGGGTCTCTACCCGCATCGCCAACAACATCCAAGTATCAAACGCCATCGGAGCGTTCGTGATCGGCTGCATGGCGAACCTGTATAGTCGGTTTTTCCACGGCCTGGCAGCCGCGGCAATGTTGCCTTCTATCTTCGTCCAAGTGCCGAGTGGCTTGGCGGCGAGCGGAAGCTTGGTGGCGGGCATTACTAGTGCCAACCAGATCAGTGGGAATGCGACGGGGGTCAGTGTTATCAATAACGGCACAGCGGGCTTTTTGAGTGCGCAGGACGGAGCAAGCGGTGCGAATGTCTATTCTGGTACGATATTCAATGTTGGGTATGGCATGGTGCAAGTGGCGATTGGCATCAGCGTTGGGCTATACTTGAGCGCCCTCGTTGTGTATCCTATTGGAAAGAGGAGGAGTGGCTTGTTTAGTTTTTAAGCGCCTTGTATATTAGACGACTAAAATTAACGATGTTGATGAACGTAGCTAGGATTTGTCTTTTCAGTCGTAGGAATCTCACTGATCCTTGCCTCACGTGAGCGCACGTGACGGCTGACGACCCGATGCCTCTTTATGTATGTGCAGGCTCAGCCTTATCGCGTCTTATCGCTCTCCTACCCGATCTCCAGGTTTCGAGCCAGCGAGTCGACCACTTTCTTATCTATGCCATGCATTCAGGCCCTGAGCCTTCCAATGAGGACCCTGCGAGCTGGCTGAAGATCTGCGACTCGCAATGCGCCCCGGAAAAGCAGATCTGTTTCGTCGCTTGGTTCTGCCCCTGGCGCCGCCACAATCATCATGGTGGTTCCTCAGGGCTCAATCTCGGGCCCAGCTATAAACATGCGCATCTGCATGCTTTCTGAGGGTCCAGAGACTCGAAATCATTTGTAACCGGCCATGGCAGCGGATGAAGAGCATGTACTCGAGAGAACACCTCTCCTCCTTCGCGACAGAAGACTAAGTTCCGTGGCTCATGAAGCTGATGCAGCATCTATCATTTCCTCGCACCTGAGTAAGGAGGAGCAGGCTTTGGGGAAGACTGCGGTCGGCGAACGTCTCCCGTATAATGACTATACGACCATCGATTGGCTTCATGACCTTGTGGGTGGATGGGCAGATTTCGGTAACCGAACCTCCTGCTAACGGTTTTCTCAAGGTCAAAGACTCATATCGCCATCGTTCCCTGCATGGGCGAAAGGGTTTTCGGGACTCGCTTGTTTCGGCGTTTGATTCATGCCAGGGCTGGATCGCGGCGGCGCTCATAGGGACATTGACAGCTTGTGTCGCATTCCTGGTGGACATTGCCGTGGCCACAGCCAGCGACTGGAAGACGGGGTATTGCAAGACCAATCCCTTTGCGAGCAAGGAGGTTTGTTGTACGCCGTCTAAGGCTCCGTTCAATTCATGGGCGGATACGGGCGAAAGTTGCCCGGAGTGGAGGTATTGGGCGAGTAACTACTGGCAAGGTTTTTGGATATATGTTGGTTTCGCCCTCCTCTTCGGCATCATCAGTGGGACCGTGACCCTCACGACAAAAAGAGCGCTCCCGGCGACGGCGCCAGGTTCGGGAGATAGAGTATCTTTGCAAAATCAAAACAGTCAATTCGATGGTCTGGATGGCGCCAACGCCGCGCCCCCAGTGGGCAAGTCAATCTACATGGCGGCAGGGAGTGGAATACCCGAAATCAAAACCATCCTCTCAGGGTTTGTTATCCCACACTTTCTTGACTTCAAGGTCCTGCTTGTCAAGGCCGTCGGATCCACATTCGCGGTATCAACTGGCATGTGTCTCGGTAAGGAAGGTCCCTTTGTTCACATCTCGACTTGTGTTGCCTACCTTGTTGCCATCAGGTTTCCTAAATATCGTGAAAATGGTCGCAAACTACGGGAGTTACTGGCAGCTGGTTGCTCCAGCGGTCTGTCTGTTGCATTCGGCGCACCGATTGGAGGCGTGCTCTTTTCCTATGAGGAGATTGCAACCTACTTCCCTCGTAAGGTGCTATGGAGGGCTTTCATCTGCTCCTTATTTGCGGCAATGACCCTCAAAGCACTTAACCCGACTGGCACGGGCAAACTGGTTTTGTTCGAGACCAATTACGGCACGACTTACCAAGCGTATCACTACGCTGTATTTGTTGTCCTGGGTATTGCAGGCGGCATCTTTGGAGGAGTTTTTTGCAAGGCGAATTTTTTCTGGTCGAGGAAATTCCGGAAATACAACATCATCAAGAATTACCCTGTCTTTGAGGTGTTTATGGTAGTTCTAGCAACGGCTGTCTTGCAGTATCCGAACCCACTGACCCGGGAGCCTGGCGATGTCATCATCAAGAATCTGCTAGTCGACTGCTCGGACAACTCGAGCATGAGCTATGTTTGCGTACAGGAAAGGCATGGTACACCAACACCAAGGTACTTGGGATGGCTTCTTTATGGGTCTCTTGTCAAGCTTGTCTTGACAATAATTACCTTTGGTATCAAAGTCCCCTCTGGGATTATTATCCCCGCGTTGGACGGCGGAGCATTCTTTGGACGCCTTGTTGGCCAGCTTCCATTCCTTGCAGACACCATTTCCCCAGGGATTTTTGCTATGGTGGGTGCGGGTGCCTTCCTCGCCGGAGTGAGTCGTATGACCATTTCGCTGGCAGTCATCATGTTTGAGCTCACGGGTGAATTGGAGTTCATTGTGCCAAACATGATTGGCATCATGGTGGCCAAATGGGTTGCGGATGCGTTGGAAAGTAATGGGGTTTACGATCTGGCTCAAACAGTGCTCGGTCACCCTTTCCTCGACCTTGACCACAGCATGAAATGTGTGCAACAAGAAGCGTACCTTGTTGAAGAACTGATCCCCCCTGCGCAAACGATGCGTGAGATCACGGTGGATATCCCGGACAGCGGCCTCGTGCCGCAGGCTCTGTTGACAGAGAAGTTACAGCAATTGCGCCGTCGTGGTCTCATGGACGCTGGTTTGGTTTTGGTACGCGCATATATGCTTCAAGGCTACCTTGCTGAAGGCGAGCTCGAATTCGGCCTGGGAACTGTTGGCCAAAGCTTCTCTGAACAAAGCCTTGTCAGGTTGTTGCCCAGCACAACTACTCTCGAAGTGTTGCGACATGAGGGTGAGTTTGACATGTCACAATTTGTTGATCGCACGCCATTGTCCGTCTCTGCAAAGGCACCAATGGAATATGCAGTGGAGATGTTTGGTAAGCTTGGATTGCGCTATCTGTGTGTTACTGAGCATGGTAGTGGGAGGTTGGTGGGTGTGATCATCAAGAAGCGGTTGGTTGTGTGGCTTGAGGGGTTGAAGCATTGATCACCTGTAATCTATACCTTGAAATGGCAATGAAAATTTGATGATGCCACTTTTTCGGCCAGACACCTCCATACTGTTCGTATCGGCTTGTAGCCTATTACTTGCAGGTAAATTCCATTTCTGAATGTTCATCATATCGTCAATTGCCTGAGACTATGCTTCGTCCTTGTTGCATCGGTTGGACTCGAAGCTTGCAGGCATGATTGCCACAGTGGACTCCGGAGTCAGCACTGGCTTTTCTTTTTCATCCAGTGCTTCTTATTTTATCCTCATAGCAGGTGTTGTCCTGCGTCTCCATCCTCTCCATGTCCCTATTACGTCGCTGAATTGTCCTCGCTTTGCAAACGAGTACCCTAAAAAAATCTGTGAGGTCAGATGGACCTGTGGGCCAGGTTCAATGGCTGAAATGGCAAGGATGGCTTGAGCCGCCAGGACTCTGGATTCTGGAGACGGCTGACGACAGCGACAGCAATTAAGCATTGGATGGCACCCCGGTGGTGACTTCTGAGCGCCTGAGGCGGGGCAAGCCATGTTCGTCTTTGCCTGTAGCTTTTTGTATGCACTCCACACGTCAAGGTTTTTCGCCCAAAGCCTCAGACTCCTGCTTCTGGCCACGAGCACGGAAGCCTGCCACATCACTGGTTGGGGCCCCTTCGGCCTGTTCTCTAGCCGTCAGCTTGCTGCTTCGGACCGCTTCTTGAAATCTTCTGCAGACTGCACTGAATCGGTGCTCGAATCCTGGCATGGACCTGACCCTTCAACCTCTTTTTCCCTCATCCCCTTGCGGCGTTCGGTACGAGCTCTCATTCTGGCTGGGCTCTTCGCGATATCCCTGCAGCTCTTGCTCTTTCCCCTCACGAAGAAATTTGACTTGCATGTGCACAATTCGCTAACCACGACCGTCGAATCGAGCACTCGCACCTCATTTCCGAATACCTGCAACTGTCTCCACGAATCTCTCATCCTTCCCCTGCAGAATGACCACCGCTTTCTTTGTGTGAGATACGAATCCTGCATGGGCCTGTCCGCCATAGTCCTCCCGGATTGCGTCTTCCCGCGGTCCTTTCGAGCCAATAAGCCCTCTACGTTTGACTCGGAGCAGAGGACTTGGGAGGCCTCTCCACAGCTTGGGTATTGTTGGCGGAGAGGAGATTTGCATGTGCCTGTCGAAATGATATACCTATGAGTGAAAAGATGTCGACAACCAACAGCTCTCGAAGTCAAACTCGTCGTTCCTCCGGCATTCTAAAGTCAGCAACTCAGGCTCCAATGTCGAGTGGCTCTCCATCAAGACGCACCCAGGAAGAGCCTTCTCTAGAAGAGAGCAATTCTCTTTCAATTTCTGATCGGCCTCATACAGCTCACCGTGCTCGAGCTAGCTCCACATCCAGCCAGACTGTTTCAAGAACGCCTGCGAGATCCTTCTACCATCGGTCCTTCCATGGCCAGCTAGATCCTCCCCAATACTCATCCTCTGCGGGCTTGCGAGACCAGACTGCAGAGCTGGCTGCATTTGCTCTGTCCGACAATACTTCCTTCCCGGGAAGCTCCCCATCAAGGTCTGAAGCTGCTTCAGATGATGGCTATATCGATCCAATAGAGGAAGTGTCGGAACCCGTGACTCCAGAAGGCTCAGAGACCGAAACCGGACGAACCGGTGACCCTGCTGTGTCAAGACTCACGATGCTGATACACAACTCTGCAGAGCAAGAAGAAGAAGAAGACATTGGAAGCCCGCAAGAAGCAGGTAAATCAACTCTGACCCGCTCAAGGCCCTCACATGTATCCGGGGCGACACAACCAGATGAAAATACAAGTCTCCTCGATGGAGACCGCAAGCCTTCCTTGGGCTATGGGGAATTCGATGACCTGGAACGACAGCATTTAAGGAAGGAGACTTATCGGCGGCAATGGAGGAAAGCGGTGAACAACACACGGTCATGCCTGTACACCATCTCACACCCGAAGACCTGGGATCCGAAAGCGATCTATCGAGAAGTCGTGGTCCATCCAGTCAGCCTCCTCCCAGCAGTCTTCCTGGGTCTGTTACTGAACATTCTGGACGCTCTCTCCTATGGCATGATCCTCTTTCCATTGGGAAATGCGGTCTTCGAAAATCTCGGCTCTGACGGTATCGCTATCTTCTATGTCAGCACCATTGTCTCACAGGTCATATACTCTTCAGGTGGCAGTGTCTTCCGAGGTGGCATTGGGTCAGAGATGATCGAAGTTGTTCCTTTCTTCCACAAAATGGCCTTTACAATCCTTGCCAAAGTGGGCGACGATGACCCCAAGTCTGTCTTGGCCACCACAGTATTGTCCTTTGCCGTCAGTGCAATCCTTACTGGTGCCGTCTTCTTCCTCATGGGAGCGTTTGGGCTTGGCTCGCTTATTGGGTTTTTCCCACGCCATATCCTCATCGGCTGCATCGGAGGTGTGGGCTGGTTTCTTGTTGCTACTGGTGTTGAAGTATCAGCCAGACTTTCAGGAAGTCTGGAGTACAACTTCGAGACCCTCAAACAGCTGTTTCGTGCTGACACCGTCTTGCTCTGGACCATCCCACTATTACTTGCCATCATTCTGATTGTTGTTCAACGCTTTGTAAAATCAAATCTACTGGTCGGTGGATATTTCATTTCCGTTGCATGCTTGTTCTATTTCTTCAAATTTGCTATGGACATACAAATGTCGACTTTGCACTCCCATGGCTGGGTTTTTGATCCTCCGCCTGCAGGAAATCCTTGGTACCACTTTTATACTCTGTATGACTTCAAGGCCGTCCATTGGGGTGCTCTGGCAGACACCATTCCTGCAATGTTTGCATTGACTTTCTTCGGTATCTTGCACGTACCAATCAATGTGCCAGCTTTAGGCATCTCCACCGGTGAGGACAACTTGAACGTCGATCGTGAGCTCATTGCTCATGGTCTCTCGAATTGCGTGAGTGGGCTCCTTGGAAGTGTGCAGAACTACCTTGTGTATACCAACAGTCTATTGTTTATGGATAGTGGAGGTAACGATCGCCTCGCTGGGCTGCTGCTTGCAGCCTGTACTCTAGGGATCCTTTTGGCAGGACCTGTTGTCATTGGTTTCATTCCTATTATGGTTGTTGGGGCTCTGATTTTTCTCCTCGGGATTGAACTGCTTGAGGAAGCCTTGGTTGGTACCTGGGGCAAGGTGCACAAACTGGAGTATGCCACCATTGTCCTGATCGTTGTGGTCATGGGCGTTTGGGATTTTGTCATTGGTATCCTGTTCGGAATCTTACTGGCAGCTGTGAGTTTTGTTGTACAGACTTCGCGCCGAACCGCCATTCGAGCAACCTATTCAGGCGAAGTTGCGAAATCATTGGTCAGAAGACCGCCGGTTCAGCTCAACTTCCTCAAGGAAGCTGGTCAGCAGATTTTCCTCATCAGGCTGGCTGGCTTTTTGTTCTTTGGAACCATCGTGGGCGTTGAAAATCGCATCCGGGCACTGCTCGAGGACGATGCTTTCAGGGATCGGCCGCTGAGATTCTTAATACTGGACATGGCTCAAATCAACGGCATCGATTTTTCAGCTGCAGAAGCATTTACGAGGATCAATCGTTTGTTGCAAAAACGAGGAGTGCAACTGGTTGTCAGTTCCTTAGACGTCGACGGAGAAATTGGCCAAGCATTGGGAAATGTTGGCCTTTTCGAGGATCATCTGGAGGTGGAAATCTTTGCAGATCTCAATGTAGCATTGGAGCATTGTGAGAATAAACTTTTGACTGCGCTCTACCGACAACAAGAGCAACGACGAAGCAAAAGAATTGCTTCACACCTTGACGTTCCCAGAAGTCAAAGCCAGGATCTGTCTCAATCCTACAAGGCCGAGTTCATGGGCAGCTCCCCTCGGCGGAATCTCCTACACCAGGCGGCTCAGACGACACTTGATGCTGATATTTCCACGACAGGGAAATGGCATTCGTTCAAACAACCACTTCCGTTGTTATTACAGATATTGGCAGATTTGTCTGATAGGAATGAGGACTTCTGGCATCGAGCGACTCAATATTTCGAACGGGTGGCGTATCCCAAAGGTTCGACTCTCTTCAACGTGGGGGATCGAGCAAACCAGTTTTATATGCTTGAAGAGGGTATCCTCCGTGCTGATTATGACCTACCTCAGGGCAAATACTCGGAATTGATAGTAGCAGGGCGTCCATGCGGAGAGCTGCCGTTTTTTTCGCAGACACTCCGAACGGCGAAGATGGTGGCGGAGAAGGATTGCGTTATCTGGCAAATGGATCTCAAGAGATGGAGTGATATGCAGGCGAGGGATCCTGATGTGGCACAGGAGTTACTGATCATCACTTTGAAGCTGACCAAGGAGAGAATGGACGCCATCACCTCCTACGTCCTCACTTCCGCGAGTTAACCAGTCACAAACACTTTCATTATATGCATCAATATGGGTTGGGACGGGGTGCGAAGGGCAGGATGATAACGGGATAACCAAAAGTGCGTTTAAGCGTGGCGCTGTAGGCTAAATGAAAATATTGAATTCTCTTCACAAACCACCCAACGTATCAATCTCGAGGTTGAGATGTTGATATACGAAACCTGGAGTTTGTACGCCCTGTGCAACATGCTTTTTAGATTGGATGAAGGCTGGTGTTTCACTTGCCAATATTGCGAGTAGAGAATTGCCCAATTCGTTGGTCACGTTATTGCACATGCCTGACAAGTTTGGGAGTTGCCCTCGACGGAGCCCGGACAGAGCCATCAAGCCACCAGTGGAGCCTGGCAGTGGGCCATGATTTCCTACGTTCACAATGTTGAACAATGTCTTGAGCAGAGTGCTGATCGTCCGGGCAACAGCAGTTGCTGAACAAGCGGTGGATGGATTGCGAATTCCGGCAAGACATCTGGCTGGATCTACAGCAAAGTTGAAGATGTACTTCTAAGCACCAAACTGGCACAGCAACCCACAACGACAACACCCTAGGAAATATGGCCAGCAATTCAAGCTGGACGACCATCGAGAGTGCAAACTCAACCATCTTTAACGAGGCGCCGTCGACTTTTCCACCCTAGCAGTTACAAGCCTTCCCAGCAACAGCCCCGCGAAAGGCACAAGGCCCAAGCGTCTGAGCAGGGCTAGTCCACGCCACAGTCTCAGCTTGGACCAGCTTGGACTGTTCCAGGACCACTGATTGAGTATTGCTGCATGCGGGTCCATACCTTGCTCCATAAGGCGGGGTTCTCATCTCATGCAAATCTTCCTCGCACAGGGAGCCTGTTCGACACACGCCAATCAATCCACTTTTTCAGTCAAAGAACTGGTTGGCGGACGGAGAATTCGAGGAAGGCACTTCGTCCACTGATCTTCACAACTAGCTAGAGTGGACCAGTTGACTGGAAATTTGTTCGCGACCCATCGAGATTTTCAATCTGGTTTAGGTCTACGAGGATCGGAGGTCAGGATTCAGGAAGTGCGAGAGTTCCCCAGGGGATCGATCGCCCGTCGCTTGTAGTACGACGCGGCAGGCGCAAAGGTCCATTCCTCTCGCACTCAGAGATAGCGGAAATGGATAAGACGAAATGCTACTCAATAGCCTCGACGAGTGAAAAAGCTGGGAGCCCACAGTGGGCCGATGGGCCGCCAAAGATATGAGCTCAAGGGTCTATGTAACTAGCCATCCAAAAAGAAGACTACAGCACAACATTCTCTCTCTCTCGCTTTCACGCTGACCGAGGCGAGTACGGAGGACTCGGAGCGTCGAGAAGGACTGGTGGAAACGACCGATGGACCATGGTCTGACCCGGCACTGTAATCTCACCATTATTCCATTGCATCCAGGGACATTGAAATTTCGAAGCGGCGGTCAGCAAAACACAGGAACCCATGTTACTCGTACAACTCGAAATACGCAGAGACAAAAGCCTGTTACGGCTGCCAAGAACACACGCAAAATTCAGTCGTCCTTGTCAGAAGGATTTGCACAGTGTCTGGCCGTGGGTTTGAACGGCGTATCTGCCCCCCAAGGCTGAAGCACTGACACGGTCAGCTCGGCATGCAAGGCATCTGAATCTGCTCACATGATGGCCTGCCCACGGGTTGCCACGACTTTCCCGTGAGCGATGACTCCGGGAACATGGCCTGGGTACCTCATACGAGGTGTTGGATCAGGGCAAAGACGATACAGTCCCTTCTTGCACATTTTGCCACCGTCACCGAACTAAGGACCAAGTACGCTCAACTAGTGGGAGGCATTTTCTTGAAGTGATATGATATACACTATCTGGTGGGTTGATGGCAGGTATTCTTCCCTCTGCGGCATGAACCCTGCATCGTCCCCCTCCTTTGGCCTTTGAAGCCCCTCAATTCAGAGTACTGTATCTAATCCCAGCAGCTCTGCCTTGAACATGGCCGACGCGGGCACTGGACGCCGGCAGAAGAGGAGATAGCGGTATCAGCAAGAAGAAAAAGACTAAATTGATTGAATGGTCATGCGACCATCAACTGCCAACCTGCAGGCATGACGTGCCTCCTGCATCCGTCACATGCCGGGCTGGAGTTTCTTGTGAGGACAGAGATTGACGTGCTATCCATTTAAACTTATGAAACGTGCGAATCAGACGCGGTTTCAAACCGTCAGCCCGGTTGCAACAACAGGCAAGACTCGTGTTGCTCGTTCCTCGCTGTCGTGATTTGGGAAGTAAGCGACGAGTCCAATGCAGGCTGTTTCCGTGTGACACTATTACTGAGTAAGACGTATGCAAGAATCATGGCACACAATGGTTGAGTCGTTCAGAGGGTGGTTCACTTTGGCACAGACTTAGCCACGGAGCGTTTCGTCAGCCCTCGTAGATCCGACACCATTCTTACCGTTCTTGGGGTCATGTTGCGGACCACAACGGAGCAGTCCACCATTTGACCAAAAACACGCCGGCCTGAGATTCTGTAATCCTGCATAAGACATTTAGACAACTTTAGCCCTGGCGCAGCACGATTGGTCGAGTACAAACAGGCATTTTCTGATAGCATCGACACCGTCCGCAGAGATGTTGTTATTGTGAGATCTAGAGTACGAGGGACGGAGGTCTGTTGCCGGAGCGAGTATACCGAGTACCTCGTAAATACTTACGTGACTCCGGACGGATGCCGATGAAAATTGGTCCCCTCCAAGCTATCGACGGGGATTCATGGAGAGCTGGCGGTCTGGCCCTGTTGGCAACAATCCTGCAACAAGCGACATGCCGTGATTCAAAATTGGCGACAGAACTGGTAAGGGGGATAACAACCCACAGGAATGACTGTAGCCGGGTGGAGTTCTTGGCTTGCTCTTTGGCTGGCTACTCTGTCTCATAGACTGGCATGCGAGTGACTCGGGTGCTCCCTGAAAAAGTTGTTCATCGGAGTGATAGCCACGGTGGACCGGCTAGCAGTGTAGGCGGGGTGGGCCCCCATCAGTAGTGGCAGTAGTGGCAGCTAGCACGCCCATCGCCCGCCCCTCAGTGGTTGTTTTAGGGCTATTGCTGGGGCTTGCCGGGGCCTCTCTGGGCGTCTAGTGCGCAGCGTTGTGGCCTTGATGCTTGCCAGGCGGCGCCTCTGGTGCACGCCTCTCAAATCTCCTCTGCCTCTGCCTGCAAACGCCTTGCCTTGCCTGGCCTTGCCTGGCGTAGCCTCAAGCCTCAATTCGCTGCCAGTCCCAGTCGCAGGCATCCCAGTCCCAAGTTCTGGCAGGGTCCCAAAACAAATCCATCCAAGTCGCGCGCTGGGCAAAGGCCAAAACCAATACCAAAAACTAAGCCAATCCAGTCCAAATCAAACCTGGATCAAGATTTCACCTGGCGAACCCTTGCGCGCTTTTCAAATCTCGTTTCCCTCCCCTGCTCCAGACACTCATCTTCCTCTTTCCTCTAATTTCCATCATCTTGCCCTTCTTCACCTGCTTCTCACTACGAGTACTTCCAATTCAAACTCCAATCCATTTTCTTCTTTAACTCTCCCTCTCACATCAGGAAACTACATCGTGCCTGTTCCAACCACAAGCCTCGTGGTCATCCCTGCCGTTGTGTCAACAAACAAACCACTCTTACTTCATCCTTTCCCTTGCAATCTTCGGATTCATCTTTGTCGGTCTCATCCTGACTCTCATATTTACCGCTTCACGACACTCCCTCAGCACTAGTTTTTCCCACAAGATCTCGGATCGCCGTTTGAGACCGCAGTTGCCTGCATTTCATACCATTACATAATAATATGTCTGTCGAGGCCCCTAAGACCGTTGAAGAGACGCCTGTCGTCGATGCCACCAAGGCTGTGGATGAGCAACCTGAGACGGCAGTGGCGGCACCAGTAGAGAACTCTGCAGCACCCGTTGAAACCGCCCCAGCCACAGAGCCTACACCTGCAGTTGCCACTGAAGAAACAGGTGCAACTCCGGTGACTGAGGAAGTCAAGAAAGATGAGGCCGTGGAATCGGTCCCCGTTTCAGAAGGCAACCTTGGATACAAGGAACCTGGTTTCTTCAAGTATGTGGTATTATGGCGTGATCATGGAAGCTGATGCACTGACCGCACCTTTAGGAAATTCATCTATAGCAAACATTTCTTCTGGTTCTCTGAGGAGCCATCCAGCACTGAATCATTGAGCGCTTTCCTTCGACAGGAGAAGGAGAAAGCTGATACCAAGCACTCTTCCGCTGCCTGGGCACGTGAGACAGGTAAGGGGCTGCTCTTCTACGCAAAGAGACCCGAGGACAAAGCTAGCCCCGCTGGCATCATCAACTTGGTAAGAGGAACCGCAAATCCTTTGGTCGAACAGCTAGTAACATGAAAATTAGTCGGAGGCATCAGCTGTGACCAAAGAAGGACTGCAATTCTCATTCAGAGTGGGTACCCACCAACACCGCTTCGAAGCCACTACTTCAAAAGAGCGCGATGGCTGGCTTGTCGCAATTGAGAAGGCAATTGAAGAAGCAAAGGAGCTGAAAGACGAGCTCACAGCCCGTGAAAGCTACAAGAAAAATGTCGAGGAGTACTGTAAGTTGATGGTTTTTTAGAGCTACAACGGGTCCCACACATGATCGTCGGCTAATGCAACCCTAGCTAAACCCACCATTGCTGCTCCAGTCGTGCCGAAGACGTCCCGCTCCAAGTCCAAGGAGCCCAAGAAGTCTATTGACACGGCTACCGCCACTGCTGCCACCACTACCGCACCAGTTGCTGCTGAGACTGCAAGCACTTCATCCAAGAGCTCTGACGAGGCAACTAAGACTGCGAAGAAGGATAAAGAACGATCCCAGTCCCGCAAGCGTGGCAGCATTTTCGGAAATTTCCTTGGCAAGAAGGACGAACATGCTGAGAAGAAGGAAGAGAAGGTAGAGACCAAGAAGGAGGTGAAGGAAGAGAAAAACATCGAAGCCGAAGAGAAGAAAGAGGAGGCCAAGGCGAGCGATGAGCCAACCGCTAAACCCGCCGTCGAAGCTGCCGAGGCATCCGCCGCAGCCGCCGCGGTTACTGTTGGTAAGTTTATTCCACGATGTAGTGGAACAATTGCTGACGTGAACACTACAGCCCCTGCTGCTGTCGTTGCTACCTCCGACAAGAAGGAAGACAAGGAAGAGGGAACTCCAAGTCCCGCCGAGAAGAAGAGCAAGCGTGGCTCTGTCTTCGGTAGCTTGTTCAAGAAGAACGTGACAAGCCCAACCACTGAGAAGACGGAGAAGGATGCTACCACCTCCGATGTCCCTCCCGTCTCTGAGACTGCTCCTAAACTTGATGAGCCCATTGAAAACAAGCCCATCGATACTGCTGCTGTAACTGCTCCTGCCGACAACGTTGAATCACCTGCCGCATCTACCGAGCCAACCAAAGATGCCACCACCCCCGCTGCCGGCGATACTGCTACCACTCCCAAGGCCGAGAAGAAAGGTGGCATTCTAGGTTTCATTAAGAAGACCGAGGCCAAACTTGAGGGCAAGAAGGAGCACAAGGAGGAAGCCAAGGAAGAGCAGGCTGGTGAAACCATCGCAAAGGATCCAGTTGCCGCTGCTGCGGTCCCAGAGACTTCTACTGAACCCACCACCACTGACAACGCCATTGAAGCTGCTAGTAAAGAAGAGCGCCCTGCTCGTGACAACCAGCGTCGTACATCTCTCTTCTTCAAGAATAAGAAAGAGACTACCAGTGATGCTGAAGGTACGACTGAGACCAAGCGTGAAAAGTCTCCCCTCCCAGGCAAGTTCATTGGCAATCTTGTGCGTCGCGCTAGCAAAGCCGTCAAGTCTGAGCCAAAGGAGAAGTCTGCCACCGAAGCCGCCCCAGCTGAACCTGCCACCAAGGAGGTACCAGTCGAAACCACTCCAGCTACCACTGAAGCCACTGAAAGCAACATTGTCGGCGATGTAGTCCCAGAAACTCTCCACACCACTCCAGAAACTGCTGCTCCTGCAGTTGCCCCTGAGGTCAAGGCGACGGCTTGAAGGTCCGACGAGGCCAGAGAACAAAGTCCACGCACATCTCTGTCACATCCATCTCGGCTATCTCGAGCGGCTAGTCCAGTTGAGTTCGAGAAGTGGTGGGACCAGAAGACTTACAGTACTCCGGTACCTCCTCGTAGCCCTTCTCGTCTCTCTGGCCTCGTTGTTTAGGTGGCGGCATGGTTTGATCAGCAACCCCGGATTTATGATTTGAGATTCCCAGGTCTCACTCATTGACGACAAACTCGATCATCACTCTTTTCTATGTCATTGTTTTTGCTTTCAGGATACCCCACATCACTAGATCGACATTGCTATTTTGTTTGATTGGAATTGCTCTTGCGCCTGCTTTTTTCAGTACAGATACCCCACTTAGGCAAGGTCTTGTCCTTACGAGAGATACCCCAAGCAAATCAATCAGTGCTTACATCATGGGACGAAAGGAGGATTTTACGTTGCATGGAATTGGGAGAGGCTTATTAGTCCTTGGTGATCACTTCCTTGATGGAAAAATTGGTCCTGGAACTCCGTGTGCATGCCACTTTGGTTGGTATGTTGACATGTCGATATTTCGTTGCTGCTAGGAAGGGAAAGAGGTGTCCAATTGACTTCGTTGACAACGACCAATGCTAGGGGATCTAGAGGTATTATCATATCTTGGGATCTTGGGATCGGCCTTGGAGGCACTGTGGTTTGGAGCCTCAGGTTTGAAGCTATAGCCATTGTGCCTCGCACTTCTGCAATGCAGTGCAAAGCAGAGCAACAGGGTGTTAGCGTAGAACTAGGACCAGGAAGCGTAATAGCTAATAAAATGAAAATTGTTTGTTTGCATGTAACGAGAGGCTCGCTCTGTTGGTTCTTTTCTTGATACCTGACCTGGTGGACAAGCTACGACTGGCTCCCAACATAAACATACGGTGGCTCCGCTCCTACTCGCCCGCCAATGCTGTACGATGTCTATTGCTAGAGACTCGCATATATCAGGCGATTTCACTGTGGGCCAGATTCGGTTCAGCACAGCTGACCGAGGGAGTTGCTCTCTAACTATCTATCCATAGACTGTCATATATGTAGCAACGACGACTCTGAAGCCTGAAGCTAGTGCCCTTACCGAAATCCATATATTCCCCGATCTCAGTGGAGAGCCGAATTCCTCTCGTTCCCTCCCTTCTAACTGCTGTAGCTTTGTCGTATTCTTGTCTCGTCTCCTTTTGCCCTTGAGCAGGTACATGGATACATGTAATACAGGACAGTCGGTTTCGCTTTTTCTCTTTCTGGCTGTCGAGGTTTAGCGGCCAGTCTCCCGCCTCTTTTCCTAGGCTACCCCAGGCGGAGATTCCATAGCTTTGCAGTGTCTTGTATATTTCCATTCCGCTCCGCTCGGTGCGAAGTCCTATTCGAGACCGAACTCGGTCGCGTGCGTGTCCCAAGCGTGGAAAACTCGTGCCGAGCAAACAGGCTGCCGATACTTCCCATTCCACCTTCCTCAACGACCCTGTACCAATGAAGCCGAGTTTGCCGGACAGGCTCCTCGATCATCGGGAGCATGGAGGTGTTCATCCAACCTTGGAGCGAGTGATCCTGGATGAAGTCATTTGTATCAGGCCGCAGCCCATGTCTCGACGATTTCGGCGAATTCGCTTCCTCACGTAGACATCAAATCCCGGGGTCAGGCTCAAAGTCGTGTTAATGGCCCCTCTAGAGATTCTTGAGGCCATAACGTTTCGTCTTGTTAACGGACGGGAGGCCTGCGAGTCCCGCCTCATCATCTGGCTACGAGATTGATCACCGAGGTGGGCACACGCGCCCGCGTTCCAGGTCCCCTCTCTTGCGATTCGCTCGATTCGCGTCATTGGGGTCGAGGGTCGCAAGTAATAGCGGCGAGGGCGTCTCATGCTTCCGACCTGAGCGTTTGCTTGTGCTTGTCTGTCGTCAAGCGCCCACGTCATGTCTGCTGCTTTAAAGACAACACTCCTCTTGAGGTCTAATTGATTTCAGGGAGCGTCATCACAGACACGGATGGCGAACTTCGGATGGCACCGTGGCGGCAACTTTGCAAATGTACAGTCAGACTGTAATTCTGACCAACATCTCTCCTCTTCCGCCGTCTTGACTGTAATTCTCTCGGGGTAGCCGCTGAGTAGATCTTGCCAGCACAAAGCCCCTGATCCTCGTCCCTATCGCCAAGTCTCGGCAGAATCGACTCGCAGCTCGTATCAGGTTCCCTCTTGATTGGAACGCTTATAAGAGAGACAGACGGCTCAAAGCACTGGCCAGACGAGAAGCTGGAATGACGATGCAGGTAAGAGGCCAGGCTTAGCATAATGCAACCGCCAACTCAGTAAGTCCCCTCGGCCCTCATCGAGAGCTGGGATTCCATCCCCTGTGAATACAGACAGTCACTGAGAGACAACTTGGAATGTTGGATCTATGCCCACTTCGCCCTGTCCTTCATAGAGCGGGAGTGAGCGCTATTCTGTGCTATCGATGAGCTTGGTCGTCCGTTTCTCTCGGGTACCTGTTCTGTAGCACATTCGGCCAGGAACCTGGGAGGCTTAGCTGAGCAAATTCGATATGTACCGTGTGCACGGGAGTGCACTTGCTCTCTCTCTCTCTCTCTCTCTCCCTCACTCACCCCAACTGCCCCGCCTGAAGACTCTCACACACTCTAGAGCTTCTAGTCAATCATCAAGCCAATAATGGCACACCGTATCCTGTCCTACACAAACCTTAGGAACCCACCCGTCTTCCAAGATCAACAATCGTGTAGTACAACCCTGAATCCGACAAATGACTCTTGTGGCAAAACACCCTCCAGAAAAGGACGGGCTCCCGCCCCATATTCATGAAATGCTCGGAAGTGCAGCAATCGAAAAAGTAACCAGCCCGAAGTCTCAAGGGTCGACGAGGGACCCGTAGCCTCGATGCCTGAATCCAGAAATCCAACGGCCCCGATTCGGAAGAAAACGACCCAGCAAACTAGTTGGATCTAAATCCTTAGTTCGAGAATCGAGGAATGAACGACTGCACGGCGTGGCGAGTTAAGACGCTGCTAAACCAAACCAAACCGCCAAACCCATCAAACGACTCGGACGTTAGTTGGCAAGCGGGGCCTCAGCCTGCCTGCCCGTGCTTAGAAAATCCCCGCGGCCGGAAACAATTCGATGTCTTTCACGAGATACGATGAATACAATGGTCATAGAAGATCGGTCCATAAACCAGAATGTAGACATGACTTTGATGCCTTTTCGGGGGGGGGGATCATAATGGTCCGCTTGCTGGCTTGCAGAAATAAGTGGATCTTTGGTGCCCAAGAACTGCCTCTGCAGTTGATGATTGCTGCAATCACACAGGCGCCCCTCCTATGCGGGCATTAAGACCGCTCACACCTACGCCTACGCCTTAGAATCTCAAGCATTAAATAGAACAAAATGTGCATGAAGGAATGAGTTGCTTATTGACTTCGCAAACTCCTGCTAGAAGAGTAAGGGAGGATCTGGGTGCTAAAAGCTATCAAGCTTAACTATGAAAAAAGAACGGCGGTCGAGACGTCATGGAATTCCTTGAACCCAACGACGAATCGCCTCGTGAAAGAGTGCAAAAACTCGCTCACGGCCACGAGTCAATCCCTAAAGGCTTCATCACATCAAGATGAAAGTCATGGGAGACGGTCAGAACCGGCCGAATACACCAAAAAGAAAAGGTCGACCACAGATCAGGAGAACAAAGCCGCAGTCAAGGGTTTGTGATTCCAGCTGTGTCGAGATACCTGCGACGTAACTTGGATATAGGGGAAGCCTGAGGATTCTTGTCAGAATCAACATCAACCCCGATGGTCGCATGTCCCAATATAAAATCATGAACTGTAAGGAAACGTAGACGAGAAAGTTGGGAGGCAGCCCTGCTGGCTTCAGCCTTTGAATCCCCAACCCCAAGCGTCCTGCTGCTGTTCGTTGGCTACCACTGGGGTAGTAACAGCTTCGTTGTCGTCCAATTGTGCTTTGCAAACAGAACAGAAAACAATGCAATTTCCACATACCCGTCTTCCTCGACGGTTCAAACAACCCCTGAATGACCCAAGTCACTGCCCTTCGTCTGGATCACCACCCATTCGATAAATCATTGCTCGGAGACGTTGAATTTCGGCATCGCTGGCTTCAGCGTGTTCCTGCTTGCGCATACGACTCTTACGTGCAGCCGCAGTATTCTTCTTCCGCTTCGCAGTTTCCTTGTCATCCTCGCTGTCGATCGTGATCTCTGGCAAGGACTTACGGCTCTTGGCCTTGTTGATACCATAAGTATCAGAGTGCTTCCGACCGTGACTGAAAGGAATGGAGGGTGGTCGACCAGGAGAAGACTTCTGTCGGATCATGGGAGAAGCGTTCGACGGTGGTCGAGAGTTAACGGCGCTCAAGCTTCGGCCCACAGATTGCTCAGGAAGAACTGCAGACTGAGCGAACTGATCAAAGCTGTCACCCGGAGGGAAGAGTGGAGCCATGCTATCAAGATCATGGAAATTGAGTTGGTCGTCGAGTAGACCATCCTCCAAAGGAGAAGTGTTCAAGCCCGTGGCTGGAGACTCAAGATAAGCGGAATCCGGAGTGCTCAAATTGGGAAAAGCTGTCGATGGCGGGGCCGACATGACTATAGAGTCATCGTTGAAGAGGTCGGATGGAGAAATTGTGCCATCATGATGCTCGAGCCCGGAGTTCACAGCGGTATGCTGGAAGTTGGTGTCAAAATCCAAGAACTCATCATGGGAAGCGAACATGTCGCTTCCCGGAAGATACATCGAGTCAAAAGCGGTCGTCATAGTGCCTGAGGGGGTAGTCAGTGATCTACCCTGGCGGGATGGGCTACTGTGAGAGCTACCTTGAGGAACACCAGGCGCTGACTGAATTCTGCGTGATCCTGAGTTAAAGGGAGGTACAGGTGGGAGTTGCTGCAAATGAGCGAGTTGACGCAAATTTTGGGGTTTGTTCTGTGTGAGTTGCAAAGTTGGACTGGAAAAAGACCTTTTGTTGAAAGAGTTGAATTGCCCTAGAGATGGAGACTGTGTAGATTGAACTGGAGGTACTCTGCTATTGACCGAGAGATGCCGAGATTGAATCTGGCGTTGTCTATTAGGGATTATACTCGAGGTCGCCTGCGCACGCAAGGCAGTCGTCGGATTGATTGCCTGGGTCTCCGAAGCGGCGAAGAGTTGAAAGTCCTGGTTGAAGCTGTTGTAATTGGGCTGCGCTATAGCAGGTGATCTTGGGGTTGGGGAACGCCATTGTTGATTAAGATCCGTGGTGAAGGTTGGAAAATCCAACGCGTGAATGGTTGCGGTTGTGAGTGAAGAGCTCGAAGCGCGAGAAGCGATGAGATCTTTGTTCACAGAGACTCCGGGTGGAGACTGTGGACTAGGGTTGAGTTGAGAGGGAGTGGTTTGTAGTGGGGTGGTGACGTGAGAGTCTATCTTGCTGGTGAGCGAGACAGAAGGGGTGAAGCTAAAAGACTCAGAACTCCATGGTCTTGGAAGTTCGTTTGCTGATACTTGGTAAAACAATGTAGGGGTGAAGGGAGAAAAGAGGGAGAAGAGTCAGGCAGAGAAAACGGGAAGTGGAATTTTTTAAGAGTTCGAAGCAGGCACCAGAGGGCGATTGTCAGGCAGGTGCAACGGAAGGCCACGGTGAGCCTTGGCGGTCGAACTAAGCGCTTTTGGGCCTGCGCAGCTCTCGAATTTCTGACCCCCTGCGCGTAGGTACCAATCACAGCCACGTATTCTCACGGAAACAATATTCCCCACTATCCTGCGGAGGCTAAGCGATTGGTCCTTCCGCTGTGACTCATATATGAGGGTCCCTTCCAGTTCTCAGTCGGATGGTTTATTGGTCTGTATTGTTGGCCTTACCTCTTGTAACTTGTAATGTCAAATATCTCAGTCAGATCGTAGGTGGAGGAAACGCCTGCAATCATAGTGGCATCGAGTCTGGAAGAAACCACTTTGCCCTATATCTTCTATGTTTCTGACCGAGTCAGCTCCAAAGGAGGCGGCATCGAGCACACAGAATTCGCAGGCCCATCCCACTTTATTGTATTCTATCTCAAAAGGCCCAAACTTCCTGTTCGCAATATTGGCGAGAAACTGAGGCAAAGATCGCATATTTGATGCTGACAAACACGATGAACGATCCTGCAGCCCAGCTCCTGAGATTCGGTGCAGTAACCCTCTCCTCGAACTCAAAAGACGATTGCACAGGTGTTGCATTTCCTAAAACGGCAGCAGGGAACCGGGAATCAGACGTTAATGTTGAAATGACAGTAATATCATCATTACCTTGGGATTCCCATCTGACCTGACAGGTTGACACTGCCACCACAATACAACAGAATTCGTTAATTAAACCGTTAACGGGCACGAGCAAGGCACAATCTCACGGTTGGCCACAAGTTGCTTGACGAAGGTGCTGCGCATTCCTGGGATGCCTGGCATTGCACAAGACCCGTACTAAACACCTGTTGGCCTCAATGTTGGAGCATCCAGAATCGAGGCTTTGGAACGCCCGCCCACTTATTTTTCATGTGGTTTCACACAAGTGCGAACGAGGTCCCACTGCTTGGGCTACTTGTCGGGGGGCTTGGGGCCGTTATACGCAGTAATCACTGCGAATGGATCGCCATACCTTTGGTGCGATTCCCACGAACTTCCCGGTAGAGACAGGAAGCTTCCCTCGCCGATTGGAACGTGCTGCGCATTAACAGTTGTCTGCGCCCTTTGGCATACAACTGTCCATTCGTCCCCTTCCCTTCGCCCACATGAAAATCTGGCAAGCTAGTATAATAGAGCAACGATGAGAACAAGCATCCTCCCTATTTCACGTCAACTTCACTCAGTCCATCAATTACCAGAGAATGCGCAATTCGCGTGTCCTTGATAGATTGGAAAATGTGTGACTCCTGCCTAAGGCTAAGCTGAATCGGAGGCTAAACTACCACTCCCGGGTACCTCGCAACTCGGGAGTCAGCTACTCCCTCCAAAGCCCCAGCCGGTCCCTGAAGCCAATGCAAAGTGACGTCCATGATCCCAGTGGGCCACCAGATGCTTACAGGACAGTGTAATGCTCGCGAAGCTGATAGGAGGAATCAAAAGCGCGCAAATACAGATGGGCACGCTTGTGTTCTGCGTGGAGTTGCATTGCATGTAAAAGGGTCGATACGAGGGTGCAGTTGCAGCGAGATGGGAAATCCCAATGCTGGAACCCCAGAACGGTTTGGGATGGTGGAGGTTCAACACGGGAGAGGAAAGCTTGTGATAGATCCCACAGGCAATGTAGAAAAGAGCACAGCCCTCTGCGGGTTCCATACTCCACTGTGCGGAGTTCGGCCCTGGCCTTCCAATCCCTCCATTGAATGCTGAAGCGGGTGACCGGTCGGGACATTGAGCCTCTAAATTGAATCGACCAATTTACGAGAATGAGGTATGACTGTGTTTTTGACTCCTCCTCCCAATTCGTTACGGAGTACTTTCGGTAGACTGCGCTTCCTAGGATTGAAGCCCTTCTCGCCCTGAATACCAGGCAAATTAGATGCTCTCCGGATGGGGTACTAAGAACAAGGAACCTCATAGTGAGGGATGATCGGACCCGAACTTGGAATCAAGCGCGGGACTTTGTGTTCACCAGAGCCGTCGTATTCGCGTTCACAATCATTCCCGATACTAACCACTATTAATTTGGTTCTTGGTATCTCGCACCGCAGCGCCCCAAACGACGCGGCACATATGATGGAAAACCTGTTTCCATGCATACCTCGGCATAATTCATACATATCCTAGATTACAAACCGAGGCCGGCACCGACGGAGTAGATAACATTATGTAAGCGTCGCTTTGGTAAGGCTCTAACCGACAGCTCTGTGTCAAGGTTATTATTTCATTTCTCCGCGAATTGACCGAGAAAGACATAGCACCCCCAGAGAGTCAAGAGTGGGTGATTATCGATGTGTTATTTGCCCAAACGCAAATAGCCAGTATCTCCAGCGGGTCTGGTCGTGCCAAGTCTCTGTCAATTGTGAGGATCTCCGGACCTGCATCTCATCTCTTGGACCTATTCCGCCGCCATTGACGCAGTTGTGAGTTGCTCCAGACCTCTGACAAGCGCCCATGGATTCTGCTCATCGCCAACCTTCTTCTCCCCGGTGAATATCTCCTGGACCTGTTGAACCTCGGCTGTGAGCAGAGTATCCAGCAAATCCTCTGCAAATTGCCATCTCAGTTTGCGAGTCTCGTCACCACCCTTCTCATCTCCGGATCCCTTTCTTAACATGTTGCCCCTTGCATCCTCGACCTGTGACCTCAAGTCTCCCAATTCACGCTCCAGATCACGTCCTTCCTGCTCAGCCCATTGAATTTGGCGCCGTAAGAGAGCAAAGTACTGCGACGGGGGCAGGTCCCTTTCATACCCGTCCATATCATCCCAGATATCGGGTGGATAAAAGTCCTTGGGAATGGGCAACCCGAAAGGAATGCTGTCTACGTCGACGGCATCGACCAGCTCCTCAGACCCGTCCACATCGGCCATCTCAATGTCTTCTGGCTTGATACCCATCATTGCAGCTGTGTAACGAGTCGGAAGGGGTGGTAAATCTCCCAGGAGACTGGCCTTTTTATCGCCGTTGCTCTTCCCCCCCATGGTCAATTTAAGCCGTTTCAGTGGGCCACCACCTCCATTCGAGATACCACCTGTGTGCCCGCGTGGAACAGGATCACTGGGTCTCAAAGCCTCCGTTTCGTGGACCGTTCGCATGTGCTTCGCAAGGGCATCGGACCGGGTAAAGCTACGGTCGCATTCAGGGAGCTGGCACATGAATGGCTTTTCCTTGGTATGGCTTCTCATATGTGCTTTGAGTGCATAGGCACTCGTATGGGGCTGTCCCTTCCTAATACACCCCTCCCATTCGCAGTAGTATTTCTTCTGACGAGGCACAATATGTACGTCATTGATATGAGAGACCAGGTTGTCCATGTTTCCCTGCTCACGGTCCGTGCAGCCATCCCAGAGACACCTCGTCACCTGAACGTAGTCTGCCAACTCGGGATTCTCAGGGTTGGCTTGTGCGGCCGCATAAGCGGTGGAGAGAGGATGAGTAGGCCCAAGATGTGCAAAAGAAGGGGAAGTCGGGACTGAGCCATCGGTGTCGCTGGAGATGGACCCCGTTGGTGACCTTGGAGGAATGGCTGTAGACGCAGATTGGGGGGTTGTATGATCGTAGCTTGATGTGCCTGTTTTGCGACGTTTTGCAGGAGGCATGCCGGCGTTGCGCGCAATGTTGCTTACTAGAGAAGTTGTGTCATCATCTGAGGCTGAAATGGTGGAGTCACGCGAATGAGAGCGCGATCGATTGTTGAACTTGACATCCTCTGGAAATTCGTCCGAGTCGATATCAGACAACGGGGACCCCGATGCCGGGGTCTCAGGTTCTTGTGACATTGTCATGAGACGGAGACTAATCCCTAGGTGACATTTGAGCAGAATAAATTGACTGGATGTGATGATAAATTCCCATGCACGGGAAAGGGAGTGCTATGGTTCAAGACAGATATGGTGGAAAATGATGGTCAACGTCAACGCAGAAGGGGTTGTGGACTGTTATTTCATCGGCAGACTTGCCGTCTACGGAGGACATCGAGATGCTCGCGTTCTAGTCTTTTGTCTGGCGACCCACGCACATGGACATCCAGTTCCTCACCATCACCACAATTTAGCCTTTCCTCTCTTCTAGTGAAAAAGGAGTCATGCTGCCTGGAGGCTAAGCGTTGAGACGTGGGTGCTTAGTACTCTAGTCTACAGGAGAAACTAATTACTTTACACTATAAAAACTTCTCTAGGCGGTGCCTAAATCCCCTCTTCTCCCCATCAATCACTTCGACCTCTCCACTTCCAGTCTCCTCCTCTGACCCCGGAACCCCGTCCTGCTGAGCAAATATCTCATCGGGGCGTACAGGCGTTGCAATGAAGGTCTCCTTTGCTGGGAACACAAGTGATAGGACGGTGTAAACAAGCGCCGTACCACAAAAGCCAAGGAGCCACCCAAATTGGTAAGGGTGAATGCCAACACCAACATCAACATTATTGTTTATACCGTTGATGAAGCCAGGCAAACTGGGCGCCACCCCGCTGAGAAATGCTACTATCGCTCGCCAGTTGACACCGTAGGTGTAACGATATATGCCGCAAGGGTTATACAAGGCGATCGTGTCATATTTTCTCTTGTGGACCACCCAGAAATCAAACAGCATGATTGCAGCTATTGGACCCAGGAAAATGGCATAAGCCGCCATGAAGTTCAGGAAGTTGCCTGCTGATTTCAAGATTTTCCATGGCACTAGTGCCCAGCAAACCACGGCGCAAATGAGTTGCCCTCGACGAATATTGATGAACTGAGGAGCAAGCGCCATTAGGTCATTCGCTGCTGACAAGCTGTTAGCACTGATGTTTACCCCCAATGCAGCCAGTGCGAAGGAGAACGCAGCGAAAAATCGTGCTGCTCGATTGTCCCAATGGGAAACCAAAGCCATCGGATCCCATTCTAGTGTCCCATAGTGGTAACCTCCAGCTGATGATGCGGCGATACCGATAAAGGCTATAAAGGTGAAGAACAGTGGCAACATGGGGACATAGACACATTGCCACTTCACAGAGACCCGTGAGTATCTGGAAAAGTCGGCTTGATTGACAGAAAGTGTTGCATAGTTGCCGATAACCGAAGTCATCGATGACAGGAAAGCCCAGCTGTAGGCAGATCCAGACACCGATGCAGTTTGATCGAAGATATGACCACCTTTCGATGAAGCGAGTGCCCAGATCATTATTGCCAGCCAGGCAGCAGGGACGATGATCGATTTTGCCATGAAGAGAAATCGCAATTGGTTGGGATGCATGAAGAGGAACGGGAGCTGGCCCAGCCAAAACAAAAAGAACGAGATCATCGTCGCATCGTCGATGCCCTGGGACTCGGGTATATGATTTGGCAGAGTCAAGAAAGACGGCCAAATGGCACCAATCATAACGCGCACTGTGTTCGCCCCGTTCATTGTCTGGATCGCAAACCAGAAAATAGCAAGAATGGCTCGCGAGATGATGGCGACGTACGAGCCCCAAAACCCCCAGCTTGCTCGAGCGATGACGGGAAAGGGGACGTGGTGAAGGACACCAATAGCGCCATTGAACGCGATCTGAATATCATTTGATATCAATGTCATGGGGCATAGTTAGACCTCCGCCGTTTACTTACCACAAACGAGATTATGAAGAAACTTAGCGCGACAATTCCCAAACTCTCACGCCAGGTCAATCCGACGGCGATGATGCCAGCTGCGAATTGCCAAGTTGCTGCATTGAACTATAACATGTCAGATCTTGTGGTTTACGTGTCCAAAATGCATTCCAACCTACCGCATCAGAAATCCAATAGCTGATGAACGATGTGACACCCCATTTCCTTCCCGCTGGCGGAACAGGGTCAAGGTCTTTGTTAGTCCTGGTCAATTTGTCTCATCAGCGGAATGTTCAAATGACAATTGCGACATCAAGTCGCAATCCGGAATGCGAAAGTCATGTTGGACACGGTAGCAAGCTTACCATCTCTCATTTCCTGCCGCGAATGCTGATCTAGGTTGTTCGACCTTTAGGTGTGGTCTCTCAATTCTTGGAATTCGAAGCCCCATCTTCACCGTATTAAGTGCTGAACCGATGAGGGATGGAACGAATTGTGTAGGATGGACGTTGAATTCTCAAGCTCGTCAGCTGAGGAAAGGCAGCACGAACATATTTGAACCTTGAGCACAGACCCCTTTCCCAAGCTCCGACATTGTTATTGGCTGGCTTGGAGCGTTATCGAGCCAAGAATTATTGGACAGTACATATCTCACCTTACCCATCATCTCTTGAGCCTTGACGGCAGCTAACACGCGACATTGATCGGCATTGAATCACGCGTGGCATCAACGTACGAAGTCGGGGAGGTGTCTTAAAGTCATTAGTACAGGACTTCTTTGCCTTTCTCGCCTTTTGGCCATGCCAGCCAAGGTACTGGGCAAGGCCCCATAGATAAGGGAATCCCAGTCTAACTCGACGAGGCAGGTGAGGATTAAGCATAGGCGATCTCCTTTCCCGCTTGGCCTATGATAGTCACCCGAGATAGCGGGCTTCTCCATGGGCCAGAACCCTAGCGGCACAATCCATCTGGGCCCCTGTTCAACGCAGCCTTGCAGTTTGATGGCCACAGTGTGTGGGAACTTTCGGTTCTGGACAAGGCTACGGTCACTTAGATATTCAACAGGCGTCCAAACCTTATATATCGTACACTGCAATAGCTCTGAGTTTGCTGCTCAGCCGAGGGCAACAAAGCTTTATCAAGAAGGGGCGTTCAAAAACATTAATACTAGTATTGGTCATCGCTGTGAGAATGTCGACTCGTTTGCACGAACCTTATCATTTGAAATCGCACATATACCTCATTAGTCTTGAAAAAAAGATTCTCAAGTGATAAACTGAGTATTCGTTGAGAATCGCCATGGCACCTACTAAGTCTACTGCGACCATGATTGGGAGCTCCAGAAGTGCGCGCGTTGGGCCTGACGTCGATGATTTTGTCATGAAGACTATCCAGAGCAAGGCAAAGCTGGACGGTGTCACGGTATCAAGATCTCCGCGGTCGATATAGCCGACTTCAAGCTTCTCGTATATGATGAGCCCTCGATCCCGGCCATGATGCCTGACCCCGACAATACGCACGAGCGCAGCGATGATAGGCCGACAGATTGACAGCCACGCGGCCTGTGTGCTTGTGAGCTACGAATACAACTACGGCATGTCGGGTGTTGTCAAAAACGCCTTCGACTTTGCCTTTGGTCCATGGAAAGAAAGGCCAATCGCCATTGTCACATACGGCCTTGACGGCGGCAAGACTTTGTCGGAACAATTCAATGATACACTCGGCAAGATGAGCCTGAAGGTACGAGATCTTGCTCTTTTCCGCAACTGAGTCACAGGTACTTGCTTCGTCACCTGTCACCCCTTGCGCCTAGCAGAACTTACCAGGAAGGCAGCTTATCGAGGCACATATGCTGACGATTCGACGTGATCACAGGTTTCTTCAACCCCACCCCAATTCGCCTTCGTGGGTGGTCTCACGGGTGCTGATACCGGGCCAGCCACATTGACTGGGAAACTCGTCAAGGAGTCGCTGGACAGGTGCACTGACAAGGCGGCTGAAGATGTTATGAAGGCAATTAAGGATGTTGTCGCAAAAGCTCTGTCACTACCAACCGGAACTAAAGCGTAAAAGGCGTCCGAAGTATGTACTTGATCCCGAGATTGTGGATCAGCTACGCAGAATATTGGAACGTTTTAGATTCGCATGGAAGCCTATGTTGCCCTACCAAGTACCATAGGTGATTTACGATTTACAGCTTAGGTCTAGTCCAGTAATAGTACAGAACAAGGGTAACAGAACGTGCTGGTTCTGTCCTGGAACACGTACCTAGATACCTAAGTAACATGTAGCAAGTGCACAAAGACTTCGGTTCATCATATTTGGGTACTCCTTCTTTCGCAGTTGATAAGTTATTTCACCAAGCCTTGTTCCTGTCCAAGGAACGTACCTACGTATTGACTAAGTAGGAAGCTAGTTGGGTCGGAGGGTCTTTCCTTTGGCAATGATTTCATTGTGCCGTGTAGCTACAAATGCACTGTTAACGAACCTATTCTAGTACCCAAACCGCACACGAGCTGTGATAACCTTTCGGTAGTACCATTTTCACATCCAAACATCATTCATGTCTCTCTATTGACACTCGAATCCCAGCGTCGAGCGTCGACGCGCCTGATATATGTGTAAATAGTGCACCGCACGGCTTCTATGGTGGCTTGGCTAACGATACGATCCTCGACTTCAGGACTCCGATCTATGGATGGTTCAAAGGTCAATTTTGCCATAGCCACGCACTGCAAGCTTACCTTTACGCAGAACACAACCACCAAACTGATCACAGCAAACCTCAACACCAGCACTGTTCGGGTTGCAGTGCAACTTTTGAGACGAAGGGACATTCCTTTGGGGTGCAGAGGCCGACAACTAGGACTTCCAACAACGCCGAGCACTGGGCTACTCGGCGATGACTCTGGTCCTGGATCTGTGCAAAATAGTGCCGAAATCGATAAAATTCAGTCTCTGATCTTTCTACATCTCAATGTAGATATCTCTAGCCTAGCGTAGTCTACAACCACATCTATGTGATTAATCAGAAAATGACGGCTAAATGGCAAGCGAAAGTCTAAAACCGTCAAGCCGATCCCTTCTGCAGCATTTACCTCTACTTCAACTTCCTTGGAACGGTCCCTATTGACAAGGAAGAGAGATCTGGAACGATGTCTGGGAAATATATAACCCCCCGTTCTCGCCTTGAACGCCTGATAAATGTATTAAAGCTCAATTAACACAATGTTGTGTTCCCATCAGCTCCATGGTTGCGCTCCCGGATCTCCAATATACGGATTAAGCACCCACTCGCAACAGGGTCTAGTTAATTCCCCATAGGCCCCTCTTCAGCAAGGTGCTTGGCCACGCTCGGCGGAATCTCATTGCGATTACTGGGGTCCTCGGCTTTCACCTAGCCCAGGCTATGCAGGCATACTAGAAGTCTAGGTTTGGAAGAAGCAGAGAGCCTCAGGATCTTTCCAAACGAGACTGTAGAGATTCAATATTTGACAAGAGTTCTTTAATATAACTTCAAACTATCACTCGACGCGCGCCGCCGTGGTTATATACCACCGGCTGATCATAAAGGCAATGATGTTATGATCCGAGCTGCAAGGAGTCTGACCAAGGTGGGTGCCTTGATAGAGTGGACACAAGAGTGTTGGCCAGGATGGCAAAGAGAATATGCAATCTTCGGACTGTGATGGGAAGGGGACATGGTGATTCCCAAGACGGTCCGAGGGACTGGTAAGACTGTATAGCATCCTAAGTACGTACTAGACTAGCGCCTAGGCGCTCTCGGCTCCGCTTCAGATAGTGTTTAAATAGCTCTCTAAGCTAGTTTAGATGGCGTCGAAGCGATATAGTAGACCACGGTCTTGATAATCGCTTAGTATCGCTAATCACAACACATATGCTATTAAAGAAAGTATGAGTTTAAGTAATAACTTGCCTCCGTGAAACATACCTCGAAAAATCGGAGATTAACCCCATTCTTGTTGGACAAGGTTAGGCCCAGATGTTCTCCCCATTCTCGCGAATCATCATGGTCGATCATTTGGAAACTTTGAACTAGTCTGACTATAACGTAAGATGCCTGAATCGTGGCGTAGTGCTCTATTTGCAGCGGTCAGAGGATATGATTTGGAACGGGTTCGAATCACCTACGGCCAAGGCAAGCTCTAGGGCCCAGATTAAAAGGTATGAAGCCATCGGCTTTGATGCTCTCCCATCTTTCAGGGCGAAACTGACGGGCGTCCTGTCCATATATACTCAAACTCCTGTGGCTTCCCCATGAAGAGAATACGACCATTTGGCCCTTTCTCACAAACACTGGCGCTTGCCTACTCGCGCCACCACCGGTGGGTAGCCAGGTCTCAACGTTGGCAATCCGCGCGTTAAAAGGAACTGGAGGCAGCACTCTCATGACTAGATGGGTTAGACATGATAGGTGAGTTTTCAATATACAATTTCACCAGGACACTACCACTCACCTTCGTTTAGTACGTGGCGAAGGTAGCTCAAACTCTTCAGCTGATCGTACGTCGGCGTTACTTTCTCATCGCCAACAGTTTCGAGGATAACTCTCCGCAACTTGTTGTAAACCAGAGGGTGTCGCGCTAGAAGCCAAAATGTGGCAGAAAGGACTTGTGCAATGGAGCCAATTCCAGCAACAAGCACAGTTAACAGACCATCAACCACTTGTTCAGTATCAGTTGTATTCTGGATTAGAGAGTTCAGGAGGCAGTGTCTCTCTCCCAACGCCGGATCCTCGATCTTCTCGTCTCTGTCCAATTGAGCCAACTTTAGACTAACGACACCACCGAGGAAGTTGCGGATGAAAGAGCATGAAGCATGAAACTGTTTCTTTGATGTAAGTATGTGTGCTCCACCAAGAAACCCGTCCTGAGCGATCTTGGCCTCGACGAGTTTCATGGAGTCAACAAACTTTCTTTTGTCCGGTGTTTGGTTAGATTGAAATACCTCGGACGACTCACCCAAGACGAACGAAACAATAGTCTCAGTAGTGAACATGTGCAAGAGCTCTTGGATGTCGACCTGCTTGCCGTCCACAGGAATCTGCCGTCTCATATCCTGGAAAACGCGCTCAAACATGGCTATGTCTGTGATTGAGCGTGTGTTAGAGAACACACCTCGGAATATATTTCGAGCTGATTTCCAAGGGGCGCCGTCAAGAGCGAAAATGCTACCACTCATTAGGGGTCGGAAAAGATGATCGCGCAAGCCTTGTGATGCGTAATAGTCACTGAAACGATCCATGAGAATTTGACGTATATTCTGAGGATCGCAGGTGAACAATACTTGAGTGCCTAGTATAATGGTCGAGTATGTGTGGCCGTATGTATCGAAAGCGACAGTCATGGCTTTGAGTATCCGGCCATTGAACAGATCCATTATTGATTTATAGGTATTTCCGATCCCCCAAAAATCGTACGGCCGCTCTTGTGGAGGGTTTTCACACCGATATGTCTCACAGATCTTGCGGCGGGCCGCACGTGTTTGGAAGAAATGGATTATTGAAGCCACAATGTAGGGAAACACCAGGACAACGACGGCGAGCCGTACAAGCATGTTGGCTACTGAAATTTTGTGTGTGGCCTTCGATAAGAATGTTCCTTAACCGATTCCAGATTCAGTGCGGGTGAAATGATTTGTACTTCAGCATTTATGGTTGAGCGCCAACAGCCGGATTTCGAGCACGGCTCTCGGTACAGTATTATTGTACATTAGCTTTGATCGTACAGCCCCTTGAACAATTTTCACAGTTTAGTATATAGGGATTTTTCCTCTTGTGATATCTTTTATCCGCTGGCCGTTATGAGAACGCTCTTTACGATACACTTTTGGGCTGATGTATCTTAGGCTAAATGAATCCTGAGCTCTAAAGTAGCAACTTTCAACCCCTTTTAGGCGTTAGTACGGGGTTCGGTATAGGCTTACCATACCCCCCGTTGCGAAAATGGAATAGCTTCCCAAGAGTGGGCTTTATACACTTGGCAAGGTCAACTTGTCAAAACGTTATCAAACGGTTTTCGTACAGGCCCATGGTAAAACATGACTTAGGTTATGAGATCGTGCACACTCTCCTCGAATTTTCATTTTGTCAAATGTTTACAGTAAGTTATTGGACAGAGTCTATCAATTTGAGGTCTAAAAATTGCAGTGAACTTAGATGGGAGTGTCAGAGCAAAGCCTGGCCAATTCCAGCTATACAAGTACACTTCGTATTCATGTTAATCAGCGGTATATTTCTCAGGAGACTTTCAAAGGAACCTCCCGACCGAGCCGAGTCTGCCTGTCGTTCCGAATGGGGAATGTACGGAGACTGTAAAATCGACCCAGCTCGCTAGGTCAATCGCATGTCTGAAGCTAAGCTAGTGCTTGGAATTTACCCGTTCTATAAACCGTTGAATACTCACTGTCAAGTAGTCAGGCAGCATACTTCATATTTAGGTTAGAAGTTATGGTAAAGTTGTCCCACCGAGTCAGAGTAAAGGCCCTGAAAAGTCAACTACACGCCGTTGTATCGTATTTCCATCACCTGGCAGCATGTCTCCCCGGGAAATCTTTACAGAACGTCTTAGCCAAGTCGAGCACGCATGTCATTCAGCTCAGAAGTATGCGTACGAAGACATCAAGGAGAACAATCACTGGTGCGGAGAGCTCATTTGCAACGCGGCGATAACCGCCCAGCACATTTTCTTTTATCTTGGGATAGGACGGAATCCTGTCCCAGATGCAGACGCCTATCGGATTTATCTTCTAGGCGATCAAAATGCGGATGGCTCTTGGGGTCTTGCACCACATGAGGGTGGCAACATTTCCGTGAGTTGTGAGGTGTACCTGGCATTGAAAATCCTGGGTGAAAGTCCGGATTCAGCAGAAATGTCTCGCGCTAGGCAGTACATCTTGCAATGTGGAGGGGTCGCCAAAGTACGGATGTGGACGCGGATATTTTTTGCGCAATTTGGTCTGTTCCCATGGGAGGCGGTTCCGGAATTGCCGGCAGAACTGATCCTCATGCCTTCGTACGCCCCGATGAGCATCTACAGGCTATCTTCGTGGGCGCGTGCAACTGTCGTGCCTCTTCTACTGATCTCACACCATCAGCCTGTGTATGCTTTACCCAATGGATGGTCTGCCCACAACACTTATCTTGATGAAATTTGGGTCAATCCTGCTCAGAAGAAGGTACCATATGGGCCGTCATTGTGGCGGGCTTGGGAGAGTGACCCGTTCTCGGTGTTATTCACAGCCATCGACAGCGGCCTTTACTGGCTAGGAGGGCTAAGATGGTTCCCCTTCCGCAGATATTCACGGAAACTCTGTGTGAGGTGGTTGATGAGCCGCTACGAAAAGACGGGGGATTTGTCGGGGGTCGTGCCCCCGATGTATTTTGGTGTCCAAGCATTGATTTTGGAAGGGTTCGAGCTGGAAGACCCCGTTATTGAGCGAGCCATAGAAGCCTTAGAGCGGTTTACGTGGCAAGACCAGCGGGGTAAGCGTCTCCAGGCTTCCGTATCACCAGTTTGGGATACCGCCTTAATGATCAGGGCCATGTGTGACACAGCCGCCAACAAGACGGACAAACGATTGAAGGACGCAGTGGGTTGGGTCAAAAAATACCAGATTCTTGGTCCAGAGGGTGACTGGCGAGTTTATAATCCACATCTTCCTGCGGGTGGATTCTGCTTTGAATACTTCAACACTTGGTACCCAGACACCGATACTACGGCAGCAGCAATGCTAGCCTTTCTTCACCATGATCCTGCCATGGTTGAGTCGGCTGTTGTACACCGGGCAGCATTGTGGATATGTGGGATGCAGAATTGTGACGGGGGTTGGGCGGCGTTTGACACGGGAAATGACAAAATGTGGCTAGACAGGATACCGTTCAGCGACATGAATGCACTCTGTGATCCGTCAACACCTGATGTCACAGGTCATATGTTGGAGGCCCTGGGAATCTTGTTGAAACTTTCAAACGAAGAAGTTGGTACAGTCAATCCAATGCACGAGATATCTTGCGCTTGTCAGAGGGCGATCCATTATTTAGCCAGCCAACAAGAATCTTGTGGCGCGTGGTATGGCCGATGGGGGGCGAACTATATTTTTGGCACCTTTAACGTCCTGTGTGGACTCGCCTTTTTCGCTGAGCATGATGAGCTCGTCCAGACGATGATGGCGTCTGGAGCCAAATGGCTCTCCTCGGTACAGAACTCTGATGGTGGCTGGGGAGAAGGACTGAACAGCTACAACGATCCTGCCCGTGCTGGCCGAGGTGTGTCTACGCCATCACAGACCGCCTGGGCAATTCTTGGCTTGCTAACAGTATACAACCACACTGAGCCCGCAGTGAATTCTGGGGTGATGCACCTGTTGGAGACGCAGACAGATGTACATGTCAATGGTGCCGGAGCGTCTTGGCCCGAAGATAGACACACAGGTGTTGGTTTTCCAGGTCATATCTACATGGGCTATACTCTATACCGTCACTACTTTCCTATGATGGCGCTCGGTAGGTACGCAGAGAAAATGAAGAAAAAGAATGAATCGTCTAGTGGGAGCAATGGTAAGGTTTAAATTAGCTGGGAGTAGTAGTCGAAGGAGCAAAGGTGGTGGAATATGTGGAATCTGGAGTTTCAGAGCAAATAAGTTTCAGTGTCTGGGAAAGTAGTATATGTCCTCACCTATTGCGGACTGTTTTTCTTTTCTTCATAATAGACCATTCAGTTGCCCAGGATCTTACTCTACACTTCCTAGTAATCGTTGGAGCTTAGAAATTAAGCCTTAAAACAGCCAATTACGCCCAGTCTCCAGCGCGTCTTGTATGCATGTACAGGAAGAGATAAACGTAAATCACTATAGTTGATACTTCATATTCGAATTGCAGCTAGTAAGTGATGAGAATTGTTTCTTAATGATGATGCTGGATCATTCAGCACGTGGTGACCCATGAACCTCTAGAATTGGGCCTGTCAGGAGAGCTTCTTCTATTGGGGCTAGATAAACACGATGCAATGCATGCTTTGCCTGATAGTGCACATTCGCCCATCTGAGGTGGGAGGCAAACGTTCCAGGCCGAAAATCAGCATCATGATTTTCGGGCTTATCCCAGATGTCTGCCAGGCACTCTCGTCCAGGTGTGGTTACGGCGTGTGAAACTTTCATAGTTGATGAAGTTGCCAGGATTGCATCGACGAAAGCCTCCGATTCTTTGTAACCCTCGTCATGCGGAACCCCATCCTTCTCACGAATGAGTAAGTTGTATTGTTTGCGACCATCCCAACCAGCGAGATAATCACTCCAAAAAACTTCTGGGCCGCAGTCGTAGAGCAGAACTTGGTTGGCAAAGAAGTCTGGGCCGTCCCATTTGACACTGGGATCCCTGAGGTGTCTGACTCGTTCAAGACACAAGACTTGTGCAAGATAGTCGGAAAATTGGTTGTATTCAAAGGGCGACTTTTTGCCATTCAATGACGGCGGGTCGTATCGAGGGAGATGTCGCAGCAGAGGATGCGTGGTCATACCTTTGGTGCTCTGTGCGCCTTTCCAAACCTCAAGATACGTCTCATACCAGTGCTTGATGGTGACACAACCTTTCCTCGCCGCAATGAAAGAATTGAGCATCATAGCTGCGTCTTGCATCATTGTGATCTTGAATCCAGCCATCTCAATTGAATTGCCATAGCTTTCAAGGGTTTCCCAACAGAGGCTATCAAGCCCTCTGAATAATGTGAAGCCTATGTCGAGCCATACACCCCCGTGTAACCAAAGTAGTGGCAATCGAAGTAAGTCCGAACACACCTGAGCCACTGGGCCAGTCAAGGTACCACCGAGGAATGCAGCGGGAAAGAAACGCTCCGAAGGTTCCACATATTTAGAGAAGTGATTTTCAGAGCCTTCAGCCAGGTCGACAACTCGGACTGTCCATTCATGACCATGCCGACGGACCCAGCTGATCACATTCCGCTGGCACCAGGGCGGACATTTGGAGAGACCTTTGTCCCAGAAAGCCCATATGTTTTTCTCGTTAGCTGGATCAATCGGCTTGAAACGCATGAGTTCAGCCAGAATCTCATCATCGGAGCGTACATCCAAGCCGGCATTTGAAGAAACCGATGCTGTGGTGGTCATATTGACTGTTGAGCTGCTACCAGAAAATGGCAAGATGCGATATGCAAAATGACTTGTATCAGCTTTCTCCGAGCTTACCTTCTACCCTCTACGATTTATCACAACAGAGAACCATTCCAACACAAATTATTAGCGAAGTTCCCACGCGGTAATCCGAGACTGCATGGTAGAGCACCGTGTAAAGTCTGACTGCTAGCATACTAGTCGGCGGCTTGAATGCGGCAGCTCCAGGAATACGAGTCTGATCGCCGATAGATTACTTGGTGCTGGTTAATTAGTAAAAGCGGCAAAGGTGGAGCTACGCTCTTAGCCCAGCCTTCATAATATTGCCGAATACAATACCGTATACGTGAGTTAGTGAACTCGTTGTACAAATCAACCGGGAGTGTCTCGGGTCGACGGTGGACCAACATGGAGGTAGGCAAATTACAGCAAATATAGCCTGAAGCAATGGTCTAATATCCGGCTATATACACGTTGCTCATGAGCACGTACAGTCCAGCAGGAATACTGGAACGTAAGTAGCTCAAGGATTTATATGCAGCATCCCATCAGGTCACCTTATTTTCCTAAAAGGCGTCAGGTAATACTCAATGGAGACTAGCGCTCGCTCACTCGCTTCTGCGTTTTAGACTTAATTACTATACCCATTGGCTGTCTAGCACTAGCCGCACAAACCCCCCCCTTCAAGGATCTAGTAACTCTGACGCTAAAATATTTTTCATTAGCATTGTTAATCTCAAGGTCCGGGCTTATTTAGGTAACGGCGCCAAACTCTGATGGTGGTCACTGAAATTCGAATAGCTTACCACCCAGCGATAATTAGCCGAATTATGATATGCTCCTTAACCTCTACAAGCTACCGATTCTCGCCCTTTATGCGTTTCCCACCCGTTTTTACTAGTAATTCGCATTGCCTAGGTATATCTAATACTCTCTTGCGGATCCGCTTCATCGTGATATTCTGCCAAATCTCTTGCGCCACCTCTACAAGCTCCTCGTAAGTCATTTAATTGACACCCGGCGTTTGGCGTAGTCGTTGCTTTAGTAATTTCTAGGTGGCCTCTATGGGGCTCAAATCTGGTGAGTAAGGCGGGTGCCAATGAGTCTGAATGACGTGGCGTTGTCGTAGTTGAGTTGCAAGGCCTTTAGTGTGAGTACCGTGACAACTATCGCCGTCTTCCTTAAGGAAAAAAGGTCGATTAAATCGTACCTGTAATTGCTCAATTACGGCCATATATTCTAGTAAAATATGCTTTACATAATACACATCGGTCATTGAGTTATCTGTTGGCGTAGAAATAGTAGGTTCAGGACAACGAAGTTGCTATTCATTCATATCCTTACCATCCTAGTCTAGGCGAACTTAATACTCCTTAGCGGACTTAGTTGTAGGTCGGCCACGAGGTTTTTAAGGCCGAGGCGGTATCTGCTCTTTTATACGCCTCTTTAATTTATCGACTTGCTCCTTTGAGACCTTCTCCGCCTTAGTATGCTGCCAAAAGATGAGTTTATCGCTCTTTTGATGCTAATTTACATATCTAGCTGCGTGGAGGATAAATGAGGTTCCTTTAGGAGGACTCCCGACAATATTCTCGTCCTTATATCGTATACCAGCCTCTCGGAGAATTATTGGATCTAGAAGAGTACTTAGATTATAGTGAAACTCGTCTATAAAAAGGATCCATTCCTAGAAGTCTTCGATACTCTTTCCGCTATGATTTTGGCCGTATTCGATACGATGCGCCTCGTTTTAAGGACTTAATTTATCCTTATAATAGGTAGCCTTATAAATTCTACCTTTTTTTGAACGCTTCTTAAGTTTCCGTTGAAACTATCGTATAGAGAGTGATAGATGATGGATCTTGAGTTGCGCCGCAAGCGGTTGAGATCGGACCTATTGCGAGGCGTCGAGTACTAGTTGGATATTACTATGGGTAATGAGGAAGGTCTCCCAAGGCGCTTAGATAACTAGCGAGTAAGCCTATAGGCAGAGGAGCCCAATTCATGTCGTTGTTGTAGCTAGTACAACGCTGTTATATATATAGTATTCCTTGTGCTCTTATAATGGGACGTAGTTTTTTAACCCCATTTTAGGCTTCATAGGCATCAAAAAACGCGTATCTTTAATAGTATCGGCTTTTTTACACTTAGAAGTAGTAGGAGGAGTCCCTAGACGGAAAGTTAAACTTACTTGTGGAGCCATGACGACGGTTAGTAAATTACATCGTTTTAGCGATGTATATTATGAATCGGCTAATTATCGGGTGGTCAATGACTTATGATAACCGCTGGGTGCTTACCCAGCCTCATATTTGCCCGATTTAATACGGAGTAGGCAGGGCAGGCCTAGAGGATCTCGTAACTGTTTAACAGAATACTATGGGTGGGGACACACTCATTCGTAAATGAATAAGAGAATATAGACTAGGTTGCAGGCCTTAGCTTAATATTAACTCCTGTCCGGGGAGGTGCCCGTATATAGCACGAAGGTATCAGCCATGGTAAGGGTCGGGGTTCGGCACCTACTGCCAACTGCTCCACTCTATCTCTCTATTGGAACCGGGGGCGGTGGCGGCCGCCGAAATCATCCAGGCGTGGATCAGTTACAGCAAACCAGGTTTACGGGCTAGACTCTCATGGGGGCGAAGTCTAACTCAGGATTTTTCAGACTGAACTGATAACTGATCTGACGAATAATGGGCCTAGGCTCTTCCGGCCTAATCCCTTTAGAGGTCATAGGTGATTGATGCTCGGGGTGGTAAGGCCTACTGTCTGTACGGTGTATCATCTCCGATTGGATAATGGTCCTGTCTCAACTTGTTGTTTTACAGAGCCCTAAAAGAGCGATAGACCTGTCGCAGCGACACACTTATTACACTGGCTATAGTCATCATGAAATTGGCTGCTGAACGCCGAAGTTGCGCCAATTGTTGACATTTTTTCGGATATGCATATGTAGTTTTGGAATTTATCCAGAGTTTAGACTGATGCATTCTTTACTCGTTGGCAGACCAGCTATCGTTCAGGCACCTACCGTAGTTTTTCCGGGATAGCCAGGGCACACGACGTCCAAACGTTAGTAAATGCTAGAATGCACTGGGATCAAATTGGGAGAACACCGTGGGGCTGAAGATGCATAGGCCAGGTGGAGTTACTCCACCAATTTAGGCTCCTATCCCTGTTTTGGACCAAGCTAGAAGAACTGTTGATAATACAATGTGCTCGGAAAAATCACCAGAAGGAGAGGACATTTCGAGGCAGAAGGGCAGCCATTGTACAGCACAAGGCCTCCCACATAGCCGATCATATACAGAAGCACATTATGCACCGGGAAAGAGCAGACTCTATTCCAGAAAAGGAAGGATGGGGCCAGCATACTCAGCATTTTCACTTGGGAACCCCTTTTTATCCGGTGGCAAGTTGTAGCTACACTAAATTTTGATTTCGAGCATGGTACCTGATACTGTCATTTTAATGATAATTGCGATTGTATAGGTTTCGAGTTCAATTACTGTATCAGTAATCCCTTGTCTGAGTATGTAGCAACGCCTCGACTTGGGCCTACCAGGTTTACCCCACATCTGTTTCATTGAGTGAAAGATGCCGAATGCTTATCAGTTTCTGCCTCGAGAAACACTGCCTCCTTGTGAAATGCTATTCAGCCAGCATTGCCATTTTTTACCCCGCCCGCCGGATCACTTATAACTAAAGGTGAGGGACAAGTTACGAAATGTACCAGGACAACGTTCAGTCTGCCTGGAGTGATGCTCGGATGGACAGTTTAAATTATCCACGGACATTAATTACAATGACCTGACATGGCAGGGCCGCTAACAATTTATCCAGGAAATCCAAGACAGCCCCGAGACTCGCTGGTATCTCTCTTCTGCCTTAGCTTCTTTTCCACAAAACCAACATTGTAATGGCAATAAAACTACCCAGTCCCAAAATTAGGAACCATCGCTGGATAGCTAATTTGACGTATCCTTCAATTTCTTTCCTTATAGTCTCTGCATCATGTGCATGCGGAAACGGTTGATCTGGGACCGGCATATTCAGAATCTTGCAAAGGGGCTCCCAGCCGTCTTTAACATCAAAGAAGTGTAGCTTTCCAGGTGGTGTGACGCGCTTAAGATACTCATTGTGATCTAAGAGAAGTCCTGGAATGACGAGTAAGATAATTTGTTCGATAGAGGTAGAGAACAGAATTTTGAACAAGGGTATCTACTAAAAATGATAAATAGTGGATGGGGGAAAGATTAATCTTACTTTTTGAATATTCTTTCGAGCCGTCGTACACCAGGAGTGGTCTAATTCTTCTGTTAATAAGACTAGTTTTGCTACAGTAGTAAGGAAGCAATTGCAGGGCCCCGATTACTTCAATCACTTGAACCGTGATTAGCAAAGACAAGAACTCACCTCTTTTCCAGACCCTTAATCCATCGTACCCAGAATCTTAGTGTGGGAAGCGGCGCGAACAAGAGATTTAGAGCTTTCATCGGGGAGACTTGCTTGACCAGCGGATCTATGCTCTTCCACCACTGGTCCGGATCACGCGTTGTGCAGATCACAATCGCGTCGGGATAGACGTCGAATAGCTCTTCAACGAACCAACAGCCTGGACAGTCGCTGATTCCCACGTATCCAGCACATAGACCGCGCAGTTTCTTTTGGACTAAAAGACGATCTCCTTCGGAAAGCTGGGAATACGGTGTGGAGTTTTCCATGAGCCATATCCAGTCTTTGATATGTTCTAAACGTATGTTATTACCACCATTCACGAGGGGGTGGGGGAGGTCATGGAGGAGTTGACTGACTTTCTTCACGACCCATGACTGCTGAGCTGCAGTGTAGTGCAGGCTTTTTGAATAAAATTTGAAGTGCAAGAGCGAACGACATAGTAGCAGTTCGTGGAAACCCTGCACCAATTACTTGTAAAGTACAGGAGAGATCGGCAGGCTCGTTGCCCAGCGATTCACTCATTAGCTCCATCTTGACTGTGATTCCGAACAGAACGAGCTTTCGTTGAATTTTTACTTTGAAGGTTCTGAATGCACAACGAAGCCATAGAGACCGTCGTGAGACGTCAAAGGGCTTTATCGGTAGACTGTTGGACTAGAGATAACGGAAGCAGGAGCTACAACGGATAACTTTTGCAAGACAGCTTCGGAAACACATGAAATGTCCACCGTACACAGCGCTCCTATTCCTACTAGGTAAGCCTTATCTTGTAACTAGGCGTTTACAAGGTAGAGGTGCATATGTCTCTACTGTTATTCTGAAGTAATTGTTTGCTTTGTTATAGCCTGATAGTCGATTTTGGACAAGCAGGTCCAAATCAGGAGCTCAAAATCCGAAAGGCTCCACAAGCGGATGTGACGTAGCGTGGAATTCGACTCTCCACTCCTTAGGCGATTTGGTGAAATGCTTCACAAACGCGCAACCATTACCACCCACCAACTACTACTACAGGAGGCCGGCCTTCCCGCTTAAATCTGCCACGGATTCTGTGCTGCTCGCTATTCCTAGTTGGCTTCCTGCCTTTACCGAGACAGAGAAAACGCCTCCAAGGCAGTTAACACGGCATGTGTCTTCGCTGGTTCCGACTTATCCTTACTAGCATGTTTTAGTTGCGAAATGGATAGGCTGTTGACTAGTCTGGATGTAAACCTGACTAGAAACCCGATGCTCGCCACCATGCCCCCGCCAGCCAAAGACCGGCATAGAACGCCACTGAATACTAAAGCCCAGGAGATTTCATCAAATAGCGTCCACGTCATGGCTCACCGCACTTGACCTACGTACAGGGGTGACAGGAGAAACCGATCGATCGCGTGATAAACAGCCGGTTTAGCCTATAGTTGCAGCTCATACAAATATTGTGACTCTAGGGGTAATTTGGAGCCCTTCCAAATATTACGGCGATTTTAGGCTATAGCTACCATTTCTACAGCTAAAGCGGCCTGCGAAGCACAGATATCGATAACATCCCTTGCATCGTATAGTGCCGACATTAGGGATACAGGCAAGCTCCCACTAGTGGTGGGTATGTTTGATTCGATTGTCTGCCATGAACGGCCCTATTAGCCCATGGCCCGGGGTGCGTTCTCTATTCGCTAGAACCGGGATAGCTGAAAGCTCTGAGTGAGTCCACAACCCTAAAGTGAACCAAAAGCATATAATGGACCACGGTTCTCCATTCGCATTGGTAATATCGCGTTGTGGAGACCATACTAAGGGTCGGTTGAGCTTCTACCCCCTCTTCGTACACTGTTCTACTGCCTACCCAATTGAGTCCACCCTAACTTCTCTATGTCATAAACCAAATACCTTTGATTTAAGAATACCCACGAAAGCGCTAAAGGGTATTTGTGAGGTGAAAATTTCGGTGTGTTGCGTAGTACTCCTCGGCTGCAAACAATCTAGGAGCTATTCCAGGACAAAATGGCCACCACAGATGTTTCTAATGGATGGGCTCTGACGATCCTTAGTATGTCCACTCTGTCGTGGGCTTCAACTGTTGTCGTCGCCTTGGTCATCTCCATCCGGATCATGACAGCTTCCCAACACGACCCTCGCGAACCCCCCTTGCTGCCAATTTCTACTATAAGCCATCTGATAGGACTTACTAAACATCGACTGAAATATGCCGACCACCTCGCGCTCTCGAATCGAAATAAGTTTTCAGAAGGTTTTTTCACTATCAACTTGTTCGGGCAGAAGATCTATCTTCTCTCGAATCCATCTATTATTATTGCTGTACAAAAGAAATCTCGGATCCTCACTGGATATGAGCTTCTCGTTGGACTCGGAATTAAACTTTCTGGATTCAAGGGGAAAGCTAAACAGTTAGTTTTACAGGATATGAAAAATCCTAAAGTTGGTTCACTATCAACCGACACTCATAAGAGTCTATATCGAACTTTAGGCGAAGGTGCCAACTTGAATAACATGAAGACCGACTTTTTTACGAGGACTTTCAACTCACAACAAGGTTTATATGAAAAGGTTGCAGAAGATTCAATGACCATTGATATATTCCTGTTTATTGCCGAAACAATTACCAAAGCTACAACACATATGCTTTGGCGTGATAACAACCCTTTTGAATCTAACGCAACCCTTTGGAAAGACTATCAGACATTTGACAATGAGCTGGGTCTTATATTATTCTATCCTTTTGCTTCACAGCTAGCAAGAAATGGGATAAATGCGCGGAAAAAAATTGGATCTCTATTAACACAATATTGGCGAAGTGGTGGAAGTGATGACGCATCATTGTTGGAGAAACAAAACTATAATATTGCTCGAAAATGGGGTATGTCAGTTAACGATATTGGATTTAAAAGTATCGCCATTCTTGTTGCGGCACTATCGAATACAATGCCGGCGGCATACGGCGTTCTCAGCTATATCTGTAATGATGCAGAGCTTCTCTCGGATATTCGATCAGAATTGGACAATGTTACAATTCAAGTCGATAACAAAGCCTTCATCGATTATCACAGTCTTCGACCAAAATGTCCTCTTCTCAACTCTACAATTTATGAGGTGCTCCGGATTTTATCGATTGCATCGACTGTTCGCGATGTTGATGAAACATGTACTGTCAGTTCAGAAAGCCGTCAGTATGTGCTTAAGAAAGGAGCAAAGATCATTGTCTCAGGAATTGTTACACACACGTCACCAGAAATATATCCGGACCCATATCTGTTTACACCCCGCCGATTTTTGGACGTTGCTTTTCCTGAGACCCAAATGTCTGGTCAATTTCGCGCGTTCGGAGGCGGGTTTCATTTATGTGCCGGCCGTTATCTGGCGATCGATGAAATCATGGCGACCGTAGGAGGTCTTATCACCAGATTTGACTTTCAGCCTATCACTAGTGACGGAATAAGAAAATCTTGGACTCTGCCGATTCGGGAGGATAGCTTTACACATATTCTCATCCCCCAGCCGAGGGGAGAGGTGCTCGTCGAAGTGAGACGAAGGAGAGGATATAAAGACGTGCAATGGATAGCTTAAACCGTCTAAGCCAGCAAGGATTTACCTGTGAAGGAACGATTGTTTAAGTAGTGCTGCTCGAGAATTGTCTGAGCTAGTCCGACGGAACTAGCTAGAAATGACCAAGGATAGTGTTGGCTAGTTAGGATACAAATACTAGTGGGACTTTAGGATTTCGTCAAAGAAGGCCCGGTAGAATTCTTTGCCTTCGTCGTATTCGGCGCTTAGAAGTAGTATAGGAGCCTTAATTTTTATTATAATCTAAGCTATAAGTAGTTCTAATTAAGGTAGGGTAATAAAGGGAATATCTAATCGTTAGACTATATTCTAAATATAGATATAGAATTACTAACGAAGTTAACTATTAACTCTCCTTCCTTTAGTAAGGAGTATATATATATATATAATACTATCCTTAATATATTACTATATTATTATATTACTCTATTATAATAATATACTAATATACTCCTAGGGTTATATAATATAGCTATAGTAGTTTAGCTAGGAATTTAGAGTAATTCGTCTAACTACCGTATAACGAGGATTCT